GGTTAACCCGAAAGAGAAGGATGTTGATTTTCCTTTTATTGAGATTTGCAGCAGTCTTGTTTAGCGAAGAGGGTTCTGTTCCCCCCCTCTTATAATCTTCTTGATCTTAAAAAAACTCATTGTACGTCGTTACCTTAAGATAAATCTAGATTGTGAAGTCATCTTCAAAAATATGTCTGCGCGGCATGATTTTATGTTTCAATGACTTCGAAAGCCCCCTAAAGCTCTATTTTTCCAGCAGTTAAACATGACCATCAAACGTTTCAAACTGAACTTAAGTTTAAGAGAAACAGCGCGGACGCAGTAGAGACGTTTCATGCGATACATACGTTAAGATCTAATGGTCTTCGAACGCGAGATTCGTTGAAACATAAGTAAGAAAAACGATCATGATTTGTTACATTCACTCGCCACGTGATGAATTATGAAATGCAATTTTGAAGTAGACGTGAAGTGGTATTCAACGTTTGACGTTGTTTTGTTTTTCAATTTTAATGTTTGCGGAAAACGGGCGCAAACATTTTATGACGTGCGTTGTACACACGCGCGTACCACAATCTAGCCTTGGCCTTCAACACGTAATACATATCTATTGTTTGAAGAGGATGATCGAGACGAATAACATCCGTTGTTTTGACAAATTTCTTTGACTTTTGATTTCACGCAAGTGGAAACCCAACGGCGCCTTTCCAGAACAAGTGTTGCTTACAATGACACACACACGCAAACAAGACGAGTGTATTCTCACGCAAGCCTACTAGGCAAGGATATCAGAATAAAAACGGCTTAGATCAAACGATCAAACTCTGACAGGAATAATGCAATCTACAAGGGTTATCAGAAACGTGTACAGAACAAACTTTCCAAAATACGAAAGGAAAAAAGGTAGGCTAGGTATACAATAAACCACTATAGACTACGATCACTTATATTGGGCTCGAGTTTAGTAAGTCATGTGCCATGAGATCTATCATGGACAAACATTTCATAAAACTTTCTCTTCATCAGAATACGGAAATAATAGATAAATATTAGTTTAAAATGATTCTGGCAATTGCAAAGTCATGAGTTGTTTTTATATGTAGTACTTTATACGAAGTAAATAATGTAATGGGTGCGCTAAGGTGTTATATCGCATATTTGATATTCAAAGATGAATCATATTTATTATGTTACTACAAGACTATGATTCAAATCGGGTTACGTATTATTTATTTATTTCGCGATATTTAAACGTTTTCCTTTTTTTTCCAACCTGTCAACAGAATGACAGCATGTGAGAAATGTCCGGGTTTAATATACAAAGATTAGGCTTTCTGTCTTGAAGAATTCTGCGCTGCAACACAAATTACGATAGTTGGCATAAAATCAGGTATCATCCATCAAAGTATTTCAACTGAAACGAGGAGTAAAGTGGCATGTTTAATCGGGCTTGTTGCTTATTTCATTATAATGATATTCAAACAGGGAAAAACAAACAAATTATCGTGACAATTATGGTCGGCCGGAATGTATCGCGCGGCACTTTCGCTTTTAAGTATATTTTTAAAACATTGGGGGTGAATTTTTAGCTCAAATTGGCCAATTTTGCCAACAAAGGAATATTCTTCTAAAAATTCTTCGAAGAGACCTGGCAATGTTATATGGTATTTTATCTGTGTCGATCATGCTAAGAAAGCCGATTTGTTGAACCGTGAAGTGGGGAAACATATGAATGAATGGTTGTAATTGCTGTCACCATAGAGCATAGAGATATATACGGTGTAGCTGCATGTAGTTCCTTGCATTAAGAGTTGGCTATGGTGCGAGATGATCCAGGGAAACAAAGTTATCTTAGTTTAGATCTCAATACATAGAATTCTTTCAATATGGCGCACATGCAGTGAAATCTGAATAAGTAATAGATTATCGCGACGCAATGTAACAGATTGGCAACGCTACAGTCAACATTACATTCTAATGACTGGCGAGCACATATGGTGTTTATTAACTTAGAATATTTATCAAAATTTCGTTTCTAACCACACGGCTAGCGAGATGGGACGCTGCCAAGCAGGAATTGTCGGTGAATGTACATGCATACACGGCTAAAATAAACCACAGTCACTGACCGCTGCCAAATATGAAAAGAACGGAAAACAAGCTTTTGTTGAAGATTGTGTTCCTCAGGAACAACGCAGACCGCCTAGGATTATGCATTTCACTCTTTTGATATTAAAAAACACGAATTTTGATCAACCGTATTACAAATTGGGGGGCGGGATTCTGTGGAACACGTTATTCTATTTACTGAGGGGACACCTTCAATTGATTATATAGATTTACAAGTTATTAATGACTTTAGTAAAATTGGATTATCAATTTCTCGTGATGATGACTCGACTATAATAGTTGTAGGAACAGAAGTAAAAAATAACAGTGACATTATGGTAATATTGCAACTTTATTATTCAAACAACGCATTTTTCCCACAGATTACTTTTCGTGACTGGACCATATGCTAATTATATCGGCACTCAAAACGACCTCATTGACTTTGGCAAACATTAACAACGATATTTGCATTAAGAATTCTTTCTCCTGAGAACTTCTGTTGTCACAATGTTCTCGAGAGCTATTCTGACCAATAAGGAATGCTCTTATTCGCTAATTTGATCTAATCGGTTGTTCTAATTGACCGCTGTGACGTCGACATATTTGGAGATGTTTATATGAAGTTCCTGCGTAAATCTAACCACGATTTCCGTTTGTACCTTTGAAGTTGTAAACACTCGTGTTGAAAATCTTTACATGAAACATTCTTTTAGGCATAAATATCAACATCGCAAGGTGAAATGAAACTAAATTTCATTAAAGCATTATTTAAGAACATGCGGCTGTCATCTCAAGCTTCGATGCCATACCACACAAATCATGAATATAAGATTGCGTCTGGTAAAATCTTCAATGTCAAAAGCTAAGGTCAAAACGTCATCTCAGAGTAACTTTACACGGTAGTAATTTCAATAATCCTATAAGTCCATAGCGACGCACAATAAAAATAAACATAGTCGAAAATACTGCCAACTTTCAGCCACATGCAGCTAGGGTACCAGGCGAAACAAGTTGCTTTGCATTGTAACCGGGTGAGGTCGGATTTTCCCACGAATCTAAGCTGAGGTTACAATCAAGACAATGAAGCAAGACCGTTCAATGTCTTTATTTAAATGATCATTTGCAACAACAACGAAGAATCGAATGCGGAACATGGGGATAAGAGCATGAAAGATTTAAAGCAGAGAGTATAGTAATCCTGAGCTTAGAGAGTATCACTCTTAAACGACATGGCACCCACAAGGGTTGAAGTGACAAGAACGTGCAGCTAGGTCATATATTAAGAAGCCTGTAGGTTTGGTGTTAGGAAAGCGTAACACTGAACACGTTGTCGGTCTCGATATTTTAATACAGTACCGTCTATTATATTATATCAGAGGTGATGAAAAAGTTTACCAAATTACAATCGATTCTCATGACTCGGATCGATTTTTTTTGGCTGGGTGGCGGTGCAATTACTCTAATCAACTGACATGATACCCAGTATATATATCATTCTATGCTGATTGAAAATTTAACAAACTAGCCAATATAGTAATAACAACAGATAAACTCACAATCATTACTAGACATGTACACACGCTGGCTTGAAATATTCATAACGTAATTAAGTGCAATTTAGTTAAACCGCTCAGCATTTGCAAAAACTTGTGTAAAACGCATTAGAGGTACAAAGATGTTAAACCATATTCGGGGATTATCACCATCACCAGCCAATATATTTGAAAGGTTGAAAACTTTCGCACGATCGCCCCCATGAATAGGAGCGGACTTTGTTAGAAAAAAAAGCAGTGAGCTTCAGGAAAACGGTAAACGATGACAAGAACGTGCACACAGGCACCAAGGATCCTGGAAGTTATACTTACAATGAGAAAGTCTGTCTCGTAGAGACGCTACAAAGTACTGAAGTGCGTCATTGCACCAGGAAATGCCTTTAAACCCACAGGAAATTTTTGAAAAAAAAAGCAAAAAAACCAAAACTTTGATAATATTTTTATCCTTATGCATGTATAAAGAGCAGAATCATGATTTTTCACACCAAATATAAAACCAATTATGCAACGGCAGAGTTTCATCGACTATCTTTTTCTCAGAAGAAGAAGGAAGATATCCCATCAGATATCCGTTTTGAAGTATATGATTTTAAGGAGATCGTGTATTTCACTTCATTCCAGGATGTCATATAGTGTTCTCAAAAACTTATTTTCACTTGATGATTGAAGCTGAGAAACTGAAAATGATGTTTCTTTGATTTCCATCAACTATCTAAATTCTCGCTCATGAGCCATATTTCATTAGGTCTAATATACTTCACCAATATATCATTTGCACGATTTGCCCTAGCTTGTAGCAAACCTGTAGCAATTAGCTACTTCGATATTCGATAAAGTCTCAATAAAATATTACCTTGATATTATACATAAGATGATCAATCGTAATTCATCGTGAGTTAGTGTTATTAGTTAAACAGATGAATTTCAGTTTTGAAACCAAAAACTGTCGGAGTGTCGGTGTCAATGCGTTACTCTTTCGCCTACACGCTTTGAAGGAAATTAGACTCGATTAAAGTCAACTCGTCGCATTCCTCGCTTGTTTGCGCTAATCCGCGTATTCTAATTAATTATCTCAAGTATGGTAGCATTCTTTGCACGATATACGTCAATGAATAACATATGATTAGAATAAACATCTTCGTACAATATTCTTTGTGGGAAATCGCAAGCATTGTTAACAACGGCGCAACCTCGGCTTGATAAATATACTTAAGGATACTTCAAATAAGCAAAACCTCTATTGTTTCGCCGCTAAACCTTGTATTTGTTGCAGTGAATAACAATTATTAGGAAAGTAATAGAGGAGGAAATCGCAATTGTCAAGTGTTCCGCTTTAGAGTTATTTGTACGTACCGCGCTTGATAACTCGTGACATGCCAACACCCAGGCTGTTGTTTCACCCACGCCTTCTGGAAATTTGCTGACTAGAAGAGCGAACTCACGGTCGGACATACGCACAGACCCAACACGCTGACATACTGTTAACAAGCTCGTGAACGCATCGTATAGGATTCAAGGAATCTGGATACGAATTCTAAAGTATTAGCAGAAAATTACAATTAGTGGAACTTGTTACGACTAAACAAAGTCTGATAGTTTATATATTGAACGACACGTGAAGACTATCTAAGACTATGAAGCCTGATCTACTGTTTTTACAGAATAAGGGTGAGTGAGTAAGTTGTTTGAGACAGTTCAAAGTCATATAATGTCCGTTGCGCTGTTACCTCATTCCTGTTTATATTTATAAGATGAAGTTTCAGCAATAGATTAACGATTATAGAATAGATAAGATTATTCGAAGACTACGTTTCTCGATTTTGCAATGAATATAATGATGCAGATATTATATTTCAGTAAAGTAGATTGAAATATGTTTCTGTGACAGGCGGGTTTATATGTACCAGATTTGATACAACAATTCGCAAGTTTTGAAAACTCAAATCAATCACTCAGATCGTTCCAATCACTATTAGCTTTCAAGCGAGTGTAAAAATATCGAAATTAAGAACAGGATGTGTGATTTAGATTTGAAGTAACCATGAAATTTGCCGTTCGCTGTCTTTGACACCTTGTCTTTGAGGTCGTGTGGTTATCACGGCGAGGATAGTCGTTCAGTGAGAACAGCTTGTATCTTAGTCGTTCTAAACAAAGCTGAATGTTCGCGAATAAATATTTTTAAAGTTTAGCGGTGAAATTACAAGCTCTAGTGGTTTTCTGACGGCTTTAAAGTTCAACATCCTTTGGAGTTGGGTCATTGAGCCATTGACGTAGGTAGACTAATAGGCTAAGTCCTCAATATATGTAATGTTGTTTACGAGAAACACCGAAAGCACGCGAGCAATGCGTCGAGATCTTTCGTCCTTTACAACTTCAAGGGGCGACAAGTGACGACTGACGACGACGAGAGAACGAAGATGATTCGTGATGCAGCTCATGTCGCAATCATTAAAAGCATTACAAAGCACTTTATGAGCAGTGTGCGTGCGAGTATACCATATCCTATTATTGACAGCACTTGTAAGTAACACGAGCCACGAACATGTAACATAGTTTAAACACATATAAAACATCACTCGATATTAAGGTCACAATCCAAGGACAATACTCCGTCGAAGTGTCTGTACCTCTGTGGCATTTGCTGCATAGAATATACTGCTTATTGATTGTAAGACTTTAATGCAAGGTATCTATTTATTTCAATTTCGGTCGTTTATTTACAAGTATTTATATATATACACAGGGATTTATAATTTGTTAGCTATCAATGACAAGAGCAAAAAAAATTTGTATAAAAATTTCGTCTATTCAAAAATGAAATGCGCGTTGTCTTTGATCGGTTTTCCAGCAATTTCAAGCAATTTTACTGCATTTATGATTTTATTTTTTCGCAGCTTGTAAACAGGGGGAGGGGGTGTGAATACTGTCAATAAACATTGAGATGTAATACGGTCTTCGTTACGATTTCAGCAACGGCCGGGGGGTTGTATATTAACGTACGTGTTCTGGGATTTGATCATTCTTATAACGATTAGCAAAATTTGAACAAAATTTTATAACAATATCTCAAGTATCTTATAGCTTTGGGCAGTCGGTCGTGAGTGTAGTGTTAAAATATGTCTAAAATGCTGTAAAATTAGAACTTGTATATTGATATATAATTTCAAATGTTATTGTTTAACAAATTTTCTAAGCCAGGCGCATTAATACAGCTGTTTACGGTTTCGTTTTCCTTGAAGAACAATGGGTAAACGTAACTGTTTTATGCCATGACGTACTTTGTTTGACAATAAAGTTTGATTGAGGAAGTTCACTCACGTGCTTGAACGTGATACAAGATAGATTTAGACTTCCGCTGACTTCAACGATTTCTTTTCATTATAATAGAAGAAAAATTCTTTTCAACAAAAAATTTATATAAAACTAATAGAAAACGCATATGAATTCGATGTAGTACTATAGTATTTTCTTTATTCATACAGTGCAAGCAGTCTGATGAATGTTACTTTCTTCCTAGTAAAACTTCCTTTTGACCTTGAACCTTCATGTGTCAACTTTCCGGTAGCTTTAAGCGTCGATAATTTCCACGCATTGACGTCCACATGCAATTAAAGCTTTCTATGATTAGAATTAGCGGATTTTTCATGGGATAATATTCGCAATATTGCTATAGTTTAGAGAGCTTTTCGTTTTTGGCAAAAGTTTACCAACTTTTGACACGATGTCCTCCCAACTGTCCTAATGAGTACATCGATATTGGCAAACGTTATAGTTGGCTTACTTTTATTTTTATATAGAAATAACATTTCAGTTTCATTTCCGGCTAGTTTTAATTTAATAATTCAGTTCAGTTCGACAAATGAACGTTTTATTCATTTTTGTAAACGTTCGTCCAAAGAAAATCGTCGTTTTGTCGTTCTAACATATATCTTAATCAGTAAAACATCTCTCATCAATTCATATTACATCATGGCTCGCAAAACAAAGACCTTGCCTTATAAAAACTATTCCCTTTTTTGACTTTCAAACGCTGTCCGTGCTGTGAAACAAAATCTCAAGTTTGCTGCTTTGTTATCTAGAAAACAAATCAACGCTGAACGATAACATGACTGGAGTAAGGGAATACATCTGCCTTCATTTTGGTGCCGACGAAGCGCGCACGACGATGGCCGAGTTAGAGAAATGCGGCCATGATATGGAGCCTCAAGCGTGCTACATAAACATCCTGCGACGTCTTTTTCCTGACATCAAACCAAAAGTACTACAGCTGCTGCTGGTAGCATGCGACAGCGATCTAATAAAGACTGTTGAGACCATTTTACCGTGTTGTAAAAAGATGAAAACAAACGGACACATTACATACACTAAAGTCACGTCTCCTCCGACCAAAATGATGATGCTGTCGAGAGCTCACAAATTCCCGACTCGAATCTTAGACAAAAGGGACATGCTAAGGTACACACCCTACCCCATAGGAAGAACTTTCAGTCGCTACCCCAGTTTATTTGTCCCACCGTACACCCCAGTACCAAGCAATGATAACTGTGGTCTATGCATACCAAGCCGTCTTCTACCGCCCTACTACATCTCAAAAGGCTCGCCAGATGACGTCCTCTCAAGAAGTCAAACAGGCTTTCCCTACTACACCACACCGAAGTACAACTTTGCCGAATGCAAGACTGTCACATCTTCGCCCACGGTGGAAATTGAAGACACGCGAACGACAACAGCGGCTGCAACTCTCATCTCGTTGAGCAATTCCTAAATCACACCCAGATTCCCGCAATCTCAGAGAGTACTATCAACGTTAAATCAAAGTTTCGTTGGCCGGCTTCAAGCCTCCACGCGCCACGTTTGAATAACTCAAAACAGCACTCGCTGAATCATAGAAGGTCTTGAAAGAGACCTCAAAGACGATGTATAATCACAAGACTAAATATCGCTGTAATATGCAGGCTAAATTATTATAGATCGTATTGTCCATCATGCAGCTCAATACTGCATGTAAATATCACACAATTGTAAATTATCTACACCTTGTGCTCTCAAAAGACGCAACGCTTTGCAAAAACAAAGGATTTTCATTCTTGTTCAAAATGAACTAAACATAATGGGAAAATGACCTAACCTTTTAAGGCTCTGTTTCAAACGACGCACTTTATGTGCCAAATCTAATGGAAAGCAAAGACTAAACGTCAGGTTTGGCGTCTGAAACGGGCCTTAGGGTATTTTCATGGAGGGTTGTTACAGATCTGACAGAGCTCAAATAAGTTTTTAATGCCTCAAAGGTATTTAGCTATATTAGCTTGTAGAAGGAACGGTCTCTACTGTTTAGATGTTCTGACCTAGTGTGTTATCCAATATCATATTTTATAAGGGTTTCAAAATTATGACATTACACCTTAAAATGTGAATGTTACGAATACGCGCTGAGTTTTGCAAGCCAAACAAACGTAAACTTTTGAAAGTTTAAAATGTTTGGATACTAAATGCAGTCATGTTAACATTGCTGTAGAAATTTATGTACATTAGTTGGGATATATTTATATACATGAAAGTTTTCTAATTTAAGACAATCATTAAAAATAAAGGTGCTTTATTCACAACTAGTCTTGTTTCTTTTACGTTGTGTCTGGTGTCCATAATCTCAATTTAACCATTACTCTCATATGGGTGAGAGCCCTATCTCGCTAGCTAGATGTTTGCATGCGAGTGATGCTTTATTCTCCAGATTGAAGACACCACTTGACACTCATATTGCTATACACACAAACTGAATAGTTCGTACCATTCACAGTATATAAACATCGATTTCACTGCAACCCTCAAACTTTAGGGTACATTTGAATTTCGAAAGATGGAATCAATGTCAATAACAAATCAACACTGAATAAAGATGTGCACTTTTGATATCATTCTTGTAGTTCTTGCAAAGCGCAATAAAGTGAAACCACTTCAAATATTAGTTTGTCTGACGTGCAGCACTTACACCGAACTCATCAAAGTAGTTTTAAGATTGTTAAAGAATCTAATTGAGGCCATTACTCAGTTACCTATAGCAATTCTTTGTTTCTTCTATCTCTTTCTCTCGTGTTCATTTCAATATTTCTAGAGAATATCTCTCGTAAAACAAAGACAAACTTGGTGCAACTTCGTGATAGTTCAAAATCACTGGTTTATTTGGTTTAAACTTTCCGCCATCTTGCATTTTGCCCCTGTACTTCAAATAAAACGAATAAAATAGACCACTCTCATATGACGTCAAACGCGAAAGCCTGATGTCACACGAAGTTTGATTGGCTCCGCAAAATTAACCAGCCAATCAAACTTCGTGAAATCAAAAAACTAGTGCTAGCCGCTAGCCCGAGTGCGTCGTAGTGCGTCGTATGTTTTTTCGTGGACCTTGCAGAGGCTTTGATAACGACTCGATTTAGTGCAGAACGAGTGTTGCATGCAGTATTGTATTATTGTAGGCGAACTTAGATTACTGGTACATTTGTCGTAAATCGATTCGTTCTAGTAAATCGTAAAGAGTTTAGACATATTCATTTTTTTCATCGATACAGACTGACAATATTATGAAGGTTTGAAACAAACGTCCACTGACTGCACTCTTCATTTAATAAGATGATAACAAAGACGCGTATTATGCATAAAACTGATTTCAAAGTTTATTAAAAACAAGTTGGTAGATAATAAAACAGCAAATTACTATAGTTGATGAAGCGAAGGTAACAGGAACTTGAGGAACAAGATTCAGGACGCAAGTCCAAATGCCAAAACCGCACTCAAACGAAATGCGTCGACAGATTGCCAAATCGATTCAGAAGCACGCTTTAAAACATTCTTTCATTCTTTCTGGCACCGAACAGTGTTCCGGGAATTTAACCCAGAAGCCAAACAATGTGTTAATAAGTGTTATTTACAAAGCTCAGCCCCTGGACTGAGCTTTAGACGACCTGGCATCAAACCAAGTGTATATAGTGTAGAAATGGAAGCAATTTTGAAAGCTTTGTTTGGCCCCAAAACTGGACACTGTTTTTTAAAGCCAAACGAAAAGGAGGGAAACCGGAGTGCCCGGAGAAAAACCCTCCTGGTAGTCTGCAGCATAGCCAAGGCTGTATCGCAGACTACCATACGGCGGTCCGAATTTGATATTTTTAATTTGGAAATTCCGCAATTGCAAGAACGCTTCATATTTGGCAAGCTGTCAAACGCATGAGTTGAGTCGCCATATTGATTCGCCATTTTGTTTTGAGTCGCCATATTGATTCAACCATTTTTGCTCAAGGTTTCCAACTTTATATTTTCATTTCCGGTGTTTATATTTTACTTTTGGTTGTTAAATAATTATCGTCTGACAAATCCCTGAATTTTCCATGTCTTTTCCGTTGCAAAAATCATGCAATAAATCGGGAACGTGCAATTGTGATAAACAGGGGGGGGGGTGAGAGAAATTCTGGAGCTTTGTCAGACAATCCTGATGGTCTAAGGAAGATACGTCATTTATGGTATTTAAATTTTTCTTATTTAATACCTTTTCGACTTTGAACTGCGCGCGCGCTTCTATGAAGAACATTTCATGAGCTCATTTACATAACATGCGTTCTCAAGTAACTGATTAGCAGTGAAAATATGTAGCCTAAGATTTGCTGTGTGTAGTTTTACTGGTAAGCTTGCTTGTGATGAATTAAGCTTGTATCATGAGTCAGTCAGTGTTATTTTTTATTCAAAACGGACACGTATAGACAAGATCAATCGAAATTCAAAATCTCCTTGTAAAAATCATTCACGGCACGAATTTCTATGTTTTACCACCATTTTTACTCTGGGTTCGGTTGCTTCAAACATTGAGAAAACACAGAAGAGAACACCCAATACAGACGGGCTTTAAATAATGATAATATATTTTAAGTTACCCCCGTTTGTTAGAGAAGAGAATGAGTCAATACTTAACTTTAGCACTTGAGCCACGTTCTTGATTTCCAGACCACTCGCCAAGCGACGGTTCTTGACTTTCGTCCGATCAAACACCGGGAAAGGATGGGAGTCGTCCGTCTTGCGCATGTGCTGTGTAAGGACCATTCATCTACTGACGGAGGTGATATTCTTGTTGAATTGCATACGCATACGCCATCACCTAGGCCCTGAAAATACTCAAAAAGGAGCTCAGTACGTTCAATTTGATTCTATGTGCATGTTTCGATTTGTCAGTTGGTTTCGTTGTTCTGAACTCATGCACTGAATCAGGTATTGTTGTGTCAGTCTTGGTTTGTACAGTAATGTTGTCTTGTCACACCCAGAGTCCTCTCTACCCCCATCCCACCCCCGCAGACAGAGGGTTCGAATTATACCTGTACTTACCCAATGTTCGAAGCAACCATTTGAAATGCATGCAGGATGAAACGACAGACGGAAACAGTAAACCGAATTTCGAAGAACAGGAGATTTTGAAACAAATTGTATGAAGTCTATTGCATCAAATAATTCAAGAATATTTTTCGTTCATGCATGCTGAGAAAGTCAAAGACAACTACAGAGTCGTTGTCTTAATGTCTTGAAATCAAGTTATACTTTCCCTACAATTTGACTGTATGGATTGCATGGATTTGAAAACTGTTTGAAAATATTTGTCTTATATGGATAATTCTGCTCTATCAAAATCACGTGCAAACCTGTAGAAATATGTGGTTCAATGTGGTGTAACTTAATGCAATATGCTGAGAAATGAAAAAGATAATGCTATATGTGTATTTATTTATTTATATATATAATTTTCGCCATTTTTTTGCCCAAGGAGCTTATATAACATATATAACCGCCTTGGTTTTTTATCTTGCACCGGATACTGCATTAGATCCGACCTTATCGCGCACGCGCATCGCATCTATTTACCAGTCACGTTAGTGATGTTACCGCTAGCATTCAGTTTAGCAAGTTATCATGCATCCTACACGAGTTAGATCATGCATCCTACACGAGTTAGATCATGCATCCTACACGAGTTAGATCATGCATTCTACACGAGTTAGACCACCAGGCGATCTCGACTCCAGAACAACTAATTATATCATCCATGCATTAACTTATTCACGAAAAGTTCTGAAGTCGACATCCATGCAACTACAATACCTATAGTACCTATAGTATAAACCTGGATGAGCTTCTTCTTTTGACGAGGCCACTCTCTCATCGTCGACGCATCTCTCTAATCGCATCCTCACGACCCACGCATAGATTAGGCTCCAGTATCCGCGTCGACGTACGCCCCCCAAGGAAGTCCAGTACTCCAGTTGATATACATACATCGTCGCCAGTCATCAATGCAAGTCCTCCAATCCACTTCCAGGTTCCAGTTGTGTGGTTGCAGTGCTCGTAAAGTCATCCCCATGTAGCACGCAAATACAAAATGTTCTTATAAAGCCTTTTAGGCGAAACTATCATCAAAAGAAACATCGAAAAACGTAAATAAAGTTTTATTAGGATACAGCCAAAGAATATAATCGGATATTATTTTATATTTTTCAGTTCACCCATGCAGCCGAAAATTAGTTTGCTTTAGTTGCTTTTTGCAAAATTAGTTTGTTTTAGTTGCTTTTTGCAAAATTAGTTTGTTTTAGTTACATTCAGTTTTGGTCATTTTTGTTGAGTTTTTTCAAACAAACGTATCGACGACAACAACACTCAAATATTCGCTCCTTCTCATTACTCGTGCATCACGAGTTAAATTCAGTTTGAGTCGCTTCAAAAGCAACATGATTTTGCCTGTTCAACCTATTGAGCAATAGAAAGTACAAATGAGGGGCCCCTATCACTCGTACTTTCCATGCTCCAGTTAACAATCAAGGGTTGGAACAACTGTTAAGTCGAAAATTTGAAAATTAGGATCGAGTAGAAAGTGAAGCGCGTCGTCAATGATTCACGAATAATTTTAGTTTTTACAGCCAAATAAAGTGAACTGAAACCTCCTTCGTGACTCAAACAGCAGGATTTATGAGCACGAGTCCATATAAATCGTAATTTTTAGAATTTGCATTTGCCCACATTTAGTGAATGAATCTGTAAAAAAGTAATGAAGATTATTAAGAGATATGAAGTATGCGTTCTTTGGAGTTATGTGGGAGTGTCAAGGATTGTGTTTTACTAGCGGTTTTGTTTAACGAAGGAGCAATTATTTTGAAATTCATGCCAGCGAAAAATCAATGCATGCACTTGGAATTCCTTTGTTCAATCAGGGTTCAATTCACTGCAATTAAAGCTTGACAAAAGACACGAGTTTTTCAAATTTCGCCACTTCTCCTTGACGAATTTTGCTCCGGCTAAATCATCAGAATATCAACGCTAGTAGCGTCTAACAATTACAAAAACATCAGCCAGATTTAGCGACGAGAATTCGACCAGAACTCAGACGAAACAACCATCGAAAATGCTAATTGACTTCAATCGATAAACAATTTAGGCAAAGTTACCATGAACCGCTTATTACCTTCACTCACAAAGCAAGATGCTTTAAGAAGCCTCGTTCGATTTTGCCTTCTAAAAGCTCTTTAAATCTTTGCCTTTTGTCAGTTTCGAATTTTCTGCTCAGGATTCGTTCTTTCTTGAGAATATCTTTCTCACAACGAAGAGTCTTCTCAAAAACTCAGGCTTTATAACTGGCTCGAACATCCCCCGCGCGGTGAGTTAAGTTGCCTTAAATTAACTCCCCAGGTTCCCCATTGTTGTACAACAATGCGTCAGATTGAATGAAAAAAGATTTGTCAAACTCAGTCTATTGTGATTTATTAAAATAAGCTTTCTACCTGGTATACTTTTCAAAGGAAATAATTTAAAATAAGTTGCACAATGCGGTAAAAACTTTATGCAGATTATTAGCCAACACATCCCATTGGTGGTTGGTTGATATCTTCACCCTTACATTAGCATAAAATGCAAACTGAGCGCTGGAAAAAAACAGGACTGCGCATTTGAACCAGAACATCCATGGCCGGCACAATGCAAAATACCTTGCGCGCCTGGGTACGAGCATAGGATCGAGGCTGATGGTGGCCTATCCCAGCGTGCAAGGCGGTCACATTCTTCCTCGAAGATTCAAAATGGCGTCCCGTGCGAACCAGCGTGAACAACGTGCACAGAAAACAGTGGAAACAGACGATCAAGAAGACGATTTAACTAAAGTAGAATATGAAACTTCAGAAGGAGTCGAAGTGATACCAACTTTTGACGGCATAGGGCTTCGCGAAGACCTTTTACGAGGGATTTACGCATACGGTTTGTAAACTGTAAAGTTCTGAAATGCCATCCATGTGATGTGACAACATAACGAGAAATAACTAATTCAATGGATAAATTACTCTTGCTTGCCCCAGCAATCCCTGGATAGCAAGAAAATGAAAATATCTTGTGAAAAAAAAGGTGTCATCCTTCAGTATGAAATTACAGATATCCATTTCTGATTCGAATATTTCCAACTTCTTACACTTCAGTAACAGCATTTTTTGGCTTGTATTTTACCCACTCTTTCCAGTATCTGTGTATGTGACTTTCTTCTGGTATAAATTTGTTGGTTTTTGTCATTGTGAAGGTTTTGAAAAACCATCAGCCATCCAACAAAGGGCAATCAAACCAATTCTCAAAGGAAGAGATGTGATTGCACAGTAAGTTGTTTGTGAAATTTTGCACTGAACATTGTGTGCTATGGTGGCATTCAAACACTACAATCACAGCCAAATTTGTGTGATGTGAAACCTTTTTTTGTGCAATATTAACAGGTCACAATCCGGAACAGGAAAAACAGCAACATTTTCTATCTCTGCACTGCAATGTCTAGACACACAGGTAGTGTAAGCCTTCTACCTGTTGTGTGTTGGTTACTTTCTTCACAAAAACATAGTTCATAATTCCACATTTCTTTGTATTTAGAGTCGAGAACCCCAAGTTCTAGTTTTATCTCCAACACGAGAACTTGCAACGCAAATCCAGAAGGTTTGTTTCAGTCAAGCTTCCCAACAGTATTCTTGCAAAACTCATTTTTTAAATGTATCTCTAAATTACATGAGTATTATGATACATGATGTGTAATCATTCCAGGTTTGTTTGGCTCTGGGCGACTACATGAACGTCCAATGTCATGCTTGTATCGGTGGCACAAATATCGGTGAAGACATCAGAAAGTTGGACTATGGTCAACACATTGTTTCTGGCACGCCTGGAAGAGTTTTTGGTAAATTTCAAGTCAATTTATGGAAGTGTCCTGAAATTAGACAGCTTTGAATTTTAATTTGCATCATTGTGAATGTTTTCAGATATGATTGGCCGAAGAAATCTTAGAACGAGGAACATCAAGATGTTCATCCTGGACGAAGCAGATGAAATGCTCAACAAAGGTACACATCTTGGTCCTACCTAATACCTTGGTAGTTGGCTATCAATAAGATCTGATTATATTTCTACTAGGTTTCAAGGAGCAAATATATGATGTCTACAGATATCTTCCCCCAGCAACACAGGTATGGAATGGATTAATAATCATTCACTCTCAAACTGGGTAATTTTGATGTTAATTCACCAGAATGCATGTTTAGGTAATACTCATCAGTGCCACCCTACCTCATGAGATTCTTGAGATGACTTCGCGGTTCATGACTGATCCGATTCGCATTCTGGTAAAACGGTGAGTTTTTGTGGATTTTTCTAATTTCACAAGTGCAGTTAGATAACTGATCAGAATACATTGTTTTCAGTGATGAGTTGACCTTAGAAGGAATTAAGCAATTCTTTGTGGCTGTTGAACGAGAAGAATGGAAATTTGACACGCTATGTGATCTTTACGATACCCTAACCATTACACAAGCTGTCATCTTCTGTAATACGAAGCGAAAGGTACATTTGTTATGTTTGAAGAGATGTTATGTTTGAACTGAACAAAGATTTTGGAGCCATTATAATTCCACATTCCTTTCCAACACTTTGTACAGACATCTTTGGGTACTGGTGTTTACTTGAATTTGAACTTTGCAGGTCGACTGGTTGACAGAGAAAATGAGAGAGGCAAATTTCACAGTATCTGCCATGCATGGGGACATGCCTCAGAAAGAACGCGAGGCAATCATGAAGGAATTTCGTGCAGGTCAAAGCCGTGTTTTGATATCAACCGATGTCTGGGCTCGAGGTTTAGATGTTGCACAAGTGTCTTTGGTCATCAACTTTGACCTGCCAAACAACCGTGAGTTGTACATACACAGGTAAACAACACAGAATTTGCAAGCTCTTGCATGATCAAATCCATTTTCTCAAGGAGATCTCTCAATGGAAGAACTATTTTTTCAGAATTGGTCGCTCTGGTAGATTTGGTCGAAAAGGTGTTGCAATTAATTTTGTGAAGTCTGATGATATTCGAATCCTTCGCGATATCGAACAGTATTACAGCACGCAGATTGATGAAATGCCAATGAACGGTAAGAGACTAGGTTCTAATGTTTGAGTTTTGTCTGTGTGATGGGATTTTTATAGAATTGTTTCATTTCTAGTGGCGGATTTGATCTAGAGAGAACAACCAGGCAGACCTGGACACAAAGAGATCTTTTTGAAAACAGCAACTCTTTTGCGGGATGTGCAGATATTTTAACAAGCTGACTCAAGCTAAAAGGATCATCTTATGACATTCAATATTTCCATGCTTAACTAATTTGTAAACTGTAATATTTCTCGTTGTATAATACTGGCATTTTAGGTAAAAATAAAAGAAAACTGAGCACTGCCCATGATTTTTTCTATTTTAACCATGTTGAGTGTTCTGGAAGGAAAGGGTCTGCAGTTTAGGGCTCCTACAATACCCACAGAAAAGATTTTTGTGCATTAGAATGTTGTTTTATTTACATTATATATACCAACCAGTTGAAACCGTTTGTAAGATAGATAAGCTATTAAGTCTTATACTTAAGTGCACTTTTTGAGCCATTAAAGTCGCCAAAGAATATCCTGCGCTATCAATACTAATATGTATTGAATAATAGTAGCCTATCCCACGATGAACCCTGTCATCCCTCAATCATCATCGTCGTCAAATTCCTCGTCATCACCCTCTTCCTCGCCTTCATCAGAAGCCTCGAGTTGCGCTGCCCTCACCGCATTTTCCTCTTCAACTGTGGGGTCATCTGCCTCCGTGATCTCAGGACCGCTCGGGTACTCCTCTTGGGGTGTGGGTGGTGCAGGCGGACTGTAGTTCTCGGAACTGTACTTTTGACCCCAGCCAACATACACGTTCTCGAATTTTCTACAAGAAACGGAAATTCATTAAGTTGCCACGTTTTAGCCACAAAAAACTTCTTATGTTCAGGAGAAAGTTATACTGTTATATATCACTACACATGAATCGGAGTTTCAGCTGTCGATCGACTTACCTGTCGATCGCAAAGCAATGACCTCCAGGCCATAGGTTACTATGCAGAATAGCAACTGAGTGTTGTGGGACGAGACTTGGAGCTCTGACCGCAGTCCACGCTGGAAAGCCGTCAATATCTGAAAAAAAACAAACGTTATTTGGTAAAAGTTTGTTGAGATATTAAAAGTTTGTTGAGATATTTTTTTCCAACTTCGGGTGAGGTACCTGTGTCTTCAGATAAAGGAGTGAGCAATGGCGGACCAACTTCTGGTTCAGGTTCATCTGGTTCCTCCCTTTCCTCGTCTTCTTCTTCCTCCTCTTCTTCCTCCTCATCTTTGCTTTGATGATTGAACCAAGAGCAACGACCCTGAAGAGACACCATAATATTCTGGATTATCATATTGTCACCATTATCTTCATCACTACCATCACTAACCATGACGATCACTGCTATGTCATATCGCCAGAGCAATCATGCTATGGTGATGAGATATATTTGATCACACCCTCTTACCTGGGGTAGAATGTATTGAATGTGATGGACCCAGTTAGTGAGAGAAGAATCGATCAGCTCGCTCACGCTCAGTCCTTCAAATTCAGGATTCGTCACAAAGGTATCACGGACTGAAACAAAAACAGCATTTATTTGGCGATCAGAAATAAATATGCGTGGATAAATTGAGGGAGAGTGAAGCGTCTTGGTGAATCTATCGCTAGTCTTCGATGTCATTTCTTACCTCCTTCGTCCTCTTCGTCCTCGTCTTCCTCAAACATGAAGTATCCTTGAGGACTAACATGCGTTGAGGCAGAAATCCGCGCAATAATTGCTCGCAGATAGTTTGTTTCATTGCCCGGGAATGGCGGATAGCTCACAATCTAGGACACGAGAAAATCCATGCAGTTTAGAAAACGTTTCACATGGGAAGATTTATACAGCTTGTAGTAAATGATTACCGGAGCGTTCGGGTTCCCAGTGAAGAATTTCTTGATTTGTCTTGACGTTACAATCTGTGCTGGAGTCACAGGAGGCAGACGAATCCACGGATTTCCAGCTGAAAAAGGAATTATAAATGTTCGATTATTCACCATCTTTCGATTTGTGTTAATCTACCTGTGATCGGACGCTGCGAGTGTCTCTGTCATTATATCTTTTGTTGTAAACCACACGTTTGTAATGCTGAGGTAAACTCACGTTCTGTGCACAGGAAATAAACCTTCTTATTGCATCCAGTTCTCTGATATTCCATTGGGATCTCAGGCGGAGGCTTGTAGTCAGGTTTGGGTATTTCGTCTTCTTCAACATTCAAACTGTCTCGACCTGTACATATGAACACAACAAGTTACTACAACATGACCTTTGATTTGATCAGGGGCTTATTCAGGCAGCTCTTCAATAACAGTTCATCAGTTAAAACGTACTTTTCTGTGAGAGGACATGTTCGGATTCTTCTTCCTCTATTTTCTCTTCATCAGGCTAAACAAAGGGATGAATCTCAAGTTAAAACGCATGCTAAGTTTACTCTAACAAACATCCAAATATTTCTCACCCCTTTTGAATATTGTTCTTCGGGATCCTCCCCTTCTCTGAACTCCACTTCTGCGATGTAGTAGTTATTTTGCAAACCAAACATCTTTCCTAAAATATAACGATGTAGGATTCAATTTACGCTTGCCATACCGTTCAAGACAATTACCCTTGACCTCCCGTCACGTTTTATCCAGACATGGACTGGAAACTCACCCCAAAACCTACAAGTCAGTATTGGATTAGAATCCACTAATTTCTTTAGCGCTAGGAACACTCGAAAGGTTTCTTGTTTGTTAATTCCAACGCCACCAAGATGAAAGTAATGTGCCAACTCCATGATATCAGGCAGTGGTGTTTCAATTTCTTCATCTGGATCAACATCAGCCATTTCTTGCTGGAAATTGGCTGGATTTTGCTATCAAAGTTTAAAATAGCGTTAGTGAGTCAAACGAGTGTGAAGCTGTCAATGCAAACGAGTACATTGCTTTGTTTTTATGTTGGAGTCGTAAACAAACAGAGTTTCAAATGTGTTAGAAAAGAAAGACAGCTTGATAGGAAACGTAAAGTACTCATTTAAGTATTTTGTGTTGTGTTAAAACGTACAAGATTCAGAACGTGATTTGTTCTAAACAACTAAAATTTCTAAGGCAGGAAAGAAAAACCTTGCAGAGCAACATCAAGAGAAGTGTTATATGACTGAGGCTACATTTTGCTAGGATAAGATTAAGGTGGAAAAGACTACAGGAAATCAATAGAAATTCCAGTACCACAAAAAGTTCAGAATGAGTTTTGGCCAGTGTTACTTCTGATGATTCATCTTCATGATCCTTAATTTCAAGATATTTAAACATAATTAATTTTCATTATTATCTTATATATTCCTATTTCTTGATAATATTAAATCTCAAAGCCACATACTTGTATAGCATCAGAGCAGGGTCTAAACTTTGCTCTTTTTTCTTCTCTGCTTGTGTTCTCCAATATTTCTGGAATAAAAAACAAATACACAAATTGTTTTTTTTAACTATGTCATTAGCATTTTTCTTGATGTTATTTCTATTTTTGAGTAAGTATTTTCATCGTGCTCCTGCTTACTGAACTTTATACATCTCTTTGGTTAGCTTGTTTATTACTTCTTCATGTTTCTCTATGTTCATTTATTTATCCTCTTTATTCATTTATTTATCTTTTATCTTCTTTTCAATATTCTCATCTGCCAATCTGTTTGTTTATTTATTTGATTCCTTGTTTATTTGTTTACCTATTTGTTTGTTCAGCTGTTTGTTTATTCTTACTTTTTGTGAGCAACAACGTACAGTACTATTATATTAAATATTTCTTCCTAATTAAAAGCTACATACTTAGAGCATCGTTGGGTCTTTCCTTCAACATTTGCGCCAACATTGAGGCCAAATGTTCATATCTGCAGAAATAACAATAAAAGGGGAACATTAAAAATACACAAGAGACAACGAAATTCAGTGACACGGCCTGATTGATGGTACGATCATAGGACATAGGACATCATACTCACAAACTACCGTCACCATCGCTTGCTTGCTTTAATAAATAGGCTTTGCTATTTCTTATTTGAGTCTCCAAGCTACTACTATCCACTTCCATGACTTCTGTATTTTACAAAATAAAGCTTTGCAGAACCTCTAAACAAACCAATAAATCATGATAAACTTTATTTTTGTTGTCTCAACTTCGATCCAACATGGCTGGCTTGTTTCTATCTTTGTCTCCATGGAAACAAGGACGCGAATAATTTCACCGACGTCTCACGACACTTTCCGAAGACCCTTGACAATACAAGTGCTCTCTTACGTAAGATTTTATCCTTAAACACAGGAATTTTGCATTATAATATAAGATTACTAATAAATTAATCGATGGAAATATGAGGAATATTGGAGGTAATCCAAAGGAGTTCATAAACTTTTATTATGAAACCTGCTTAGACGAACGACTGAGAAGAGTGAACTAATTTTGACTAAATCAAACCGATAAAAAAACATTTAAAACATGGGCTAAACAGTGCGAAGCTGTCTCTGGATTGCAGATCCGTATAATGCCTTTTCTTGGCAAGAATTTTAGGAAAAATAAAGAGAAGAAAGAGAAGGTTAAAGCTGAAAAAAATAAGAATGGAGTTGCGTCTCCGAGCTTCGGTCGAGCGGATGCAAAAGTAAACATACGAAGCAAAGAAGTTTTAAATCGCGGAGGTAAAGTTACATAACACCGATCGTCTTTGAAGTCTAAGTTTTCATGCTTTGGCTTGTACTTTATACAAATTCATTACAGTTTCTGCCTTTTTATGTGTGAAGATTATTTTGATTAATGTTATGTTCACGTTTTATATTCCAACAATATTTATTTGTGGTTTAAATATTGAAGTGCTTTAAGTAGTTGATTGGAACGGCTTTATGTCTCTGACAGGCGTGATTTCTACTCCAGCAAATATAGCAAAGGGCTGTCAAGAATCTGTGTGAATCAATTCTGACATATTTGTACGATCCACGCTGAAATCGCATATTTACCAATTTTGTCCTATATTCATTTCCATTTTGTTTACCCAGTTGGAGGAAAGGAAATATGTAATCATAGATCTGATTGTTATGATAACAATTGATTCGCTTTAGAAATGTTAATATAAAAGGGTGCTAAAGAGTTATTTTACTAGATCTTTCCTGTGTGATCTCTCTTTGTCTCTATAACTTTTGCCAAGGTGTTTTGCTGTAACCACTTACTTACTTAAAGTGCAGGAAATCCTCGCACTAGTGAGTTAATCATTCACCTGAAGACTTAATTAACTTGTCAACATGATATATACATCAAGCCATATCACTGTGGTAAATATGTCAGTCTGCAGATATTTAATCTGTATGGAAAAACAATATAGATATCACTGCTTGCCAACCTACAGGCTGCATCTATAAAACATTGTCGAAGCATTTATCATTTCCTAGAGATATTGTGCATGGTTCAACTTCAACATTACTTTTTTCTTACCTATAAAGATTAATTGCACAATGTTTGTTCTAGATTTACAAAATGCAAAACATCGACCAATACCATCAAGGGATATTTCTGAATCATATATTGAATTGCCAACTGTAAATGATAATGACCACAATAGACCTCCATCTGTGTACAGCGGTGGTTCCTTAGAACAGAGGGGTCAGACAGCCTTGGCCAGAACAAACTATATTGAGGAGTCCGGTTCTGATGGCCTCAGCGTCAATTCTAATGATTCTCGACTTAGCAGAGGATCGGGGAACTCCTTTGGAAACCGTTCAAGAGAGATGGACTTATTTAAACAAAATGGAAAGCATTTTACTAGAGACAATGGACTACAGGCAAACATGGACCAAATATTAGAATCATACAGATCCCCTCCATCATATGCCAATAGATTTGGATTGCAACGCGGTCATTCACAAAATACTGCCGATAGATATCGACATCCACCGCCATATAGGGAAATGAGGAACAGTTTTGGATTTCATGGGGTAAAACCAATAATGTACAGTAGATCAGAAAATGTACTCAATCGCCCCATAAGTGGGCACCAGGCTTCCAGTTACCCAGATATTCGGTTAGTTGAAGGAGTGGGTTTCAGACAATTTGGGCAGCAGATGCCTGCAAACAGGCAGGCGAGAAACCCGAAACTATTCAGAAAAGTTGATCAAGCAACAATGACAGATGAAGTTGCAGATGAGTCTGATTTAGGCATCCAAGATCTAGGGTTTCCTTATCAGATTTATAGCAGCCAACAAGCTGCAAATCAAGAACAGGCATCATTACACTCAAACCCATATGAGGCATTTAGTGGATTAAGTTTCTCAGCCTACACAGACCCACATCTAAATGACTCTAGGATATATAATTTTGGCCAAAGCTGGGGTGGTCAAGAATTAATGATATCAAGTCCAACAGGGCCTTGGTTCCACACACCACAAGTCAATGGAGAGATGTATGAAGGACCACAGAGGTCTGCGCAGGGTAATTCACCAACTGCATCTGGTCTTGAAGCAAATTCTCCAGGTATAATTATTATTATAGCATAAAAGCTCTGTTATTGACTCTTTAACACAGCCTTGTGCATTTACAATGACCTGATAAAATGGCAACAGTAATGAAATACATTTCATCACTAATTGCAAAACCAGCTTATACAATTGACCCTTTGCATGTTAGACTACTTTTTGATCTGTGCAAAATAATCTAATCAATTCCAACATGCAAAGGGTCTATTGACTTAGGAATTCCAACATTTCTTTTAGGCAAGTTAAAGACACTTGATTACTCTCTTCCACCTGGATGGACCGTGGACTGGACTCGGGATGGAGAAAAGTTTTATGTGGAGTAAGATTTGTACAAACTGGGATTTATATAACCAAGTTATGATCTCTTGAAATTTAATGATATCTCTGGCTTTCTTTCAGCCATAATAATCAAACAACAACATGGTGTCATCCGTTTGAAAAAGCTGGTTAGTCTTCATGTGTTTGATTTAAGATTCTTCCAGTTATCCTCTTATGGAGAGGTGCTGGAGGAACTGACAGCTTATTGTACATTGAATTTGCATGTAGGAATGTTAAAACTAACCGCATTGAACATCAACTTCAAGACGTATAAAATAAAACTATTATTTCTTAGGTCTGCCTGAAGACTGGGAGAAAGTTGAATCACCTGAACATGGCACATACTATGTCAAGTAAGCATGCATAAAAAATAAATAAGCATTCTTAATAAACAAAATACTTCCAAATCTCAGGTGGTACATTTGTTCCTCCAAACTATTTTGATCATAATTATAAAAAAATTTATACTTTTAGTCACAGAACAAAAACAGCTCAATATGACCACCCTGTAAAGCATTTGTTGGTAGAAGAGAACCTTCCTTATCCCTCAAAGGACTCTTTAGTACCTGCAAATCCATATATGTATGCTGGTAAGTATAAATAACTGATATCTGATCAATCAAGATCCCCTTAGAAATGTTGTTTTGATATGCAAACATTATCAGCGAACTTGGAGTAGCAAAATTATTGTGGGAGAAAAGGCTTCCTTGATATCTTGCTATATCTTGCTATATCTTGCTAGGACCAAACTGTCTTCTTTGGTGACTGACCATGCTTATTACTCATACTTTTAGAGATACCTGGATGGCTTCAGTTTTACTCAACAGCTTCATCAGAATATGATCAGTATCTTAAGGTATGTATAAGGGATATGATTGGGAATATTGGAAACATGCACAGATCCAGGTCATGGAGAATTTGTACAAATCTTAACAATTGCCCAACTTTTCTCTCGTAGTGGGATTTATTCCGTTACCCAGACCTAGACTGCTTTCAGACAATGTTGAAACGTCTCTACAAGAAGGACTTGGAGCAGGTTGTGTACAGGTACGAGGAGCGAAGGCAGGCATTGCAGAGGGAAATTGAACGAAGACAACAGCAAGGGCCTAGAACGTTTACTACCCGAGTGCTAGCTGAATTGGGCGATGAGACAAGTGTATAGGAGGACAGTATTCAATCTGAGGATGGAGAATGCTTTGAATCATTCACACAAAGATGTTGGAAGAAATCTACTAACATCCCATTACAAGTTTGAAGCAATCTTGTGCTGGGAAGTCAAATTGCAATCCAATTTCGTTGGAATTTCTGTTTGAATTGGTTAGAGTTGCATTTGTGCAGATGTAAAAGAGGCATGCAAGGTCACCTGTAGGATGTTGAAAGAATTGTTGAAGGATTAAGGGCCTGTTTACATGGAGCGAGTTACCCTGGCCAGGCGAGGTGAAAACTGCATGAAAGACTAATCAAGTTAAGCCTTGATATGATGCGCTTTTACCTCGCCTAGCTGGGATAACTTGCTCCATGTAAACAGGCTGTAAATATGAATTGATGCGGGATACCAATAATAAAATTGCAATGTAGATTAGCATAGTAATGCAGATAACTGCTTGTATAAACAGTTTGTATATAAAAACTGAATATATTGGTCTTTAATAATAACTAATTAGAGTGGTTGTACTGAAGTGTACAGAAGGAAGATTTTTGGAGAGCGAAATTGTAGTATAGACATAAACGTATCAATTTGAATCTGTTAAAAAATTAGAAGGTTCCTAAAAGGTAAGGTAATGTAATATTCCTTTGCAATCAAAAATGATGAAAAAAACTCTTCAAAAAAGTAGACTAAACACCATCTTCCCCCCCGGAACGCCATGGCAACGAATACCTCAACATGGCTGAACAACCTGACCAGGTATTGTCGTATAGCTTCGAATTTTTCAATACATTCTGCTCAAAGTCTCTTCTCCCTAATTTCACGACAAACTGACATGCTAACTATATTGTCTGCCAGGTTTCCATCAAGATTCCCTTCGGTGAGAAAGAATTAGACGCGATTATCTCGCGTCCAAAACGAACCTCCTGGCAAGGCTGTGGTACCGTCCTCACACATGGTGCTGGAGGAGACATGAACCACCAGCATTTGGAAATGTTAGCAAAACATTTGTGCGATGCTGGCATACTGTGTCTTCGCTTCACTATGAAAACACCAAATTTTAAATATCGGGTTAAATGTTTCGCAGCAGTCATGGTAAGTAACTTGAATTGTGATGAAAGACTGAAGTACTTTGTTTACAAACTAAAAACGCGGGAAAGCAGAACTTTAAATTTTGCAACACACAGGGGGTTGTAACAATGGTTGTATTATAAACCTGTATTAAACCTGTATTTGTGGCATGCAAATTATTCTATAATGCCTACATAGAATAATAGAGAATATTTTTCACAATGATCATCCAAGAAATACCATTAACTTTGTCAAAGTGATCCATGCTTGAACTATAGACTTTCTTGTTTCAGGACTTCTTGAGAGACTCTAAAGAATTTCATGTAACATCTTGTGTTATTGGTGGTGAGTAATGTACATTTATGTGCAAGTCATTTGCTGGTTGCCACAGAATATGCTCTCCAATTTAGGTCGCTCCATGGGTGCACGGGTGGCTGCAGAAATTGCTTCGACGCTTGATCAGCGTAACAAAAAATTTATAATTGGTTTGTTATGTCTGTCCTACCCTCTCCACCCTCCACAGAAAACCACTGAGCAACGGGTATCATCAATCCTTCCTTTGGGAATTCCAACATTGTTTGTGAGCGGTACTAGGGATAAGATGTGTGACCAAGATCTGATGGAAACCACCTTAAAAAGACTAACCTGTGATTGGTCAATACACTGGATCCAGGGGGGTGATCATGGGATGATGGTAAAGGGCAAAGACAAGAAAGGAAGTCAAAACAACGAGGAGATACTGCAAGACATTTGTAAAACTGTTCTCTTGTGGACACAGTCAGTTTTCATGGGAGAAAGGTGACACTAGCTCCACCCCCCCCCAACATGCACCTTTAGTGACCTTGGACAGCGTCAAACACCAACACATCCATTTTTTCTCATAATACCGAAGACGCTTGGATATAATGCTGATCTTTGACAATTTAAAATGGACAAACTTTCAAATTGGAAATACTCACTTCCTTATCTAAACTGCTTCAATAATGGTGATAAGCCAGGTGGAAAGAACTTACTCAAAGTCTAACCTACGAACCTCATGTGTACAAAGATGCAAAGAAAGTGTAAATCAACGTATATTTTCGTATTTTGTAAGTAGTTTTAAAGAACCGATAGTTGATGTTTCAATCCATCAAGGAAAAATGCTAACTCCGTCCCACCTGTTCTCTTCTTTAATCTACCCGCGAGGCATGAAGCTTTAATGTAAAGTGTACAGAAGCTGTCACAATATGTTTCCTTATTCCCTCTACGCTTTCGATCCACTTTACTTGCTTAAAGCGCTTGCTAGACGTCCGGATATGAATATCGCCAACGTTAAGGGTGTTAGGATCTTTGGCTTCGACGATATTTTTTGCGCTATTGAGTACTGTATCTGAAAAACAAACATTGAATTACAGGCGGCCGTATGTCCGGTGCTATGCATGTCTATCCGGACATCTCACTGAACTGGTGGTGCTTTTAGCAAATAAAACCGCTTAGTTTTTACGCTCGTAAATCATCGTAAGCTGTTATTGCTAGTGTGCTATAATATGCAGTTTTGGTCAGGAGGAAAATTTCTTTCAAACTGTCAAACATATGAGAGTCATATGAGAGTCGTATGATGGTACACCCACAGAAGGTAAACTTGAAAACTTGGAATGCACCCAAACTAAATTTCTAATGTGACTACACAAACCTTTGCAGCATAACTATAAACAAAAACTATATCAATCGCACAGGATTAGGAGAATTTTCAATTCAGGATAAAAGCTGGGTAGAATGATCCAGCATACAACCGGATCACGCTATAAATGAGTCTTTATTCCAACGCCCTGAACCCGGGCATAGTTTTCATAATTACATAAACCATGCTCTTCTGATTCTAGATTGAAGAAAAACATCACCCTAAATATCTGAATGTTTCCTAGGTGACCTGTTCAAACTCGCTAAATAGAATTGGATAAGATCTGGAATATAATTGGATTTTTCTTCTATAAAAATAAAACTTTTAAAGGCTCACACAGATTTAAAGCTTTAATCTTCCCCGTTTGGGTAAACATAACTGATATGGTTCCGAGCAGAAATATTGTTTTCGGGATTTTAAAGAATTTGGGTTTGCCGTTGTCAAAATAACTGACTACACACCCTTTTGAATTCGAAACCTTTCAGACAGTAACTGAAAAAGATTGAGAATGCCCTGCGTTGCAAACTACAAATTGAATTATACAGTTTTACGATGCTAAGACAGTCAATCTGATTTGTTCAAAACTCTGAATACCGCTAATACTATTTTGAAATTATGATTATAGTATTTTGGATTAATCGAAATTTGTCACACAATCATTTAGAACATTAGAAATTGATAATATCGATATTTTAGAGGTTTTTGTGTATCTGATAATGCCTTCCTTGATCTTTAGTTTATGAAACTTGTTTGAAAGTAGAATTTTATTGCAGACCGAGTGTGTTCTCCACTGTATAGAGTTTAGAAGCCAACGAAGCTAGCAAGGTGGCAAGTCGGAATGCACTTAATCATTGTTAGTAGATTTCAGTTGAGAAGGATACGGAATTATATTTTAATGCAAAGATTTAAACTCTAAGAAAAGCACTCGCATCTTCTTCCATAAGAGAGTTGCCTAATTGTGTCAGCATGGCTTGCATTGTTGATCTAATTCACAGTGGCGGGTGATGACGGCTGGTCTAGACGTTCACCTCGGTCAGCGAAGGTTTTGTGCTACCGGACAGGGAATGATGAAATAACCAGTGTATGTAATTTCAGATCGGAATAGGTGTGTTTAAAGTTCGTGCAAAGGAAATTATTAGAAGGTACGAAGAGCTGCCTGTGTTTCAGGCTACACCCTTGTAAGATGTTTGCTTAACCAAAACTGTTAATCCAATTTCTATTTAGCTTAGTACCACTTAATTTTAATCTTTTGGTGGAACTTTTCCTAGCAGTGCATGCTTTATGTCTTACTTTCATGTTAGCTAGCACGGTAGTCGGTAGTTTAGTTTCATGTCTGTCACAAAGAGAGAGGTATGTATTCTGAGGGTGTCACTGGTCACACCAGGACAGATCAGCGCTGTTTTAACTGGGAAGTGAAACTCGCTGGGAACGTAGCTTCTCGAAAACTTTAATTTGCCACATCAAGGTGGATGTTCCTCCTGCTAAAAAAGCACGAATAATCTCGTTGAGGTTGAGTGTGTTCTTTATACAAAAATGGTATAGTCTAAGGCGAAACAATTTCTAAGTATTTCAATTCGTGTTGTCTAGCGTTTCGTCGTATCTTCCACGATGTTAGACTTTTGCTTTTTCCTCATAAATCTTCTCTATCATTCGTTGAACTAATGCAAAACAATATACATAGGGGTCGTATTTATCTATGACAAGAGTTTAGTGTTCTTCTATTTGAGCAGTTTTAATGGCACAGTGAGTCGCTTAACCACAAATCTTAAACATGTGGGCGGTCAATTTGTAAGGCGAGGTCTGACGTGTGCATATCATGTATAATTGAGAATCTGAAAATAGCCACACATCAAGTGGGCTTTACCAACCTTTTGACCTCGATCACCACTGTATTTGAGCCTGGAATTCAATATCGAAGTATTAATAAGGCAATTGCTTTGTATAGGTTGATTTCATTAAATCAGACAATCGAAATAATCGATTGAAGATATACCAGAGGTTAGTTTCGGTATACAAGGCCCACATATCAATCAAAATACTTATATATACACTTCTATCGCATACAAGTGAACCTTTATTTGCGGGGAGGAATATAATATATAAATGAGGCATATTGCCTTCAAGGGTAGTAACCTTGTTGGTAACCGTGCTGCATATTTCCAAGCATTTTTCACAACTTGATAGCTCTCAAAAACTTGTTATATTTGTAGTTGTGATGCTCGTTCTAATACGTGCATTTTTCATTCAACATTTTTGAAAAATGGGCGGGTGAAAACTACTATGGAAATCGAGAATCTTCGAAATCGTTTATCCCAATGTTGTGGAATTACCGGTCAGCATGCTGATTATCATGAATTGCTTCTAATTAGCATATTATACGCTTCCTAACAACCCACGCAGCCAGGAACCTTCCGAGGCGCGACAATAAACATCTTCATGCATATGATGGCTCTCCTTCATTGAACCTCAAAGTCAGTTACGGACATGACACCTCTTCCTAAAATTCTTGGCCCGGCAATTCTGATTCCGGAAAAGGGTTTCTGCCAAGCATAAAACGTAGACATTCCATAGTTTCAGTCCATCATTACCAATTATATTTTTTTTAAATACTTCTAGCTGAACGAACACGATCCTCTTATATCATTCATGCCATCACGTTACGATGTTTTTTTATTAAAATTAATAAAAAATCGTTGAATTTCAAGAACGCTGTTCTCTTTTGAGAGCGACAAAGTCAACCACCAACGGTTATTTTTCTATTGTGTTCATACCAACAGTGCGACATATCAACAATCCTAGATTGTTCACATTTAATGCAAAACAGCTCTATTTCTCTATCACTAAAATTTCGGTATGTTGTCATTGTTGTGGTCACATGCGCATTTTTAATACATCATCTAATTTGCAAGCCCTTCTTTTAGGAGTTTCATCACCTAGAACATGGATATCTGATTGCATGGGTTTGAAATCAAAATAGTATGTGATTTCATCTTCAGAGCATTCACCAGATATCCTTTGAAAACGGAAGATTAGATTCAAGTTTTTTATTACCAATCGAGAGTCCTTTTCTTTTTGGGAAACTTTCGACTTGTTTCGAGATATTTAGTTGCTTAGATTGTGATATCTTTGCACTTGGGTGTAAAAAATGGGCGAAAAAACGGAAACAGAAAGTAGATTGTATTGTTTATTGTTGATTGTATTGTTAACACACAACAACTACGGTCACTAAAGGTAACATTTTATGAATACTATTTGATTAGCCGCTCCGTCGAGATATCCTGAACATTTTTCATACTTTGTCAACCAAGAAATCAATAAAAATGAATCGCGAATTAACTTTTTAATCTGTACACGTCCTTGCCAAAACAGATTTTGAACACGTTATATGAGAGAAACTGAACGCAGCATTCAATGAACGTTATTGTGTTTGCTGAACAATGAGATTCGTCTCGACTTTGTTCGTAGTTTTTGCGGTCTATCGAGAAGTTAATCTATAACAAGTTTGATCTGGATATGGTATGGTTTGAGTGACAGGTTTTTATCTCCTGTATCTGTTTAGATAATTGTATCTGTTTAGTGTTTGCTGAAAGGGCCTTGACTGAACGTTGCGCTAGAAAAGCTCAACTCTTGTTAATCCATAGAGCGGTACAGTTGCAATAAAATCCGATCCTAGACTCGAATGAAACTACCAAAAGCCTTTTCCTTCCACCATGATTGAGTATAATAATAATAATGCAAAGCAAATAACCTTTGCAAATTGGTTAGCTATAAAACATTGCAATAGATTATAGATATGCCTTATGGTAAACTGAGGATGCAAATGTTTAGATGCCGTAAATATTACGAATTGAAGACACTTTTGGCTTCACAAACCATGCAGCTATAATGTACATTCAAATGTTGACAATTAATGTGTGTACACAGAGCGCAAAGCCGGATCAAATAGTTGAGTCAACAGACTCGTTGCCAGGGAATGTTTTACTGGTAAAAATTGACACGAAAAATTGAGACAAAACTAAAAAGTATTCACAAATTTCAGTTCCAGTTTTAAAGTAGTATCACGGTTCAAAATGAGTCTTGAAAATGATCTATCAGTCCTTTGGAACGAAATAGCGTGACTGACAGCCTCTATTGACACATTCCTGTCTTAATTTCGTCCGGGATTTAGTGGCTGATTCACGAAATGGACAGTTTGATTTTAATATATTTGTTTTGGATTTCCTTGTTGGTGACAGAGGGGTTCACGCATTCCGGTGAATGGTGCATTTTGCATTCTTCCCTGTCACAAGGAGGATTTGATTACTCGCTTGGTTTGTTAGAAGTAGATTTGATGTGGCACATGAAAAATAATTTAGAAGAATAAGTTGAACGAATGCCAGTAATCCAAGTTGGATTTTACAAAGTGTTATCGCAGTGGGTTTTTGGTAAAATTGACTAAGTCATCGAATTGTTGTTTTGTTGGGTCAGTGAGGAAGTAAAGTTGACGTGCTTGCTGTCCCACACCAGCGTGGTCTAAGCCTGTTCTATAACAGACCGAGGTGGCATGCCTTACTCGTGATGAGAGTTCATCTCTCGTGCTTCGAGTGTTTACCCCAGGAGCACAGGTCTCCACCCACTCTGATATCAACTTTTCAACCTGAAGCTAAGCTAAGCAACAGCAGTGTACCAGCCAGCGCTGTTGTGAACTTTCTGCAATTAAAGCATTATACTTAAATATATAAAATAAATCACTCGGGTTTCAGCTGTGTGCGTAATACGATTCAAATTTCTGCAAACAATATTATTGACCTATTTTCCTTTTCAAAGACAATTGGCTGGGTATCTTCCAAAACGACAAATATTGAGGGTTTAATTTTCCCGCAATCTTCCCCCGCCTGGTCACAACGCCCGTTCAATCAAGTCGTTGTATCCCGTCTTTCCTGAGAAACTCATAATTAACCTCAATGCCACCTCCAAAACTGAACGCATTACGATACCAAAGTCATCATTCAACACCAATTTTTTTTTCGGTTTTTGAGGACTCAATACTGATTGTTTATAAGATCGTATTAATTTTATACCCGTCAATCAGGTTATTTGATACCAATTCCTATTATAAACCGATGGTATTCTAAACCCACGACAATGATATTATGACAACAACGACGGATGAGGAATTAAATGGATCGGATTTATCAACGCCCTTTAGTGTTCCCCACTTAACCAGTCATTAATTGCTTCACCCAAGGTGTGACGCCACACGAAGTGTATAAAGGTGATCCCTCGCGACTCATTTTGCATAAATCGCGCCAATACGCAACAGCAGCACGTTTGCGCTACCAAAAATGGCACTGACTTTGCGCAAGTATACTCCGTTTGGAATAAGGGATATTCTTTCTGAAAGATTCGACGCGTCAACCACATCATGTTGCGAGTCAGAGTGTTGTCAAAATTGGGATGAATTCGCAGAGGCTCCGAGTGGGTTTACAAGCAATATAAAAGGCTTTTCCCAAGAAAAAGGTAGAAAGTACAAAAATGAATGTCTTATTACATTATTATTACATTTATAATATTTCAATATGTATCTATTGCTCCTAATCGCGGACTTACCGTAAAGGTCACAAGAAAACACGAACATTATCTGGGTATGAATACTGAGTTTGATTTCTCAAATCAATTACTCGGTGTATTTTGGACGTTGATGGTATATTATGGTGGTCATAATATAGTTTATAAGTCACTATAATTATAGAATTGTTAGTCACAAGGATTTCAACCTACGCTGTGATATTAGAGTTGGACTATATTTTAATATTTTCTAAGAAATTCTAAGCCAGCAAACGAAGGAAGACCTCAGATTCGACTGACGTCCGTGTTTATCTAGTTAGACACGCATTTAGACCAAAACAATAGGACTATTTCTGATTGTTTGCGCTCGACAATAATCGTTGCGGAAAATCATTTATTAAAGGACAGGTAGCCGATTTGAGGAAACAACTGGCGCTGTCAATATCTTCCCACATTACCTGGGGGAAGTACTGAATTTGAACAAACAAATTGCGCGCAATCATCGCGACTACTAAAAACAAGGCAGTAGTTTCATAAACATATATCTAATTTTAAATTTAGGTATTTATAATTGTTGAGTTGTAAAAACATATCCTAAATGTGTATAAAGAGGCAAAGATCGAAAATGTTTTAGGTAAAAAATCAAATGTTTACGCCCGAGTTTTTCATGAAAACATTTGGTGTAAAAGTGATATCTAAGATTACGACCAAGTGCTTTCAAATGCAAGTACACGAGAACCGCTTGCATTCATATTAAGCCGAATTATAACTATTGCACGCTATAATATGACACTAATGAAAATAGCAACTACTGCACGTGATCCAGACTGGCCATCATCTAATGTTTTGCCTCGCTCCATTTTCAGATTATCCACGCAGATTAGTAGGACGAACTGTTTCAGTCATTCAAAAAACAACAGAAGCGGACTACAGCCACCTCAAAGAAAACAACTATGACAGTGATAAATGTTTGAAGGATGAAATGCAACAAGGCAGGCGCGCGCGGACTGTATACACAAGAAATCAGGTCAAAGAACTAGAGACAATATTTCAGATCAATCATTACGTTGATCTCGAGTCTAGAAAATCGCTTTCAAAAAGAATTGGCTTAGAAGAGGACAGAATTCAGGTAATTTTCACAAATGACGTCTTTCTGTAATGGTTATGACGTCATTTCAAAGACTCATTACTGAAACCAGTACCGATAAAGCGGCGTCAATTATACTGAACGTCTAAACCTTTCCTTGCTGAGGCGAGTTGGAACTGAAATGATAAAACAGACCCGTTTTATTTCCTCATATTCAACTCTGTTATGTTATTCTATAATCATACAGAATCGTAAAAATCTGGGGAGAATGATTAATATATATTTAAGTTGATCAATCATGTTGTTATACAGTTTTCCGGGCATTGTTTCAAATCGCCTGGAGAAAAAGCACTCCATCTACGAGTTTGGCTAATTATCGAGTCGCTTGTTGTGGTCAGTTTAATTGTGAAAATAACAAGCCGATAATTGGAAATCCGATTAAATTTATGGTTTAAAATTCGCAATTTGAACTGTGAAAACATTGCAAACTCGATTAAATCTGCCAAAGCTTGATTGAAAGTTTGTTCTGCGATTGCGAAATTAATTTTTTTGCTTTCAATCCTTCTAAAATAGCGTGTGATAGAAATAACATTGTCCGCTAATCCTAGAGCAAAATATACAACCGCTTGTCAGCTTACAATATTTTCACTGTCCAAACTAGGTTTGGTTTCAAAATCGCCGAGCAAAATGGCGTAAGACAGAGAAAGTTTGGGGCAGCAGTTCAAGAATGGCTGAATATGGGTTTTACGGAGCAATGGTGAGGTACTCGAAACAACTGGGCAAAGTGAAACGACCTGCTCTGAAGTCAACTTCACCTTCAACATAGACCAGAGAAAGACAGTCGCATCTAAGAAGCATATAAAATACGCCTTATTTAAGTCATACAAATGTTTGTAAATAGTCTAAGAATGTATTTAATACGTGCACAAAGTAGGGATATAAAGATCATATTACACAATTTATATATTTTCGTTTACAAATGGGTGTAAAAACGGCTGAGGATAACGAATGTAATTATATTCACATGAAATCCAAATCTTGTACATAGCGATTAGTGATTAAATTATACGAGAAAGTGGATTCTAGCCTTACAGATTGCATTTTACAAGAGGAATGGTTAATAATGGTACATTCGCAAATATATTGGTGAAATTTGTCCGTGATATGGCCTACGAGATCTAAACCCGATCTAGTGAAACAAAAGGGCAAGTGATGACGTTGTTGTGAGAAGAACGCTTCTAGTTTGGCTCAAATAATGTTTTCTCCTTCAGAAAACTCAACAATCCTTGCATTCCTTACTGACACAAGAGACTCATCACAAATTGCTTTAATCCTGAATATTTGCGATGCTTTTTCGCTCAACCATCCTATCAACTGTGCTCTCAGGACTCTCAGCTTATAACACGTACGGTCATTAGAGATAATAATGAGAAAATGGCTGCCGGAAATATAGGTCGGTCAGGTTTTCAAAAACGTTCACACGCAGAGTTTCTTACCCTTGGCATCAACACACTCGGCGACTGCCCAAGTATGCGATAACTGCGTTTTAAACTCGTTTGCCCTCAAGACATACTTGGAAAATGCTTATATGACTTATATCCGCATGCTTGAAGGAAAATAGGCTTACTATACGGTGATTGAGGTCAAGAATTTCGTGCGCTGAAGTATGACTATATATTACCGATATGATAATAAATAGCACAGGTAATTCCAGGGATAATTTTATAAACTGATTCTCAACTCCAGTCATAGGACTCAACTCCAGTCATCTGGAAATAGCTACGGAAGACTTGAACTAAACTGTATCTATCAATATTTTGTTCATATTTACAGAAGGCAGCTCCGTCTATTGCACAAAGGCCATGGATTCTTCTTTTGGAGAAAAACGACCTAAAAAATTCGAAAATCAATTGACGGTTTTTTTCAGAGATAAAAATGGGTTTCGAAATCCGTTTCCCAGTGGTACTTTGTGACGTCACCGTTTCGCACAACTTCAATTTCAAACAGGGAAAATTTGCCCGGGCGAATAAAAAAATTGAGCAATATGTTTAGAATGCTTTCTGCCATAATTTTTCTGGCTAATCTAATCCTTTGCATTACGGTAATTTGTTCTACGCGTCTTTTCGCACGAAACAAAGTTCGTTTAGTAAACTGTCAGGTCAGGCCTTCATCTGAAATCAAGCTCGCGTGCCTGATGTCGTGACTAGAGGGAATTAGGAGCGAGAAATGTGACAGATATTGTACTGAATCACTTGACCTGGGGATGCATAATCCCCCAAATGTACATCAGCAACTAAAAGGATCTAGCCAAGGTGTCCAAAGCTAAGAATTTCTAATGCGTTGGCAGTATTTGTGTTTGTTATTTTCACATGTGAAAGCACAATGTTCAACAGTGGCATGTGGTGCCACCAATACGTCCCGTGATTGGATTTGATTGGATTTAAGGCTTAAATTAAACACCTTAACTTTATCTGCTTCAAAAACAAAATTTTCATTAGCCTTAAGTTAATTTTGTTTGGGATGAAAACAAACGTGTTCGGTCAAAGAACGCATTCGTTCGGGTCACCAACACTGAACTTTAAGATGGAAATTTTAGGTATCTTTGAAAACATTTTTCGAGAGTACGAAATACGGTGTTTTCATTGAAGAGTACAAAGCTTATAAGATATGACCTTGTCAACTTCTCTTTCCCGTTAGTTTTTCAGAAAGAAGTTTTTCTTTGAGTTTTAGCATTCGTTCATCCAGATCACTGCTTGAACCACTTGATGGTAACAGCTGTAATAGTCAGAGAAACCTCATCATTTACCATAACCATTACCAGTATCCATTATTATCCACCGTTATCCATCATCGCCCAGCATCAACGAGCGTTACATTTTTGAATACTCACATCTGTGTTCCCCGTTTGCTTCTGAGGTCGGAGTCGTCGTGAAGGCGGATAACCCGACCCATTCTGCAATAGAAATGGTCAGAGCCTCTCTTATTCACGATGGAAATGACTTTGTGAAGGGAAAGCGGCAACAAATCTCACCTGGTAGTTAAAGTACTCGGGCGATAGCCCCTCCAAATGCAGTATTTTTTCTTCCAACTTTTTAATACGCTGGTAGACATTGTATTCAACAGACTTGACTGCAAACAATATATTTGTCAATGGAAACGGTGGTTACAGTACTGGGCATGCATTTTAGCTGGGATAATGCAGTGATTTCTTTTTAATCCACTCACCACTCAGTCTGAGATGTGATTCAATATTATCAAGCCGTTCCTCCACACCAGATGGTAACTCTTCTTCTTCATCATCGTCGGCCGTTCTTTGTCGTTTTACAGGAAGGGAATAAAGCATCGTATCCACCGTTATATTGTCTGATTCCATAATTTTACTCTCGCGATCTGCATCGGTCACTTTAAAAAATATCACGGCGTTTAACTGCATACGATACGAAATTATGGATAAAATCAATGGTGTTTTCATCTTGTATCTCTGAATCTCAGAATCTAGGGTTGCCCCAGCGTTACCCTGAGATAACCAACCTGTTATATGACTTTTTTGTCCCACTCGTGGTAAAAATACCGCATCGACCCGTGCACAACTGTATTCTAGGAAAAGTGTTTGAAAACTTAAATAAAACGGTTGAAAAGAGAGAAGTTTTAAAAGCAATCTTTTGACCTGGCAATCCACGGTGAATACAAACCGTTTTCAGTGTGGAGAAGATTGCAGAATTCTCTCTGGTTGTGAATGTCAACATCCAACTGTTTCTTTCTGAGAAATGCAGCAATTCTCCGATCCATTTCTGCCTTGTTTGCGGTGATTTGAACTAACGAAGGATCCACAATGGGCGAGTGATTTTCAGACTTTATAACACTTTTGATATCTCCTGAAATATCGCCTGGGATAACTTCCTGTTCAAAATTCACTTTCGTTCTTTCATTCAACATTGCCTGCGTCGTATTAAAAACACGTAAACAAACTCATGACTGCAAATATAGATCGCGCATGCGCAGTAATATATTTATTGCACATTTAAAATCCTAGCACCTCCGTATTTACCAGAGTTTCCTCGCATTCATTACCTGCAAACTTTCCACAAACTGTCGAACAATTTGCCAAAATTCAGCTTCTCCTAGTGAGTTTCCAATAAAAGACGATAATTCATCGTAATTAACCCGAAAATCAAAGCACGCACCCGCCATCTGAACAGAAGAAATACATTTCCAGACGTTCTACGGATTCAAATGAGTACGCATATGGCAAAACTAAATATAAGGGTATACAAACCTTCTTCAAATATATTTCAAAAACATGGAAAACTTCCGCCATATTGAACGAGGGGTGATATTGGGGACTGGAACGAGAAGAAGGAAAATTCAAATGTATTTTTCTAACATGTGTTTGAGGTAGAAAAAGTTTAGTTTAAAATTGTTTTTCATTTCTTTTGTTTATTGCTCTTGCTTTTGGAAGCTGGCACCTGTTATAGTGTGCCTCAGAAATGTTCTTTCATGTGAGTATTTCTTATATATTTGATCGAAGTGATTGTACATAGTCATAGTCTGTTTGTCTGATAGACTGATACAGCATTATATTAAGTGACAGCAAAATACCTCATTTTACTCACGGCATTTCCCTAGGCTGACATACAAAACCTCGGATAATAAACGACATTTTATCATCTGATTGCAATCTATGTTTAAATCGATTATTTAATCTTTTGATGAAATTAGCATTGAAGAAAATTGGATTGCTACCCATCTTTCATTTTTACAACCACAGCTAGGATTGAATCAGATTTAAGCAAACAGAAATTTGTCATTTATGATTTCCCATAAATTTTTTTAGATATCTCTTGAACATGAAATTCTGCTCCATCCACGGTATTTTGGTCCAAATCTTCTTCAGACAGTCAAACAAAAATTGTTCACGGAGGTTGAAGGGACTTGCACAGGAAAGTATGTTTCCCAAAAGTTTAATAATTCTTCCTCAGTGTGTCTTCAGTACTTCAACATGTGTGTCTACTGTCCATTCATGTCTACTACATAAAACTGCCCTAAATCCCAAAAGCTCTCTGGCAGATTTCCTACAAAAATTTTGCATAGATATGGCTTTATCATTGCCGTGACCACCATTGATAACATTGGCGTTGGTGCCATTCAACCTGGCAGAGGCTTTGTTGTCTATCCAGTGAAATATAAGGTCAGGTGAATTTGATTATTAATTAGTTATGTGATCTTCCATCCTTGAAACAAATTTTTGTGTTTAGGCAATTGTATTCCGACCGTTTAAAGGCGAAGTCTTGGATGCCAAAGTGACGCAAGTCAACAAGGCAAGCAGACTTGTGCAAAGGATGTTTTAGTCAATGTTTACATCCTTAGGATATCTTCCTGATCTTTTGCAGGTTGGATTATTCACAGAGATTGGACCCCTTTCATGTTTTATTTCACGACACGTAAGTAAATGGAAAATATAATTCAGTAAAATTATTTATTGCAAATGATATTCAATTCTTCATCAATTGTTATAGTCCATACCACCTGATATGAAGTTTGATCCTCAGAGTAATCCACCATGTTACAAAACAGAAGCAGAGGTTTGTTTGCCATAATGCCATTAACAGAAGATTTGGATTGAGGTCAGGGATATCAAAGACAATGCAGAATAAATGACATGATGCTTATATGTTTAAGATTTTCACATCATTTTTAATATTCCCCTGCTCAATCTGAAACTGTCTGGTGTCTACACCTGCACCAACTAGCATTATCTCCATATATAGTGACATCTTTTATCAAAATATCCCCTTTAATTTGGCTGACAACTTTGTGTGTCACATTTTCTCCAACAGGATGTAGTTATTCAACAGGAGGATGAAATACGGTTACGAATTGTTGGCACCAGAGTTGATGCCAATGACATAGTAAGTCATTTTCTTCAGCAATTAGATTATTTAAGTTAATGTGCTATATCAGCATCACAAAGCAATTCATTCTTCCCAAAGCATCTGCAACTGCTCCCAACTTGGTTAAGGATTTGTATTTAAAGTTTCATTGAATTCCCGACATTCAATATGAAAATAGCATGTATATTAGCATGTTGTTTGTTCTGCATGCTTCCAACTCTCTCACCTGCCAGGTTGTTCAATGCCATACAATGATATATATTATTTCATTTTCAGTTTGCGATAGGATCTCTGATGGATGATTTTCTTGGTAGGTCTTTTAGTTATGATTTTTGCGTGCCAAGCAGAAATTTTTAAATAATATATCAATCTTTTTTTCTTATGATACTTTAGGAGTTGTTGGTGGTTGAAATGGAAGATCAGATGAGTAGTGCACTGTATTGCATTGTTTGCTAATGGCATTAACAACTCTGAAGTTCATAATCTCAGGAAAACTGCTCTGGAGAAATTTCCCATTTCACTCTTTTAACCTCTATTTATAGGCTTGTATATATTATTTTTGTATATTGCATTATCATATATTCAAAACTAGATGCAGTTATCACTTTGAACCAATTTGCTCTGGGGTATCTTTAAAAATATTGGCTTCAACTCGAGGTGAAAACTTGATCACTTAATGTATAAATCCTATTAAAGGAAGGATACTTTTAAAATAGCTCAGTGAAATTGGGATAAATGTTTGATCATTTTACAAATTATAAATTGTCTTTGCGGTTCACTTTTTCAGCCGATCGTTTTTATAAAAAGATTAAATATTAAATATTTACAGCAAGGATAATTAGGATATTTCAACGGAGACAATAATATAATAGAATGTGTGGTCCACAATTCAAATTTTATTGTCAGTAATGACACAATGCCTTTTAGCGTTTTTCATTTGAACATAAAATCTCCTACCAATTACCAAATACATGATCTATTTTCTCTTTACACATTTCCTGTGACTTCAAACCGCTGTATCATACTAATAAATCATTCATTGTAAAGCATTTCATCGAGTGAAATTGTTGTCTTGCTCTTTTCTTTGACCGAAACACCTGCGCGATCTATTTCTATTGTCAAACGAAACGATAAATGTTTTCGCAGCCACGGCTATCCTCTCCTCTGATTGGCGCAGAGTTTATTACATTTAATGTGAGATTGGCCTCCTATGTCCACTACTCCTGATGTATATAATATGTTCCCATTAGCGAAAGTTGATTACAAGGCGACATAAACCGTTACTGGGAAAAAATGTCAATCAACGTATCTTGATATCTTGGTGATACAGCTAAAGTTTATTGACATTTCAAAATATGATCCCATACGCGAGGTATATACGATTATGCAAACAAAAATGTAGCCATTCGCCGTCTATTGGGCCACAGAAATTAGACCGTTTTCAGTTGGAAACATTTAGAAATGTTTTCTCACCAATAAGCCGTGGTGAATTTTGAACAAAACTAGGTGAATATCTCGTATCTGTTAAAAAAAATAATGAATTTGGCATAAATACGCTAAAGGGATTCTAGAACAGTTAATAGCACGCATTGTTCCAAATTTTGTTCTAATTCAAATTAGAGTCACTCAAGAATCATTCTAATACTAGTGAAATGTAACAACTGAAGTAAAATATTAAGTAATTTAGCTTGTAGGTACACCACGTTAGTATTTAATACTGCAAATATTAAGTATACTGCAGTATTAAATACTTACGTGGTGTAAGCATATAATGTGTAAGCATATACACAGTATAAGCATATACTGTGTTGAAAATATCGTTGATTTTGAGGGAAAAAAAACACTCGTATTTCAGTTACTTTCTATGTAGTTCTCTGATTTTTCCCCTGTCTTTCTTATATCATACTTTCTTTTCGACAAAAATGCTCATGCACTGCAAGTGAAAAAATGTTTCGACATAAAAGTGTTTGAACATCAAAAGGACGATTTGCATTTTTAATTTTTTAAGTCCGTCGATATCTTTCTGCAAATATTTTAATAGCCGGCGTGTCGACATGGATAGATGTTTTGATATGCATGGGGCATTAGTATGCATCGTTATACACAGTAATCTGCCAAGCAACTTATTGTATTCCTACTATTTCATTAGCTATATCCTTCGTTAGAGTCCGTGAAACATCAACATGCACATTAGGCATAGCTTAAGATTTACAATAGCGAATTCTTTTGAGTGTAAGACAATGAAACGCCACATACAATATACATCGTCGGGACATGTAATATTCAAATTTTAAACATTGTGTCATTCCGCAGGTGAAATGTCTTAATATGATATATATACTTGATCTTTTGTTGGTTGATGCCGTAAATGTCCTGCGTAAAACAATGATGAATTTAAAATTGAACTGCTGTTGACATCCTGTAAATGAACTGTTCATCTCAAACATTTCCCTCGATTGGAGGCGTTAATTTAGTCCAAAATGTTGAAAACTCGTATAGATAATATTGTCGTGTATAGTTTTTCGCATTTATGTATGTTCATTCGTCTCTTAGGAAAAACGAGGTGTATTTTTAGACTAAGTTTTTTCAAGTATGCCTTAAAAAAAATATGGTTGCATATGATGTAGTTGAATTCAGTCAATTTAGGAGTGATGATTCCGGGCACAATTCCCCCCATCCTTTTTATGCGTGTATATATATATATATATAGCTGAAGAATCGTATTTTACTATTATTCTTAATTTATATATATATAACTGTTAATTTTGGTCAAGTGATTAAAGTATGATTGAATATTCAATACTACGACCTTTAAAATATATTAACATGCCAATGTATTGTGGCCGGATATATACCGAATTTAAAACACGAAGATCCGGCAAAGTTTTGTTTGAACTAGAGTCTTAAAATTTCATTTTATGGATACCACCGGCAATGTTTAACGATTACTCTCGTTTTATCAGTTGAAAATTTCCCATTTGCTTTTAAATAATGAATACGTAATTATTTTAAAATTCCTTTGTCCCTAAATTGTATGCAATACGAAATAATACATAAATTTGTACAGAAGACACACTGTCATACGGTTGCAGGTGAAGTTTTCTTAATATAACGCATTCGCCTTTTGTCGGTTGTATAAATATTGTGTTTAGTCCATAGTTGCATATAAAGATTCCAATTCGAAAAAGGAACCTTCTCGAATTTTGAAAAACGTTCGATTTACGTGATTGCTACATTTCAGGAACTTTAAAAGAGTATAGAGATGTGTTAATATTCCTAGATAACTACAAGAGCTTAATGTCTATAGGTAGAGATGTACAATCCATCGCTTCTCATTGGTCAAACAATGCCTTTGAACACGTGGCGACAACAAAAACTGCATGCTTAACAAAGAAACATTGGGCGACGTGTGGCATTTGCAATTAGCAATCCATAAACCCCTTAGTTTCGTCCGGGACAACGAACGGCAGCTGTGTCGTGGATTGTAATTATAACATTCGTGCACATTCGATGCTGCTATCACAACGCTTCGCATAGTGACAGTGAAAGCATCTCGCTGCGGAACTCAAAAATTAACTTGATTATCGAAACACATTTCGCAGCCTGGCAAAGTAGTCGCATTGAAAAGAAGTATTTTCTAGTTGGCGCTTTCATCGTGGGGTTTAAAGGAATTTCATCTCGCGCGGTACCTGCTACAATCCATCATGCCCAAAGCATTCCTTGTGAAGAAATTCAAGACAACAACAAAATGGTCAACGCACGCGGCAAAGATCGACAAAACTCTACTGCGAGAAATTCAACGAGGCGGCAGTGGAGTCGAGTTTCGCGTCAAAACTATAAAGATGAAAAAGAAATCAACAATTCCTGAAACGAAATTCACAGGAAAAGAGATCTTTTACGGCAGAGAAAAGCAAACATGTCGCCCGGCAGCCGCCGAGATACATTATTCCACTGCATCTTTTCAAAGCTGTTTGGATGCCTTAAAGAATCAAGCAAAATGCTACAAAGATGATGGTGAGAAAAGGGTCAAATTCGATGGAAAAGGAACACGAAATTCAACGACCAATTCAAGCCGACCGCTAATTGTGCCCAACGAGAAGTTTGAATTCCCCAAACCAAATGGTCCTTTGCCGCAGTCTCAGTATATATGTCAACTTTGTAAAGAAGTGTATCCTGACCCGTTCGCGTTGGCACAGCATCGTTGTTCCGGAATCAAACACACAGAATATCGTTGCCCAGAATGCGACAAAGTGTTCAGTTGTCCTGCAAATCTCGCCTCTCACCGACGCTGGCATCGGCCGCGTTCGCCAGGGCAAACAACGAAGAAGCCAAACGCCGTAGTCGAACCGTTGCTTCTCGACACCGGCGAAGCTGATCGTAAAACGAAATCGTCGCACTCCCCGGACTCGATAACTGAGCTGACGTTGAACAATAACTCGGAATACATTTGTGAGATTTGTCACAAGACATGCCGAAGGAAAAGCTACCTGCAAAAGCACATGAACAGTCATAATAAGGAGCGACCATATCCATGTCAATATTGTGGTAAGCTTTTCCGTAGTCTAACAAACCGGGCAAAACATGTCTTACAACATGCGGCCGGCAATGGGATTTTCGCATGTCAGATTTGTAACGAAACATTCTCGGACAGGGAACATCTTGATAAGCACGAGCATGTTCACAAAACATTTGCTTGTGCGAATTGTGAATCGACGTTTCCAAGTGCGCCTGGTCTTGCCAAACATGCATCGAAATGCCAAGACCCCACCTCGAAAAGACTCAACATTCTGGTTCAAGTTTAATAGATTATGAAACTTTTTTAGATCCAGCAGTTAATTGTGACTTTTTATTGTTGTGTAGAACGTTTGGGCCAGAATATTTGTAACAATAGTGTAGCAATTTAGGTTAGACTATAGTTCTAATGAGTTATTTGTCCGCACGGGGAGACATTTATTATTGCATTATAACTTTAAATATATCGATATAGGAAAGAGAAGAATATTATTCAAATACTATTAATATAGCTTATAGTTTATAAGTCTTATTGGGGAAAAACGGGGACCAAATTTGTATCAAAACATTGGAATCTTTAGCGAGCCTATTTTTATTGAGGTTCTTTAAAACATATTTACTACTCTGGTTTATTTTGTCGGAGCTAGTCGGTGCAAATATTTCGCCTTGTCGTTGGATGAAGTATTGGATATGTTGATGAAAAGAATACTATAAGACTACTGTGCATATTATAATAGGTGCGGTGTTTAGGCATTTGTAAATAAATTCACCTCCGTAGTGAAAAATTTGAAGTATATTTGCCAAATTTGGGCGGATTGAAAATTAATGAGTCGTCTTTAAATAGTACGTGGGTACATATGTATATATATGAGGGTTTATGTAGTCGATTTTATGATGAAACTTGTTGAAAAATACCTAAAAATTTCATGTAATAAATATAAATTGTGTTTATTAAAACAAATTGCGTTGTTAAAGATGAGTGTTTTCGCGTCGACGCAAGTGAGTATTCGTCAGTTGCATCGAGCAGATGTTTCTCCTTTTCTGTTTACAAAGTGACAGTTTCTGCCGCTTGCAAAATTTTGATGTTTGATTGAGGCTTTTGCGTCGAAAAGTGTGCATTCGTGGGCTACAGACGCACTGATTTACCTAGGATTAAAAGTTTATACCATGAGTATAAACAAAATAGGTGTTTTAAAAACGTGTTATTATAAAAAATGCAAGAAATGGAATATCTAATCTTAATTAGGTATCTGTGTGAAAATATTGTCTACGTCATCGTATACTTACGATCAAGCTTTAAACGCGATTGAGCTCGTTTAGGCTCTAAATGAATCCTCAAGAAAATGAAATACGCCATGATTATAGCACACACTGGTATTTCAGGTGGTCTTTAGTAGTCATGAACTTTTTCCATTCTATAACGGCTGGGTCAACCCCTGGTGGGTGAGCATATTGCTATCATCCATATGCGAGTGAGTCGTTTCTGTATACATAAATGTTTCAATAAAGACAATGAACGCGCATTTCAGGCAAAAAAAATCAGAATTCTTTAGCTTTTTAAGCCCTATGATTCAGTCCACACACATGCACATACCACGCAAATATTTCATATTATTGTAACAAAATTCAATTCTGAGAGAAAATGAGCCCTATATATATATGTGCAGCCGTTCAAAAAAATCCATTTCATCTCTTTGGTTGCCATGTGAAGTATATCTTCCCATTAATTCATCATTGCTGTGAACAATTGCGGGAAAATGGCTATCAATACCGGCTGTTTTGCAATACCCTGCTCTCTATACTGACTGCGTGAGGCATGCTGCTTTGCAGAGACGAGAAAAGATTAGAACTTTAAATTATGTATCCTAAATTATTCTGCACGTTTGTATTGTGTTCAGCGATCTTATATACATACATACGCAATCTTTTAATGATAGCCGAAATTAATTAAAACTGAACGCGTTTTAATCTTTTTCTTTTTAATACCATTCAAATGTACATCGTTAACTTCTAGTAGTGGCGAATACGAAGGTACACGATTGAGATATTTCCTGAGTAGGGCATACATACATGTATACTCGTTTGAATTCCTACAATGTACCGTCAATTTCCATGGGTGCACATTGTTATGTAACTAAATTAATTTCGTTTATGCCGCGAAGATATACTTGAAGACTTGTGCTCATTTAACTTTTATTTATACAGCTATTTGCTTAAAATTCAAAATTATCTTTCTTTTAATCAAGTTTGCATTTCTCCACTCGAAACACATGCCGTTGCTTAGGAAGGAAAATTACGACGGGAAAAACGCAACGGTCACTTTACAACGATACGCGACTCTCTCGACTTTTTTCGACGACGATTTTTCAAGTGAATTGACCCGGTTGATTAACGTGTTACGATTGGACGAAGGTCTTTTATGCCGCTTTTTACGAACCGCGTGTGTTGCCCTAAGCGACCGAATGGGAAAACAACTTTTTGAAAAGTTTCAGCTGGCCAGTTGCTGGCTGAGTCATGCATTTGCATATTTCATCATTCCATCAAATATACTGGCATTCAAAAGATATACTTATATACTTGCTATACAGTATATTATATAGTCTATAGTCTATACGATGGCACTACGAAAAAGGATCACATGCACTTGCTATTTCCCGAGTTCCGGTATATATATATATATACTCACCGGTTATATATAAATATAATTTCAGGTACGCTTTTAAAATAAGGTTACTAATTGCTTTTTAACGGAAACAGCTTCAACCTTTACGGTGACAGTGTCAATGCAATTTTCAGAACATTTTTTCTGGTGTGAAAATACAACATACTGACTGAGTGTCGATCGATTTCAATATTTAATTTATATATCTTAAGCGCCCGTCTAATTTACATAAAGAACGAAGAAGATAATATCTTCAGTGCATGTATATGGGCTAGGCACGTGCATGTGTGGAAATAATATAGATAATTCAGCTGCTTTGAATGTCATTTGAATAACACAAAACTGCCTCGCAATCTCTTGAATTATATCAAGAGGAATGCGTCATTCCACTATAAAATTTCATGCTTTGCGTGACTATTTGAAACCTGTACACGTAGCTATACTTTGTTGCTAGCAGCATAAAAGCACCAATATTATATATACTTTATCAGCTATAAAATACACTTGTATAAAGTTATCACTATTTTAATTTTTCTTCACCTAAGCGCTTGGCAACAAGCTAGCCTTTTGCTATTAAATTTTCAATTTTTACCATTGGTTTGGGGTAACAAAGTTACCATTAGTCATATATACTTCTGCTTGAATTGTCAAACCGATTATTTTTTTAATTGTTGATCATTGTTGAGGACTTGACTATATATTTTTTTTCAAAACACAGGACAGTGTCAGAGAATATTTAACACGTATTGTTAAATCAAAAGATATCTTCTCATTAAAACTAAAATACAACAAGCATTTGAAACATTCATACATTTGAAAAAGATCCAAAGAGGCAACCAATTAGTTGCCTTATCATCCATGTTGCTACCCTGTTGATAAGCTGGAATTTTACAGCGCTGTAATATCGTAGGCTGATAGGTAAATTCATATATTATGATTAAGATATATTTCGTCGGTTCATTGTACATACATGCTTTAGAATTTAAGCCTGTTCAAGCCTGAAGGTCTTGTGTTTTCATTTAGGAAATTGTCAGGGTAAATTAGAGTTACGGGGTATTGAAGCATGTAGGAATTTTATGTTACCATTGGATTAAGAGGAATAAGAGCCGTTCGTTAGCTCTAAAGTTTATAGGTTAATTTAAGCATGGATAATAAAATCACTTTTAACTATCCATGATTTAAGATAGTCATTGCGGTAAGGAATTACGGGTTCCTAATCGCGAGTTCCGTTAACATGATCAAGCGGCGTACAATGAAAATAAAATGTGTATAAGAAATACAACGAACCACGTGTGTATACAGATGAAATGACTTTACGGACACAAACGAAATAACCGCATCGTTTATTGAAATGTGCTTGTATACAATGAAATTCCAGTGTTAAAATGTGGTAAAATGAGCATACCAACGCGTAGCCTTTGTCTCGTCGTAAGTTCTGCACAAAGGTGAAAGAGATCGTAATTGCCAAATTAGGCACAACAAAGAGGTGGAAACTGCACGCGTTCCGATACATAAAATAACACTTTTTTTCAAACAAAGAAACACGCGCTTTGGTAACGAATGAGTGCACATGATCTGTTGTAAAAACGTGCAACGAAATCTAACAAAAAAATACAAGAGTTGAAAACGTTTGCATTGAAGAGATGATGAAAGAAACTATCATCTTCAAGTGGATTTTGGTTTGCCATGCAGATTGCACGATTTGGTCACAAAAGAATTTTTCATGCAGGGTAACTGTGTTTTTTTTATATATTCTCTTCTGAGTAGTTCCTGCATTAGTCTGAATAAATGGTAATAACAACCACTGCATGAAAAGCGCCGTATTCCAAGGTATTCACATGTGAATACGGGTGTGAATAAAACACATATTGCAAGCGTATTCCGACATGGAATATTAGTGTGAATACGGCATCGTATTCTTCAGTATTCTAAGTGTGAATACGCCGTGAATATGCCGCGTATTCTGACCAATATTCACACTTGGAATATCTCACTTCTCACTTAATCCGTGTTTCCACAAAATAAATTCATCAGCTGACATTTTTAAACTTTATTTTGAATGCTGAAAAATTGAAGTGGAATTTTATAAATAATTTGGCGCAAAAACCAAAAAGCGCGCTTTCGAGTTTAATAAACATTGAACGAGGAGATCGTGCGTTTGTGGCTGTAAGAAATCTTTTTGGCGCTTATAAATAAAGAAGAAAGTGAAGGATGCCAAGGGCTTGGTAAAGTCTGGAAACTCTGGTCGCAGTTAAAGAGCATGCCGGCGAGTATTTGTATGCTACGATTCCCACGAAGTCTGATGAAGAAAATGCGCGAAATAGAAATGAGATTGCATGGCGCGATTTCCACAGCACCTTATGTTCGCTAATACGTGTAAAATGATAACGAATATTAACCGTATTTCAAGGATTTTTATTGTTCAAAACCGAAAACGCATATACTGTTTGTGCGTAAGGGACCTCTTCGGTGAGTGACTAAATATCGTGCAGTTGAATTCAATAGCCGGCCTATGGACTATACCCTATGACCATGTTGGGAGTAATCTCAACATTTTATTAACAAATTACCTGGTGATAAGAGGTTAATGGGTTATGCGTTCGCAGCCTGTGCGAATGTTTAGGCATTTATTGTCCCTCAAGTCTGTCCATTAAGGAAAATATCAATATGAACAAACATGCATAATCTTTAGGTTGCCATGTTAATTTGCATAGCAGTCATACACATTGCAATGGTAGGTTTATCCACAATTAATGTGTTTTATCAAGGTTGATCAAATGCAATACTAAGATTTCAGTCAATTATTTAAATTTTATACAGTCCTTAAAAGATCATGTACATGTGATGGGTTACAACATTTCACATTTTATAAAAATTATTGGAACATCACAAATTGTTCAAAAATATGTAGCAAAAACACAGCCTATCATGAACTTCTACTAAGCTGTTATGATTTTCAATCTTTCATCAGCTGATTGTTAATTTATAAGCAATGTTGTTTTAGTATATATGAAACATTGCTCCTGGAGTATGTCAGAAATTATACTTAATAGTAAATTGTTGAGCAAAGCAAGTGATGTTTTTTCACTTGGTAAGATATTAAAAACTATAGGTGAGCAGATAATGAATCAGGAACTTCTTTCACTGGGTGAAAAATCCTCTTCATCTTTAGCAAAGTTAAGGCCAACTCTTTTGGGAATTTTCTCAATCTTGCAACCCCTGATGGCTAAAAACAATTAAAACCACCTTAAAGCAATTATTGAACAAAATACATAGCAAACTTTCTTAAGCTTAAAAGCTGATGTTGCATGCATGGCCATTTGTTTTTATTGTTGTGCATAGAAATGCAGTGTAATGAAATTATAATATTCCTAGGAGAATGTATATGTACAATGTACAATGTACACACCATTCATATAATTTGGAAGCTATTCAATTAGGGTAAAAATGGAAACAAATTCTTCCATGAACTTTAAGCTGTATATACACATAGCTACTCCTAGTATGCAAACATCGAGAAGCTGTAGTAAACTCATCTACACTTTAATGGTATATTCTTTAAGTATTGTGATTATAATTTATGTACGGAAAAGTAATTGCAAACAAATCAGTAAACAGTCTCAGTTATAAATTATGATGAGGGCAATGTTAAAAGGCTTCACTTAAAAACACAGTCTAGCATGAACTTCTAAGCTGTTAAGATTTCTGTCTTTGGGCAGCTGGTTGTTAAGATTCCTATCTTTTGGCAACCAGTTCAATAGCTATTCTGTGGTAAACATTAGTGTAAATATAATTCATATATGCTAAAAGGAAAAATATAGGCCATTATTTTGCTAAAAAATATGTATTATATATAACTAAAAAACACAGTCTGGCTTTGATTTCTAAGCTGTTAAGATTTCTGTCTTTGGGCAGCTGATTGTTAAGATTTCAATCTTTTGGCAATCAATCATTAGCTATTCTGTGACAATTATATAACAATAATATCTATAATATATAAATTTTGCCTAAAATATAAAAAACCCTCATGAGATGCACCAATGCACCTCATTTATGCATCTTGAAACGTCTATCTAAGGGTTATGTTATGTTATGTTAAAGTTATGATTACAGCAGCTTTCTGAATATTTGTGGTAGGTAAGAAAGTAATGTGGAGGACCCCTTTTCAGTATTGGCAAACTTTTAAATTTTGTTTGTATTGAGTATGGCTTTGAAATGGCAAACATTTGTACCTACTATAATTAGTGTGTGATGGAGGTAGGATTGATGAAAACCATCATACAATTTATTTATTTACAAGCAGGTACAGTTAGCTGTGTACAAATTAGCTACAATAAACACAATAGTAATCTATTTATATTAAAAAAAACAAAAAAGTGATGAGCCCAGCCGTAAAAGCGTTGGCCTCGCACTATTGTTGTTGTGTTGTGTTGTTTCAGGACTATAGTATGACATAACTCTTGTTATTTTTAAATAACTTACCTGATTTTAGCGCCGCCACAAGAATTATTTTGGGGCATCGCGAACATCTTTAACAATTCAAAGTTGAACAGCTTGAACTTCTGTTGAAACCACGCATTTATATATAAGCGCCCTGGTTGAAACCAATTGACATTTGTGCCATGTTATCGTTTTGTAAACAAAGGGAACTGGACAACTTTTGCGAGGAATCATTTAAAGACATTTATTTGTTATTGTTATACGACCTCCGAATTTGCCATTTATTCGCAATTTCGCCGCAATTCCTTGGCGCAAAAATTGTCACTAACATGTCGAAGAGGAAATTTCCCAAAGGAAATTTCCTACGATTTCCCAACACTGAACTGTATATATTACGGATGCTTTTGACGATACAGAATCATCAACTTTCTACCCATGTGTTTACGTATCCAAGCAAAAATAAAAGTATTTTTTTATATATAACTTCTTTTACACAGGTAATTAAAGAAATTGATGGATATTTCTCTTTTTATACAGCTTTTTTACGACTTACGAGGCTACTCAGCGCTCATCGACTGAGGATATACGATACTCGACATCCCTGCGGCAGCAAAAAAAATTAATCAAATAAAAATCATCGTGCGTTTGGTAACATTTATTGTCTTTATTGTCTGTCGCCTAAACAAATCAAGTGCAATTTCAATTTGTGACCGTGATGAGAAGAAATGCTGGATAACAGTTGACACCGGCATTGAACTGAAACAACCTTTGCCTATTCCGTGGTATATAAACGCATTTCCTGCAATATTTACACAATATAACTCGTTGATTATCCCGTATTCATGCGTACACTCACATTTTCTATGCCGAAGTGTGAATACTAGGTCTTGAAAAATATTCACAGAGTATTCGAAGGTATTCTAGGTCAGAATACGCGGTGTGTTTTATTCACAGGTATTCACATCGGAATACCCCCAATATTCCGAGGATATTCACAGTGAATATCTGTGAATACGTGTGAATATGGACCATATTCGAACTCATATTCGCACGTATTCACCTGTGAATACGCGGTTTTTCATGCAGTGACTCCAATAGTTTCTTTTTCAACCTTTTCATTTCAGTTAACCGCTGGTAATTGCTCCTCACGGGTAAAAAAGAAACCAGTCCAACAGCAAGCTGTCGTCCCGTGAGAGATATTTATCTTTGTGCATCGTTCAAACATAGCAAGAAACTGCGGTCTGGTATTGTCAATCAACGTTGCCTTGTCATCCACTTAGAAGCAGTGTTGAGATACGTAAGTACTCTCAGCCTTACTGAATTCTTATGGGTATCTTTATCTATATAGGATGTACAGGAAACACTGATAATATAAAACTGGAAAAGACTGCAACTTTGTTTAGTTGTGTTTCAATGAGAATTTAGAATAGTTCATTTTAGCCGTGATTAACTAATATTTTAAAGCCATTTCTACATGGGTTTTGTCCTTAGCTTGAAAAATATATATTTTAAAGATTTATTGAACATAACCTAACTTACATTTACTTTTTGGGCACATTACAGGGAATGCAGGTACTTCGCAAGTCTGGATATCTGTCACTGAGTTCACCATTAACTATGGTGCAGGTTGGTAAACCAGAAGTATCACAATAAGAAAATTATGTTTTCTTGCAAGAAAGGAATCAAATAAGCATTGTGATAAACTTTACTTGCTATTATTCCTGGCTTTGTTCGCCATCTGTGTCCAGTTGTCACACTCTAGTCAGCCTGAAAGGCTAAAAATATATTATGTAAAGTTGCATTAAGAATATTAATACAATATGAAATAAATTTGATATAATTGTTTCCATTAGATATTCTCAACAAACACATCGTCATCCTCTTCAGGACTGGTAACTTCTTCTAACTGAATTTGTGACTGACTTCGAATGGACAGACTGGTGTGACTAACGAGGGATCCACTTGCTTCAAAATCTGTCATACCATAATTCCAATGGTAGAAAATAATAAATACTATATTCGCAAATACAAGCACAATGTTAATTGGCATTGCAATGTTGACTTTCGATAAAGTACAATTTTTAGGACTCCATCTTGTTGGCTGACAATCTAGCTGGTTGCTTGACTGTATTTTCATTATCGGAGTAAGTATTGCTGGGCCAATAAATCGTCCGAAAGCATCGGCAATGTTCAAAAGTCCCATGAAGAATCCTCTACGGTTTCTAGCTTGGTTACTGTAGTCTGTGATCTTCTGAGAGTAATAGACGATAATCCCTGTCAGAAACCAAATTCCACCAAAAACCGTCAATACTGAACCCATATAAAAGAAGGCATTGCTAACTGGTGAGGTCATGTTGAAATCTAATAGAAAAATGTATCCAATAATGTTGGTAACAAGTCCCAACACACTAAGTGCAACTGCATTAAGTTTTGACTTTATTAGGAACCGAAGTAGAAGGCTTCCTGTGAAGAATGCAGTTCCTGCTGCGATGTAGACTTTCCATAAGTCAGACTGCTCTTGTATGATGTGGTACTGTGCAAAGGCAAATGAAAACAGTTTGCTTATAACACCCCACAAGCAAAGGTTACCAATAAATAAAATCAAGCCAATCACAGCAGTATGATAAATCAGTGCCTTTGCATCTTTGTAGTAGAATCGCATGGCAGCATGGGGTGCAAATGGGTTCTTAAACAGGACCAACACCATTGGTAACATGACAAACAGGTCATTTAACACAGCTACCCATGCTGGGGTGGTGTAAAAATTCAGTATTAGTTCTTTTGTGGTTGCTGTTCTGTTCGATGCCATGCTGTCAGGGAGTTGGAGGGGAACAAATGCTAGCCCCAAGAATGGCCCTCCTAAATAGGCAAGCGATTGAGCAATTCTAAAATTTGCCACAACCCATCCTCTGTCCTCTCTTGAGGTTGTGTTTGTTATGTGAACTATACCAAGGATTAAGCTTCCAGCGCCAAAACCCGACAAGAAACGGCCCCAAACTGCAGCTTGTTTCGAGTCCAAGACATAAGCCAAACCATATAACGCATTTCCACAAGCATTTATCAATATAGACACACATAAAGCAAACTTTGTTCCTTTCCTGTCCGCCAAGTAGCCAAAAATGGGCGAACTAACGATCTGTGCTAGAGCATAACTGCCAAAAACCACCCCGTAAACCGATGGTTGGCCACCAAGATTTAGCCAATATTCCTCAATCGAGACAAGCGTAGATGAATAGTCCAACGACAATGCGAAACTGAAATAGTAAATCGTAAAGCCGGACAATAAAGTCTGCAAAGACATCTCGCTGAAGTGTTGTAAAAAAGACGAGAAAGCTGATCATTGATATTGCAAATAAACCCTTTCTTCAATTTGTTGTTTATGTCTTTATTATACCACAAAATCCGAGGTTTTCAAAACTCAAATTAGTTGAGCATTCAAAAAATTCTATTATTTCCCACTGGGAGGTTCATTTTTATGCTAAAGGAAGTATAAGATTTCTCTTTGACTTTGAGAATTCCGCTACTAAGCAATCATCGCAGATTTGCACGTACGTGATACAATATCGATAAAAAGTTGTTCTGTTGGCTGTTGCATAATTTTTGGAAGGCGTGTTGGATATTAATGCATTCCATAAAATATCGATTAGTTTTGTATCAAATTTTGTAAACAAAGCGAAGGTCAGGTCACTACCATTTATATCGTCAATTGTACCAGCAGATATAATCGATTAAATCAATACAGTAATGTCATCAACAATTAGAAACTCCCTGAAATCCATAGAATTTTGAGACTTGGATTTTGATGCTATTTCGTATTATGCATTTGGATGTGAAGGGAATGAAAAGTTGTCAAACTCAAATGTCATTGAATTGAATATAGAGCAATTTCATTTTGAATTGCCGGAATAACTGCAGGATTAGTTATGCATTAGTGAAGTCAAGAAAGGTGCATAAAGCTCAAAGGCAATAGTTTCGACAGTGTAGAGCCAGTAGAGGCTGAAATTTGCAGAAAAAACCCCAAAAAAAATTCAAACGCAAAACTGCTTCTTTCGTTTCGTTTTTTAATCCCCCCCGTCCGTACTTAACTCGAACCAGTTTCCCATCACAAAATCGAATACATTTTGCCAACATGGCTTCTGAATCGAACGACGAAATTGTGATTAGAAATCGTGGTTCACGACCGGCTAGGAACGAAGAAACGGCACAAAACACAGAGAATAATGTAAACGAGACGCAGGATAATGCCGTAGAACAAGCACCACAGCAACCGCAGCCTCAGGAATCTGTATGGAAAACAATTTTGACTCGTATGTTTGTGTTCTGGTTGATAACACAGTTCTTTAAAAGCAGGCAAAGTAGTACGAATCAGCCGAGCGCAAATGCATCATCACTCAACATTTTCCCAGTTGGAACTTCCGTGGTATGATCCAGTTATGTGTATAGAGATTTCTTCGTATAGAAAATAATAATGATAAAGAGTTTTCAAAAAAATTTTTAAAAGCCCACGTGTAATAATCATCTGACTGGAATGATATATCACGCTGGTTGAATATATATGACCTTGGTTGGATATATGACCTTTGTAGAGTATGGGGCATATGGCCATTCATTACTCATGTCGTCAATCATCTTCTAATTTGTTTCTAGGATTTATGGGTTTATCTTTCATCAGAGCAGGAGATATTCGATGACAAGACTAAAGCAGATGACAAAAAATTAATTTGGTTTTTAAAAGAACTCTCCGTTGGAAATTGGACATCAGGACCCAATAAAGATGGTTCACATACAACCCACTATCAAGTCAAGACGACAACGGTGATAATAGCTAGTACTGTAACTCTGATAGGAAATCTTGTGTTGCTTTGTCTAATGTTCCCTTGTTGTCTCTAGGAAGTGCAAAATAATGGCTCCTTATATCTTCATGCCTTCATAACAAAATCTGGAAGTTCACCAAACCCTCACCAAGCTGGTTACAAAAGGCAAGATGTCATTGGGAAGACAAGACGTATGTTTATGTTGCTTGGTATTTGAATGAAATATTTCCATAAGTTTATAAAAGTGAAAATTAAGTGAATTAATGATTAAGATGATCCTCTTCACGGCCTTTAGTAATGACAGTCTACCGTAAAAGAAGAATTCACAAGACTAAAAATCTACTCACTGGTGAGGCAGAAATTCAGTCAGATGCTGTAAGTTTTTCATGTTATGTACTTATGTATGAATACTGCTTTCTTCTAAATACTAACCAATCCAATGTCTATGATTTGGAATGATGATTATGTCCATGATTTGGAATTCCAATTCATAGAAACATCTCTCTATTTCATAGAAAGCAGGTGATAAACACACTCCAATTGAATTAATATCATATTGGCATCCAAACCTCACAATAAACCTTCTTGATGATCAAACACAGTGGACTAAAGGAAGTGTTCCCGCACCTCTTGATGAAGGTAGTGAGACTCACATTTCACAAGTAATTTCATTTAATTTTGGTGTGTGTTGTGTTGCATTGAATAAAATGTTTTTTAAAACTTTCTCTGTAGTGATTGAGTTTGATAACGAAACTGGTGGATACTATCCTGTCCTGTATATGAATGACTATTGGAATTACTTCAGTGATTATATGCCAGTCAATGAGACTACAAAGTAAGCAAAAAAGACAAACTTTGTAAAACTATCTAAAATTGTCCCTCTCTCACGAGATTCTGCCTTAAGACTTGTCCTTTTCATAATTTAACTTCCCATTACCTGCAGGGGCAAACCACCAAGCATTTCCCCACATTACTGGCACTGTTTACTAAGTTCTTTGCTGTAACTGATGTTTATCAGACAAATCGAATGGCTAGCTGGCTAATTATAGCTCTGTTCAAGATCTGCAACAAGATTGTTCATTATCAGAACAGTCCATTATATTACATGAACTATTTAATCAGTCACATCATCAAAAGTATTTATTCTGCTCTCATCCAATCAGAGTTCTAGATCTCTACCTGACATATGCTCCGCTCTCCTTATTCAAATGGCAAATGTACGAGTCGCAACGGATGAGAAAGAAATGGTTTGCGGCTCTTGGGGATGAATTTGAAGATTCTGAGGAGGATCAGGACTCAATGAAGGTTCCTCAATTCATTACAACACTCAACTGACCCCTTTTTGGCCGGCAAATAAATAAAAATACATGCATTAAACATTGGCAACACACGAGAGTATATTATGAGCTAAGGATGCAAGATAGTCTTTTTATTATTTGCTATTTTTATACCCTGTAAAAATCTCCGCATTCACGAGTTGTCTTTTCTTGGAACAGAAAACAATGGCAGAGACAAGTCCGTATCTTCTTGGTTTGACAATTATCGTGTCGCTTGTCCATAGCGTGTTCGAGTTTTTGGCTTTTAAAAACGGTGCGTTTTAGCCACGAAACCTGCGACAACAGTTCTTGTTCTTTTGACTCGATTGCTTGGCGGGTTTTACTGATATTGTGTTTTTTTTCCTTAGATATACAGTTTTGGCGTTCTCGCAAATCACTTGAGGGACTGTCTGTTCGTTCCGTTTTCTTCAATGTATTTCAGTCCGTGATAGTCTTGCTGTATGTCTGGGACAATGAAGCTAATACCATAGTTATTATCAGCTGTTTTGTTGGTCTTATTATAGAGATTTGGAAGATCCATAAAGTTGTTGATGTTACTGTAAGTCGCCCTCACAAATTCAACATATTAAGAATGAGATGGTTTCAGGTTTAGATTTTTTTTTCTATTTGTTTTTTCAGTACGACAGAGAAAACTTGATTCTTGGGTTCATTCCTCGCATAAAATTCGCAGATAAGCAATCTTATACAGAATCATCCACAAGGCAGTATGATACGGTATGTTCTCGTAGTATCTTAGAAAGTGTTTGAAGATGAGATTTTTTGTTTGAAGATGAGAATTCAGTATTTGTTTGTTCATACTCATCTGTAAACACAATCTAGTCCTTTGCAACAGACTAGAAAGAAATAAGTCTCGTGTTTATTTTACACCTTCGTCTTTCATCTTGCAAACTGTTTGCAACAACACATCTTTATGTGAAAAAATGACAATTTTTTTGACTTTTTAGCTGGCTTTCAAATATCTATCATGGCTTCTTTTCCCGCTGCTATTTGCCTATTCCGTTTATTCGTTGTTTTATCAAGAGCACAAAGGATGGTATTCTTGGGTACTAAATATGCTCTATGGTTTCCTATTAACGTTTGGTAAGTTGTCTTTGCTAACATCAAGCTTAAAAATCTACGAACCGACCTGTAATTTAAATTTAATGGCGTGAAAATGTGTCTACCTTCCATGGTAGGCACGCTCCACTAGCACGCTCGCAACTGAATTTCAGTGCATGAATTGCGACGTCATATCAAACACGTGACGTGTCTAAAGATCAATAGAGTGATCAATAGTGTGATCAATAGTGTGATCAATATTGTGATCAATGGTGTGATCAATAGTGTGATCAATATCGTGATAAATAGTGTGATCAATAGTGTGATCAATAATGTTTTCAATTGTGTGATCAATAGTGTGATTATCAAAGTCTTCTTATGTTTTCAATTGTGTGATCAATAGTGTGATTATCAAAGTCTTCTTAAGTCAATCGAATTTCAAAAATATTTATCAAAAACTTTGATAATGTCATGAATATCCTTCATATTTACCCCCTCCCTCCCAAGAAAATATAACATGATCAATATTTTAATTATTGTTTATTGATTTCACATGCATAGTTTGATTAGGACAAGAATATTTTGATATTTATACAGATGATAATGTTCATTATGTAGAAGATAGTTCATTCCTTTAAAATTTACTGTCAATATTTTCCTATATGTATTATTATATCCTGTTTTGAAGGTCATTAACCTTTGGGTTCGTCCTTGACTTCATGTTCAAACTCTCGTGTCTGAACGTTCATTTCATCCATGCTCATTTCATCATTCGCTTCTGTTTCATCGCCATCCTCTTGGCTGTCAGCAGCTTCGTTGTCGGTCGTTTCCACTTTGGCGCTTTCCTCTGGAACGCGAGCAATTACACCAAGATGAACAACTTCGCTAAGTTGTGGCACCAACGCTTGCGAAAAGGACATATCAGTCCACGACATTTCATCCTCGCTTTCTTCCACAACACTTGAACTCTCCTGCGACTCGTTGTTAGACTCTTGGCTTTTCTTGCTCTCGACTTCTTTACCCACGGGAGGCTCCCCGGTACACTCGCTTGCTGTGCTTCCATTCTCCTCCGAGGAAATTTCCACCTCGTTCTTTGTCGCATCTTCGGCTGTGACGTCAGTAACACAGGTGACCGTAACGTCGATGACGACATTAGTTGATGACGTAACCGTTTCCTTAGCAACAGATTGATCGGGAGAACTTCTTCCGTTTGAGACGTCGGTGGTGCTTTCTTCACTGTCACCGTCAGCTTCGAAGGTAACGGAGACTTGAGATGGCTGGGTGGCAATCGTTGACTTGCTGATGACGTCCAACTGATCGACCTGATTGTTGATGTCAGATTGGGCTTGTTTAGTGACGTCAGCCTTGATTACTTGTGTGACGTCAGCCTTATTAATGGCGTCAGAATTGGCTTCATCAGTCTCAAGGGCTTCGACTGCGGTTTCTATGGCGACTTCGTCCCCTTCTTCCTGGGGTTTGTCAACACATTTCAATGGAATGACTTGTGGCTCGATCTTGTCCTCAGCTGCAGGTTCCTTTGCAGCGTCTTTTCCAGCGTCCTGTGCAGCGTCTTTTCCAGCGTCCTGTGCAGCGTCCGTTCCAGCGTCCTGTGCAGCGTCCGTTCCAGCGTCCTTTCCAGCGTCCTTTGCAGCGTCCTCTGCTTTGACTTCAGGTCCAGCTTTGGCAATGTCCTTGCCCAGCAAAACGACCTCATCTTCTTCCTTGGCAGCTTCGCCTTCGACTTTATCGGCAACACCAGCCAACTTTGCTGCTTCAACATCGCGTTGAACTTCTGCAGTAACATCAACTTCTGTAGAGGGAAGTTCCACTTTGACTTCCTCGACAGTTAATTGGCTTTTGGTAGCCTCGGTTTTCATTGGCTCTTGACTGTCAACCTCTTTCTCGGCGTCAGCCTTGCTTGTCGTTGCCCGATCTTTTTTGACATTGGTTTCCGTGAGTGTCTCCACGGAGAGTTTTTGAAGCTTGTCATCAGAAGTCGCATCGTTCTCGAGCTTCTTCTTCTCTCCCTTCACACTCGGTGCTGCAGACTTCTTCTGGGCTGCCAAGGCTTCCAACTTTGCTGCAAAGAAAAGTGAATGAAGATGAATACTAAACTCCACTCTTGAGTTTTCCGACAGCAAGTCTTACCTTTCTCCCGCTCTGCCCTTTCCTGCGCCTTGCGGGTATACGCAACTACGGCGGCATCACCACCACTCACGTTGGAAGTTCCTCCGATACTGAAGTGCATGTCACTTCTCAATCCAGTTGTCAGGGAGCTTGACGATTTCAACCAAAGAATGTCATCCTGGTTTATCTCGTTGAGGGAATCCTTCTTTCGGGTACATCCACAACAACCTCCCATCTGTAAAATCTCAAAATTTTTCAACAATAACTTGTTTACTCGCAATTTTATAGAGAACCGTATTTCGCGCAATGCAATAATACAATGACTTAATTAACTTGTGACGCTCTAATTTAATCAAGAGCAATCAATTAAGGGCCTAATTAAGGGCTCGATTGTTCTACCTCATTTCCGGTTTTTAAACAAAATATCCTCTGACCTAAAAGACAGAACTGAATAGCTCTACTGACGAATTCTATTGAAGTTCCCATATTGCCCCACTTTCAAACCATTCAATCGGTTTTCTGACATGACTTGTTGATATGCGTGATGTATAATTATTTTTATAGGTTTTATTATGATGACTCCACAGCTATTCATAAATTACAAGATGAAATCTGTTGCTCACTTGCCTTGGAGGATGTTGACTTATAAAGCATTGAATACATTCATTGACGATTTGTTTGCATTCATTATAAAAATGCCGACATTGTATCGACTAGGTTGCTTGAGAGACGGTAAGTTTTTTCTGTATTAAAATTTGATTCAACTAATATATTGAATTAGATAGAACATGATAACTTTTTCTTTAATATGATTAAAGTATATTGACAATATTACTTTTTTCAATAGACGTAATCTTCTTCATATATTTATATCAAAAATGGATCTATCCCATCGACTATAAACGCGTCAATGAATTTGGAGTTAGTGGCGAAGACTTGCAACAAGCGGACAGTAACGGAGTTCTAGCGAAGACTGACGAAGCTCAGCCGGACGGGATTGAGAATGAGAATTCTAGAAACGGAGAGGTTCAAGGACTCGCCCATGAAAAAAGTGAATAACGGGATCAAATAGATTTGGGAAGAAACCTGCATACTGGGTTCAGGGAGTTTTATATTTCCTATATTTGGAAATTTCATAAAATATGAAAGCAATGCATTTAAAAATAATCTAATTATTCTTGAACATATCGTTTGGATAAAAATTTCGCATTGTGAAAGTGTCATTTTAATTTTTTTGGAAAATACATAATGGTTGGAAATTCTCATGTAGAGATGTGTAATTTTGTTTTGACACCTCACCTCCGTTATTCATCTATCCGCAGATCCGTCATGGACGTTCTATTTCTCGCGAGTTTGTCGCGTCATTAATATCTGGCATTTTCAAACATAACTGAGCTGAAGATTGCAGCTGGATGTCTAATTAATACAACTTCTGAACAGCAGCCAATATTGCAGCCAATAGGAAAAAAGGAGATATTGAGCTAGCCAATCAGAACTTTGCTACCATAACAAGTTTTCCCGCGGATAGTTACCATTTACCAAATATTTTAAAGGGCAATTGTCGCATTATTTGTTGCAAGAGAAATATATTTTTCAGCCATGGACGTTCCTCTTGCCACCCTAGCGAAGCAAATAAGCATTGAGCAAAGATTTAATTGTGTGATTTGCCTTTGTGCACGTTTTAAAATGGTTTATGGGCGATGTCAACATAGAATTTGCACGCAATGTGCTTATGGTTCAAGCGATGACCTTCGCGTTCAATTTCAGCGCTGCCCTTCGTGTCAACAAGAAGACGTCTTTCCTGATAAAAAGCCTACCATTCCTGAAGACAATATTCAACTGCAGAAGCTGCTCGGCGTAACGGCTTGTCAGAATAATGGTTGTACACAAGAATTCTGGTCTTGGGAGAAATTAGAGCATGAATTGTGAGTATTGAAGTGATATAAATATGAGCCACGAGGTTCGACGGTTTATACTGAATATTAACAATAAATATGATTATTGCGTCCCAAATTGACGGATCAAGTACAAATTTTGTGCTTTACAATCGATGGTTTATGCAGCAATTCCAAAGTGACTGCTAGGTGAAAAGGTCAGCAAGACCCTCTCAATGCAATATTTGTGTCCATTTCAATATATTTCTTGATTAGAATCATATCTATAGAGGACACAAAATTGTCTCGTAAACTTATTCCTTATTATTGACCTACATAAACGTGTTTTATAATCTTGAGTGTACTTATGAGGAGCACCATATTATCTTGACAGAAATTGCCGTTTTAAACATTCATCTGGCAAAAAGAGTCGCACCATACAGGAAAACCAGAGGTATTGATTTTTTAACTATATTTAATTTGAATTGGTTCAAACACTTGTGAAATACACAATTTGACACTCACTTTGTTTTGCCACCTTTCAGTGGAAAATCACCAACCAGCAAATTGAAAGGACAACAAGATGAAGAGATGCTAAAAAGAACCTATCCTCTTCGATCGAAAAGGAATCTTCGCCAAAGATCCCGTATAAATACTACCACCAGTTGATGAGCAAATGAAATATCTCATTGAATGAAATGTATAATTTATTTGTATATATGTATTTAATTGTTGTAAATGTACTTATAACATTTATATAATTCTAAAAAGTGATGTACATAAATATGATAAGCTTAATTTGGAGATTTTTAGATGCAATTTGTGTCCATTTCAAAATATTTCTTGATTAGAATCATATCTATTGAGGACTCAAAATTGTCTTGTATATTTATTCCTTATTATACTAGAAATTGATGAAGTTGCATATTATTATTACATTAGATAAATTACATATCATTTCATAAATATAACAACCATTGCATCCAAAAAAATACAATCATGGTGAATTAAATGTTCGTAGCAACAATGTCTTTGGTACTTTGTGGTACCTTGCTCAAAAAAGTGTCATGATCCTTCAATGTTGCCAGCAAGCCAGTGTAGTTCATATAATCCATATTGTACTCGTATTTAATTTCGTTTCCTAAGATATCAGTTATGGCTCCACCTGCAGCTCGTAGGATAGCATCTGGTGCACAGGTATCCCAACGCTTTGTTCCTTTGCTTGCATATATGTAAGCGTCTGCCTCACCCAGAAGCACGGACAGTGCTTTGTACCCAGAACCCCCAGCTCTTGTGATCTTTGTTGGGTTCATTGCTTCAATTGTCTCCAGGTTAATGTTACTGCTGTGTGATCTAGTAGTAATAATTACTAGACCCTCGTGTGTGCCTCTTTCATATCCAAAAGAACCAATGCCTTGCATTCCCCAGATAGTTCGACCAGTGGTCTTTGGGTTCTCTGCAGCTTTGTAAAAAGGTTGGTGAATCACTCCTGCTATTGGTTTTCCGGCACGTGATATGCCAATGAGAACTGTTACATGTTCTATATAACCTAAAAGATATTAGCCAAGCTTAGGTATGGTCACACATTACATAAAACCAAGGTGAGGTATTGCTTTTTGAAATGGATAACAAATTTTGAGAGGATATATTAGAGAGTGCTGACTGATGCTTTCTGGGGATGCACCCTATTGCTTGGGGATTTCTAGGGCTAATAATGCATTGCTTGAGGATTTCCTGGGGTACAACCATGGCTTCATATGTACCATCTGTAAACTCTTTAGTGCCATCCAAAGGATCAACCCAAACAACAACCTGGAGGGGAATCAAACACAATAGTTATGAAACAAATTGACGAAATCATTGATCAGATGACAAATCATTTTCAAACCTCATCCTCTTTACAATTTTGCAGTTCTACAGGACATGTCTGCTGCAAAACATTTGAATCGTCCTCTGTTTCTGCAACCTCAATGATATCAGAGCAATCTTCCTAACATGATAAACAAGTCAAAAATCATGTTGTCTGAGTCAAATAGTACATATGCGCACTATCAAATCCCTGCTTACACAAACTGACTGACATGGCAGTATACCAGTTCGAACTTACCTCTTCTCCAACGATCTTAATCGCTGGAAATTTCTTCTGCAACGACGTAATTATGCATTTCTGAGCTGCACGATCTGCAATCGTTTGTGGATCTGGCTCACCTTTGCCTAAATTCTGGTTGAATTGGAGGAGAAAGAGTATGTTACAATGTTTATAGTTATACCCCCAAATTTCGATTACACTCACTACAACAACTTGGAGTTACCCTAAGTACACTTACTTTATCGACGACCTCCAGATTGCCCCTCTCCAGGACATTACGAATGATATTGCCGGCTTTATTTGCAGCTGCGACCGAGCAAGAAACAAGACGAAGGATAAAAGGAATATTTGAACTTGCCACCGCCATGTTTTGAGAAATTTAATATACATTAAATATAATTATACACTTTATTAAAAACTCCTCCCCCCGAAATGATCCTGGAAGAATCGAAACTGTCAGCTCTACGGTTTCACATTCACTGTAACATTCAATTCAGTTTTTGATATAGACCGTAATATTGCTACGGATATGAATATCGAAAAATTGGTAACATTGGATCTAATTCTTTGGGCAGCGTTTTTGTACCAGGGCGTGTCGACCGGGGGGTGTAAGATGTGACACGCCCCAATAAACTATGATAAAATTCGTCACGCCTCTGTCATTATTGATTGTATCACGTAAAAAAATTAACTTTTAACTTTTGGGTTCCAGCATCGTGGTCGAATATGATGTGATTCTTCGAAACGTGATCGAATATAAACAATATCGATGTTATAGACACTCAGAAATACAACTGAAATGACTTGGAGTGGTATAAAATTTATTTACAATCTTCTACAAGTTTGGGCATCTAAATGGTGTTCATGTCTTTTCTTTTCCTTGGTACAACAACTAGACATGAACAACTTCGTTCGGTAGTTTCCGTCGGATAGCGCTATAAAGCCTCTCCCAAAATATGTCTCGATTCTTCTCGTCTGTCCAGTCCAGATATACAAAATCTGCAATTTCCGCTGGAGCTTTGCACTTCTCGTACAAAATCACCAGTACCTGATGGCCTGTTTTACCTGCTGCAAGAGCATGGTACAGTTCTTTACGAGCGTATAAGCTCTTTAGAGAGTCTTTGGATAAAATGAAAAGCGTCTTTCTACTTCCGTAAATCCCATTCGCTATATTCTCGTCTATGCTTTTACCAATTTCGAAGTCAACAAAATCGATGAAGACTTTAAAATCCTGGGATCTGAGATTAGGAAAGAGCGTGGCATGGACCCATTCACGATTCTTGGAACTGTAGCAAACGAATACGTCTTTTGACCGTGTCATTTTAGGAGGATCTGTAGTGGAAATTGTGCAAAACATGATTAATAATGATTATTTACGGAGGATGGACAGAACAGATCTTTGAATGGTTATACCGGAGTTATGCTCACCGTAAATTACTTCTTTCAATGGGTTGAGCAATTTGTCACGATATTTATTCATCATTTTTCTTCTGTGAAATATATACAGAACTACGACGACAATCAGCAATGTAGTTACAATCGGCGCGATTATGATGACAGCTTTCACGCCCGAAGATAGATTCGACGTTCCGTCTGCGAAAAGATAAAATTCTTTGAAAATGATTCATGGTGCGTGCCTGAGGCACTTGTCTTATAGGGCAAGCATATGTCTTAAGCAAAGCTGTTACGAGTCATGGTATTCAGTCATTTGAAAAGATTCAAGTCTATTATTCGATCATTACCTTTGTCTTTCGACAGCAAGCTCGAATAGCAGTTGGTTTGAAACATTTGTATTGTTTTGGTTTCCATCCGTTTCATCCATCTTTCCCGTTCATTCGTGTCTTCCGGGCATGATAAACAGTCCTCGATAGATGTCCCGTTGTTGTTTGGTGAAAACGTTCCTCTAGGGCAACGTTTTGGAACGGTTTTTCTTCCCGAATTAGGACAGTAAAAGCCTTGATAACAGGTCACTGAAGTGAAGACAGATATAAAGCAATGAATATATATCGATCCTTATCGTAAAACCCTATCATAACTGCTTTATTTACGATAAATTTTAGGGTAAGGCAGTGACTGCCGCGGATTTTTTCAATTTCTCCAAAGAGCGGAAATGGGTTGTACATCAGACCACGCATTCAGGGTAATTTTCTCCCGTGTTTAAACTAACTATAATATTTATATTGATTCATCCGTACCTGCACGGATAACAAGACTAGCTCGCGGCACGTTTTCCGTTTGAGACTCAATGATGGAATTCATATCCACACATTCATATTTCCCGCCATCACTATACCTAAATTTTTTTATTACAAGTTTCGACACGGAGCAACGGCTGTCACTGACGTGATCACCGAACAATAATCGTATTCGACTATCTTCTGTGCGCTCTTTCAAACGCTTGGAGTTTTTCAGCCAAAGCATACTGCAGGATGTTGTCTTTGGTGTCACCAAAGGCTTGCATGTAAGGTTGATACTCGACCCAACGATGACGTCGTGGTCCGTAACGCTGCCTTCCAGCCCCACATCGACCGTGATTTTACCGCCTTGAAAGACAATGCAGGATTGTAATGTGTTATTTGAGGTGTATTAGTGTTATGGGGTGTGCCAACAAATGTAATGCTCATGATGACAGTTACAGTTTATCACTTTCACTTTGAATAACAGAATTATGTGATCAGGTAGATCAACTCTGTGTTAAAATATACCCTGACACGTCTAAAGGCCTAGCTGTCCCTTCAACTGTTATTCTTCAGTTTGAATGCTCCCTAGTGTGGTTAATTATTGTGTGAATTCAAATCTACTAGTGTGATCACTGGTTAGATCTCATGGTAGTGCAACTCTATTTAATAAAATATCCTCCACACGTCAACTGAAAGCTTGTTCTCTGGGCTGTTTCTTCTGTGCCTATTTGCCAATTGCCCCTAGTATAATTAATTATGGTATGAATTCAAATCGACTATAATGAATTACTACAATCAGATCCCACAGAGCAGCCGCGTGGAATAAAAACAGCAGGCAGTATATTAATCTAAGGCTGGGCATGCTTGCTGCAAGTTTACTAGACAGCAAACAACAAAAAATTGTAAAGCAAAATTTTTAAATAATTTATCCTATTGGAGATCAAATACTGGCCTACAACCTACTATTGTAGCATGTTTATTCTGATTAAGCTCTGTATAAAGAGAAGTTTGCATTCGTGCGTCAGCATTCTGTTTGACTATTCTTAAGCTGCCAAATGTACTTACCAATCACGGTAACATCTGCCAACATGACCGTCAAAATTACAGCAAACGATTTGAGAATCTCCTGGCGACCACAACTCATGGCTACATGTCGCGAGAGACTGACTATACATTCCATAGTACAATCAGGAACTTATTCGTATGCTAATAATAAAAACTGGTCAAAACCCTTTAAATAGATTATTTTGCGTAAACCACAACGATTTCCTGGTAGTGGCAAACTTTCAGAGCACAACAGGACGAACGCAGAACGACAAAACTTAACTCAAAAGTATCGATTAGTTTCTTTCTTCTTTGCCGAAATAAAGCTGTTTTGATTGATAGTTTATGTTTGATAACTGCAGTGAAGCGAGGCAGAATCATTGGATATATTGTTATTATAAACAGCAGCACTTCAGGTTTAATTTAAGTGGTCAATGTTTTGAAAAGATTGCATTCCCCGATGTCAAAGGTCCCCACATTTTAGTTCCTGTTTGATTTACTTGTCAAAGTGCGCAATGTTTTTGCAATCTGCTAACGCTTAATACATTCACAACAGTTACACAACATATCGATACTGTTTGTAACTGTAATCTTTATACTTTTGCTGAAGCAACAATGATTTTTGTAGCTTTAAACTCTGCAGAACCGAAGTTTGTTGTATCTAATTGGAGGATCATTATATTAAAAGAGTCAAGAAGACTCCCCATAGTTCGTCAGATAGCTGTGAGATTCTTCCAATAAATAGTTGTTTGCCTATGACAGGGGTCATTGACTCAGTTGCAACTATCTTCTATTAAAGAAAGTGAAATTTGGTTTGCATGTTACTATGCAATATCGCTTTTCCTGTCAGCTTGTTTCAACAAATCCACCGGAAATTAAGAAAATACAAAACAGAAATTCTATTTGCTTCCCCCACTGTAGTACACTGCAAGTGCTAGAGGGAGTATTTATATTCGTTTACTATGTCATCGACACCTTATCTAGTTTTGATCTACGTCCACAGACATTTGTTGAAATTGAAAACAATTATGGCGCTCTTAAATAAAGAACCTCAATCTTTAATAAGTGCCCTCAATTAGGTTGTAACGTGGCAAACGACCCAAAGGCATGCAAATTTATGAAAGACTGTCTGTCGCATTTTGACGCCCGAAGAAACGAATGGTGGATGGTGGACGTTTATCCAACGTTTTTACTTCTCAGGGTCTTCTCAGGGAGAGAATTTCACTGTCAGTAAATACCGTATTGCTTGTCTCAATGATGAATGCCCAAAACACAGGATATACGTAATATATAATTTCCTTAAATCGTCACAGAAATGAGGAAAATTATAAGAAAAAAAGCTGCAGCAAATCAAAGTCGTTTTACAGTAAAAGTCTTCATATTCTGGAATCATGTTATTAAAAAAGAATCATTTAGTTATATATTTCAAGCTGTAAAATCCCAGTATTAAACTACTGGAAACGTGTCCAAGTTAGGTTTCCTGGTATATTCTATCATCTATATGCGTGACCCGTGGATTTGTTTTCTCTTCTATAAGGTCTCCAGCTCATTTGCCAGCGGTGTCCTTATGGCATCGTACAACTTTTGCCAGAAATGATCTCTCTTTTCTTCATCCGTCCAGTCAAGGTAAACGATGTCTGAAATTTCATCAGGAACCTTACATTTCTCATATAAAATGACAATCACCTGATGTCCAGTCCTGCAGCTTGCCGCGAGAGCCTGGCCAAGCTCTGTACGTGCATAATAACTTTTCAAAGAGTCTTTAGATAGTACAAATATCGTTTTTCTACTACCATAGATTCCGTTAACAATGTTTTGATGGATCGGAAGACCTATTTCAAAGTCTATAAAATCGATGAAGGTTTCAAAGTTTTGTGCTCGTAGATTCGAGAGAAGCGTACCGTGAACCCATTCTTGGTTCTTCGAGCTGTAGCAAACAAATACGTCTTTTGATTGAGGGACATCCGGAATTTCTAAAATGTATTCAATGAGTTAAAGAAATTGCACTGGCAGAAAAAGAGGAGGTTGTGTGTTAAACGGTTACCTATTTGTACATCTGCCAACGGAGCTCGAGCGATTCTCTTGTATGGACGATATTTTCGCATGAGGTAGAAGATTATTAGCAGGAACACTACAGCAATTCCTGTCAAACACAATGCAATGGCTACAATTTTTCCTTGCGATAACCCAGAATCTGTATTCAACGTTTCTGTGAAAAGGTATTAAATCATGATATTAAAGTTATTTTTCACCTTAATTGTCAATGGGATAAAAAAATTGCGCTCAAAAATAAACTGAAATATTAAGATATGCATACTCGTATGGGACAAATGTGGACAGTTTTCTTTAAAAATCTCAACTAATCCAGGCTTTTTGTCCTTTAGAGCACTCAATGTTTCGTTTCGTCCATCAGTGGGACAAGGATCACACTGTTTGAGGTCTGTAGCATTCTGGTGCAAGCTGAAGGTACCGTTTGGACAACGTAAAGCTTTATGAGAGGAAGATGGACAGTAGAAACCTTGGAAGCAAGGAACTATATGGAACCACAAAAGAGACAACTATTAGCTCTTGCAATTGTATCATTAAAATATATCAAGATCGTGAATAATTACACTCACCTTTGGTTAGTGAAATTGTATTCTTGCTATGTCCTAAGGAACACTGGTAATCACCATCGACATTCTTCATCATTTCATTTAGAATCAACCTTGACCCGCATCGTCCGTTTTCTTGTACATACTCAGTGTTGTTTCTTGTGATTATTTTGTCATTTCTTTTCCACAGCCAACGACTCTGGTCACCACAAGGAGTATGGTGAACAGTGCAGGTAATATTGAGAGGTGAACCCATTTTTACAAACTTTCCGTGAATGGTTCCTGACTTGCCTTCCAGGCCAATGGCAATACTTCTCATCGGTTCGCTGGAATCTGGTATGGAAGAAGACAAAGTTATAGAAAAGCAATGGAGGAACCCATTGTCACTGTCACTAAATTCATCTCCACAGTAAAACCTCGTACTCAAAAAATTCTAGCGAAACAGCATGAGCTATACCTTAATTTTAACATCTCTTATCTAATATCTCTTACCTAAAGACGAAATTTCAGTCGTTGAACGAGCCTCTCCCAAGGCATTTTTAGCCACGCAAGTGTAGGTTCCTCCATTATTTTTCAAGACTCGGAAATACAGCGATTCTTTGCTACAACTAGGAATAACTTGTACATCACGACGGTTTAAATCAAGTCGAGTACCATTGTAGAACCATGTCAGAGTGGATGGTGGATTGCTTTCACAGAGAGCGCATGTGATCTCCACCATGGAGTTGACCATCGCTAATTTCTGGGACCGCTCGAATTTCATACTTGGTGGACCTACGAATTATCGAACTTGCAATAAAAAACTATATATTTGCAGGGCGATCTCAGGGTGAACAACTATCGAAATTTTGAAACGAAACGATTTTGCAACAGACGTGTCCTTGAGATAGCTTTCAGTGATATACTCGCTGTTTATTATATTCAGCTTGTAGCTTCTCACCAATAGGTTTACTGCCAACTTTACGTCTTCCATCACTAGCCAGTTTACACTCATTGGAACAACCGTTGTCTGAAATGAAATTAACATGGATCATGGAACCAAGGACAACAACTTGCAATAACCCGGTGAATGTATAAGAATTACCGATGATTTTCACTTCTGTGGTTGAATTTGTTTCACCAAATTTATTTCTTGCAACGCAAGTATAATTTCCTTCGTCTTCGCCCAATATTACCAACAGGAACAGCGTTTCCTGACACGGGGTCGAGGTTACATGCATCCTCTGTCCTTTGAATTCGAGCGGTTTACCATTGAAAAACCACTCTATCGTCGAGGCTGGATTGCTTTGGCACACTCGGCAGTTCAAGCCTATTGACGCCATTAAAGTGACACTTGTGCTGATGGTTTTGAACCTCATTCTGGGAGGATCTGTAAACATCAGCGAGATTATAAAACTGACGATAATGTTACTACTGCTGTTGTTGAAGGAAAATGTTATTATTTATCATGGCAATACTGATGTTAACATGATAATGATTGAGGGAGGGCACTGCTATTGTTACATGTTATTTATGCTTCATTTAGTTATCTTTTTAAGTTCGATACTACTGTTAGTTTTGTTGTGTACACGGTTTGTACTCTAACTCACCTTTACCTGTGTTTTCATCACCCACAGTACGCTTCCCATCTTTCAACGTACAATTCGTGGAACATTCAAATCCTGTATTGATTTTGTTAAAAAAAGTAAGGCATACAGACAGTGCAGTAAAGCCAACTACTAATATCAATTAATCGGATTAAAACTAACTTTATAGTTGACAAGGAAATACTAAACAGATCTGAGTCACGTCTTTATATGAAGATATATATTTTATATGAAAATGGATATCGGCTCATGATGGGCAGTGCGTCGGTCAGTGCCAGTGGTTTGATTACTGAGTCGTGATGTAGTTTCACTTTGATCTATTTATTTGAAATGGTAGATAATGATACACAAAGTGATTTATTTCAAAATATTTTTGTAGTATCGGTCTAAAAGACTCCTAAAATAGTCGATTAGAACGCACTAGGCGCTAGTGTGTTGATACTAAGTAAGTTGGAGGTTCCGTACACACGTTTTAAGAACAATCTTCTTGAATGATTGTTGGAGCGAGTAATTGAAAGAAAAAATACATACTTACCGTGTGTTAAAGATATTGGCATCATATACAGGAGAATAAGTATAGAAATGCTAAGAACATAACGTCGAAACATGATTCTGTGTCTCATGATAATCATTGCGTAACTTGTTACAGGAACGATGAGATTTAAGACTGAAGGTGGGTTCATAAATTAAAAGTTCCGGTAGGTAAAGTGAAAATGCAGTGATTAGACAATGCAATTCCTGGGAACTCGCACTGGGTTTCCAAGTAATTGAATGATAACAAACTGGCTGTGTAATTATATTCCGCTTCATTGCCGGTGTTATGTTCCTGTTTATATTTTCATAAGTAAATAGCTGGCAATGTCATGTAAACTATATTCTAGCGCTGAAAGACTCTCGAGTCTGAATCTCGTTCACTTGTATGGTTTAGTCTATACAATAGTTAGTAAATAAGTAAAACAACCATTAACTTTCGTTTGGTTAATACAGACTTATAGAGTCATTACAGTTACAAATGTTAGGCCAGCGACTTCAAAACTTGTTAAAGGCATTTCTATTTCATCTTTTCTTTTCAGGTTCACACCTTCACCTCGACAAATGGGCCGTTGAGACTTGAGGTAAACCTGATTAATAATCTATACCTGAACTGGTCTACTGGGTCGGGGAGGGGAGTGGGGCACCTCCCCAACGTCAAACACCTCATCATTCCTGCCAACAGGCCGCCTCCAACGTCGTGTCTATCTATCAGAGACATATCTATTAGAGACCAAACCATTTTGTTCAAAATTTTTCTTAGGGAAAGCGTGAAACAGTTTTGAGTTGTCGTCGATTCATTATGATGTATATTTAAATTACATGACGTTTCGTGTTAATGTAATGGAATAATGATGGTAAAGTTCCATAAAGTTTAAATGTTTAAATACGAAAGTTATGTCAGTTGAAACGGATAAAACTTCAAATGAAAAGGTATATTATTGAATAAAGAAAAAAAATCATATTTCACCATCAACCTTATGGATAATGTAGTATTAAATTAAGAGCACACTTTCTGCTCTTTCTTCACTGAGAGTACCAATTAATATAGAACTAGCAACTGACACCAGGGGGATCTAGTTAGAAGTCCTGTTCATCTTAGAGTAGAATAATGATTTATTTGCAAGCCTGTCTGCTTTGCATTTTGTCTTGTTTTCGACCGATTTGGACTAAACAAGCAATATTCTTAATTTAAAACATTTTTTTACAAATTTAACACCAGGAACAGCTGAATGAGCTGATTGATGCTATTGAAACATTATCAACATTGTTGAACTCTTTACTTGAACAAGCAAAGAAAGATGTTGAAGAATCATTAGGGAGCTTCATTGGTGACAAGGTTCGCACTCTTGGGCAAGCCATTGGTGGTTACTTTAAGTGCCTAAACACTTTTCATGTTGCAAACCGAAGTGAGCTTCAATTGAAATGGCAAGCATGTTATCAAAATAAGGACATTCGTGAGTCTGTTGACAATCTCTTGGAAGTTGAGGAAAATTGGGATGATTTTCTGAAAGAAGTTGATAGGAAACTAGACGGAGGTGACAATGATGCTGGTCAAAGTTTGATTGTGGATCAGCTGGACCACTCAGAATACCTCTGGTTAATATAGACACAGGAAGGTAAATATTTTTCATGTTATTATGTTGTAATGTTAAGGTGGGTTGATTTTTGGGATGTCAAAGAGGAGGAATGGGGCTAGCCTTCTTTGGAAAGTGCAAGGGTGGCAAAGGTGCTTTCAGTTTTAATTTTAAAACTAGAATTGTTTTCTTTGTAATAGTTTAACTAATCTTGGCGATTTTATTGGATCCAATAATTTGCTGCTTGTATTTCTTCGTCACTTTGCCTGACTACCGTGACGTGATCATGTCATGCAACTTCAAAGCGCTAGACAGGAATTTGAAAACCTGAGAACCACAATAGCCGTTGTCAGCTTTGGATCCAAGGTAAGCTAGGTAAAGTTTTCACAAAACCCTGGATACAAATGAATTTAATATGTCTTGAACTGGTATTATAATTCTGCATGCAACTTTTCCTCCAGGAGAAAGCAATATCCTGGAAGAAAGATACAAAATGCGAGTTCCCAATATTACTGGACGAAGATCGTCACTTGTACAAAGCTCTAGGGTTAAAGAGGTCAGTATCAAAGGTTTGGGCAGTATCTTCCTTAGTCTATTACGCGGAACAGAAATTAGCTGGCCGAAAATTACTTTCCATGTTAGAGGAAGATGATCCACATCAATTAGGAGGGGATTTCATCATCAATAGTTCCGGAATTCTAACCTTGCTTTACCAAAGTAAAACCTCCACTGACAGACCGTCGGTTGAGTTTTTACTGGACTTTTTACAATCACATTAATACCCGGCGTGGTTGCAAACTGACGATATAATTTATACAAACAGTTATCATAAGTACCTGGACTTTCTATTATATAAATACCTGAACTTTCTAAAATTGAAAAGTTAAGTCCTCAAGTCAAGATGCATGCATTATGAAGACAGTAATCTAAATCTTGTTGTTGGATGGTTACTATCTGAAGTATGTTGCAAGCTTCAGCGAATTATTACAAGATTCAAGTAATTAAATAACACTGGCGTAGTCTGGTGTCATGTAATCAATGTCCCAATGGCTAAGTACTAAACGATTTTCCCTGATTATGACTTTGATTAAATAAAGTCAAACATTAAAAGTTTTAGACAAAATTTGTTGTAACTAATCAGGCGACGTGAGTTCACTCATGTCCCTGATGCCATTATCACTATGCAGTTGAACTGTCTGGGGGACGCAGGCCAGATTGCAAAGATAGTTCGACGTTTCTATTCAGACTGACAGCCGGGTAAAACATCTCATTTCCGCTCGGCAATTGTATCGATCCCCTCTCATCGTCGTTGAGAAAGAACGTGAGTCTATACGAACTCACATCTAACAACACTCCTACAACAGCCCCCGTCTCAATCCCGCCCAGGTGGCGTTCGAAATGTGCATTATTATGTCGGAACCAGCTTCGGCTTGCATCGGCGTACATCGACCAGGCTTTCGTGTCCTTTCCCAAGATCGTATTCTTCTCGGTATCGGCTCGGGCGACGCCAAACGCAGGATCGGGATTGCTCGTATACTTGTCGATCGTGATCTCCCAGTAGTGTATGCCTTTTGAGAAACCAATGTTTCCTAGAACCACGCGATTTTCACTGCAGTTGCAAGTAACTGTGTAGTTGTCGTTTGACAAGGATACACCTGACGGAGCCGTCTCGGGGTCGAACGTAAAATAGGCCACTAAAAAACAGAGAAAACACGTAGTTTTCTATTTGAAACTCTGAAGATCATCTCCAGGTGATTGGGGGACAGAGTAATGAGATCATTGGAATGGTGATTGATTTAAAACCTAATAAACACTCCCAGTCATTTCCATGATATTTCTCGGTACCTTAGAATAGGATTGACTGATGATAGAGTTTTGGCAAGAGAATGCAATGACTACGTTTATCTCCGTATGAAAATATACAAAACTTACAATCTGGTGTGCCCAGGTAAACAAGATCGCTTGATTGGCTTTCACCAGCACTGCTGTAGGCTCGTACACGTGCTCTGTACGTGGAGTCAAACTGCACCCCGCTGACTGTGCACTTGGTCTTATCCCCACTGTACACCTCTCTAAAGCTTCCTCCACACCCATCGTCGATTTCGACCACAAAACCTTGCGGATTTCCATGTTCCACAGGACGCCATGATAAGATGATCTTGTCATTCAACACTGAACATTGATCGGGTAGGAATTCCGGAGCTGGTGGCGCTGTAAGCGGATTGAGAACAGTTTAGGGAATCCATTAAAAGGCCATTTCCCGTCCCGGCTTATCAGCTAAACTTGGATAGAATTCTAGGTGTAACTAAGCTTTATCTATTGAAGTATCCTTCCTTGAGGTCAATCAAGAGTCTTTTCTAATTCGATCGTTCAACGAAGCTAAATTGAGTTGGGCTAAATCCAGTCTGGCTGGTGTCACTCTGGGTGGGTGGCATTTTTCCAAAACCTCATTAGTCAGAAAGAAGATTAAGACAAAAAAATCACTCCCACTCTCAATGATGTCTTCTACCAGAAGTAAAGTTTTCAAGCCTGTTCAAACTAGTGATCTAACCTTTTAACTCGTAAAAGTTCATATCTTGCAACACTTCGTGTATAACGGAAAGATCTAGTGTTAGGTTGATGTTACATGAAGTAGTCGGTTCCATGGAGAAATCCTTATACCAATCACGTTGTGACGTCAACACCCTGGGAACAAACACACCACATTTCAATTTCAAAATGAAATCTAATCTTTGATAACTTTGTCGCTCCTAAATCTTCTGGTACTCCTAAATCCTCACTAGGTGTCTTATGGAGTCCTTATATAAATCAAAGTATAGAGTTACCTTTGACTCACGGAGTTTGAGACCTAAAGAAGCAAAAGAATAAACTATAGACTGTAGTTCGTACGTCGTAATATATCCTGAAGTGACCTGTTCATTACTGGACCAAATTCTTACCAATAGAAAAGAGGATGGATCGACTTCTCTCAAGACCTCCATTGTATACTCGATCAATCCTTTGGCTTCATATGCCTTTCCTTCACATTCTTTAATCTGATTGTTTAAGTTCTTAATCTTTTTATTGATCTCTGTTGTGACGACCTGCAATAATTCATTCTTTTTCCCTTCAATAAACCTTATCAGGGAGTCGCATTGTGCTACAACACTGGCCTCAAAATCGAGACCATTTTCCTAAGAATTGAAAGGCAAGTTAAAATATTAGCCTTGTGTTAGTTGGACATTCCTATGTCAGGCAAACGTCTTTAGATTTATATCCAAGAAGCTAAAATTTACCGTCTGAACTTTACCTGAATATCAACACGTTTCTCATTTAAACGGCCGATGAAACTTTGTAACTCTTTTTCTTTCTCACATAACTGTTTTAGGTTTCCTGTAAGCTCCGTCTAGGATTATATATAACAATATAGTTACATTCCTGTTCATACCCTATTATACGTAAGTCAAGTCTGCATGCATGACAACGGTATTCTGGTTTAGTCATACTTAAAAATAATGACTAGTACATGATATTTCTTGGTTTGTAATCTTTGAAAGACATCCTTGAAAGCAATGTCCTTTTACAATACAAAAGAGAAACACGGCTCAAAAACAATTTTCTTCAGTTTGTTCACAAGCTTGGCTATTTAGTGAAACAGTGTATGCTTATTTTCCCGCCCTCACAAATGTTTTTTAAAACAATGCTTCATAGTTTGTTCAATAGCAGGTGCAGCCAAACAAGCTTTACAAAGCACATGATTCTCCCCAGGTCACCGACGTTGCGATCTTTTGGCGGTCAACTGGTATTTGTTTTATGTCCTCATTAAGCCTCAACCGCAACATTTTCGCGAGCACACACAATAAAAGGACCGCCCAGGTTTTGTTTGTAAAGTTCAGCGTTGTTGTTTCCGTTCTTCCCGCGTGGACAGACTGTGAAAACGTGAAGCTGAGTAAATTAAAAATCTGAATAATTGATCAAATTTCGTCTTTACTCTGGCCTTAAATCAATAAGTTGTTGATTGAAAGATGTCTAGAGACGGAGATTATTTGTATTTGTATCGTGTTATCGCCCCAAATTGCACTAAAACACAAGACAATGCTGATCTGCTGTTATTATGACCTAAAAGCTAATTTATATTTGTTCATGATATTTGTAAAGAAGACAGATATATCGCGCTGTGATATGGTTTTTATCCTGTTAACGAAGTAACTTATTCCACACGCTGTTATTAAAATCTATTATTTGAGTAAAAGTTTACTGAATACAGTCATTTTTTGCGGACAGATAGTGGTTTTGTTAAATGCTTCGCAAATAGGTTTAGTGTTCTGTCATCTCTGCAATATTTTAAGAAATATATTTTTAGCAGAAATAAATCAGGCTTACTGCATGACCCTTTACGAATCACGAGACATAAGAACTCATAGTATAGAATGTAACGGGATAAAAACAGTTTCTTTTAGAGGCTCGTTGGATAAAGTTTTAAAAAAACTCATCACAAACCTTCTGTTCCTTGAACATCTCTCCCAGGGCTTTTACATCGTGTTTACGATGTTTTCCTCTGTCTACACAGAGGTAACAGACCGTTGTCTTACACTTGACGCAATACATGCTGATGTTTTCCTCTCTATGATGACTACACTTCATCACATCTTGCCTTCCTTTGCCAAGAGTTGAGGGTGATACTAACATATGTGAAGCCAGCGGTCCACGACGAGGGTGATAGGTCTTGCAGCATTTCTCGCAATACGTGATATCACATTGCTCGCAAGATATTGTCCCGGCATTCGGGGGAATCGTATCGCACATTTGACAGAGAACGTCGGACGTCGCTCCAAAGGAACGATTCACGAGCTTTTCCAAGATTCTGTCTCTGGGAAATGACTGCACGTCACAGTTTCCAATGCATATCTTCTTCTCACAAGCGGGGCAGGAAACCATTGCCACCTTTGCTCCTCCATTACTCCCTTTCTCCTCCGTTTCACATCCATCAGCATTTGCCTGTTACATCGGAGTAGGATATCAACGATTCAGCGCAGTACAGACAAGCGTGATGCGTGCAAGGCAGAATCACTGGATTCTGAAACGGTTTTTCGCAAACCATACAAATGAGCTCCTTCTCCATCCTCTGAGATCTATCCAATTTCACGTCCAAACTCTCGAGGCGTAAATCATAGTTTAACTTAATTATTTTTGTACAAATGTTTGTGTACTTTACTGCTTCACACTTCGCCACAGATTTAAGCATTTCGGTGTTTCGACCGTTAACTCTTGATCCTCATTGGTTGGATTCCGAGCCTTATCCAATCAGATTGTGGCGGCAAATGTTCCGGCCGGTGGTTTTTTCACGCTTGTATAAACAGCTTACTCAAGCGTTCCTGTGCGGTTTTCTTGGCTAATTTTCTCCGCATTTTTATAATTGTTTGTTAAATTTAAATTGTTTTGTTAAATTTGCCTTGTTAGTTTTCATTCATGCCTGTTGTTCCTGCAACTTGTGTATTCTTTCCACTGATCTGAGGGATTCTCTCTTGTGAACAGTATACCTGAATTAAGGATTAATAGTTCTCTCTCCTCAGTCAACTTGGAGGGAAAATGTTAACATCTTACTCTCAAACACTGTAGCTCTTAGAAAACTCTCAGCATCCTCTCATAAAAACACGGACATCAGTCAAAACGGAATGAATCCTATTTTATTAGAGACATCTAACAACGTGAGCATGCGTTTACTTTTGGTCAGCGTTCGAGGATACATGATCTCTTTACATGTAACTGGATCCGTAACATATACCTGTCAATCTCGTATCATCGTATGGCCATGATTCACGCTGTGTATAGAGACGCCATCGGTGATATCTGCGGTGATTTCTATCATTGCATGGTCTTTCAACGTGGTCAAGGACCCGGTGAAAGCCTCAAGTATATCAAACCTTAAAAAATCGCTTTTACACCACCGCCAAGGTCACCTCTTTTAAAAAACGTGCTATATTGTACCCTGTCATGAAATTCTTTATCGAGGGAACAAAAACACTCTCATGCTCCTTTTATATGGGTGGCTTTGTGGTTCAATTCATGACTTTTGTTCGTAGAGGTCAAACTATTCTTGAGCGATATACGACAAACCTTTTAGAGCTGTTACTGTGTATTTGAATAAAAAAATGGGAATTCGTGTTACGCACTGAATGAAAAAAACGTGCAAATTGTACAGACTTTGTTCTCGCATGATGTATTATACCAAATGTGTTAAATGCACGAATGTGTGTTTCTTTATTAAACATATGGCTGGCCTATAAAGTACTTCACACATTATATACTTCTGTGACCAGTTTTGATTAGTTAAAGAAGCGTGTTCAAATGACAACATGATATTTAAATTTTTTAATGTTTCTGTGGAATACCTGCTATTTACAGTTCAATAATATTAATAACTCCGTGGCGGTGCTTGCGTGCTAATTTCAGTTAGTTTTAGGCTAAAAAAAAATAAAACTCGTCCTTCATAGAGAATGATACAATTGAACTGGACAGTTCGATTATAATCTTAAAGAGTTTTAAATAACTAAAGAGTAAAGTGCATGAGTGTCTGTGTAAGTGTAGGTATATATATAGCATCTGTATCTGCCCAGTCGTCTCTAATGAATTGAGTTTTTCAGAAATTACAATACGTTTTGTTTACGCGTATAAATTGATAGCTATATATAGTATTGATTTTGACTATAAGACATCAAAATAAAGCGCGTTTCAGCAATTTGCAGGTACATTCTGGAATGTACCCCACCCAGAACGATGGTTGTTTTTGACCGGATATCCCTACGCAAATTCTGACTAAGCTGTGGCCACCAGAAACTCTTGTGGAACGAACGTCACACTTTTTTGTGTGCGCTCTTGACTTTTGTCTCCACTAACTTTGCATTATTGGGTTGTCAATGGTACCACCTGCACGTTAGCTGACAAACCCAAGAACAACCTGCTACCTTCGGACGTGATTGCAATGATCAAGCTATTCATGTCTTAAAAAACAACTACAAAAGCACGCGGATGATTGTACGTATATCACTTTCGATTTCAATTCAAGAAATGGCACCAGAATTCCAATTTTCTGATGCTCTCCTCGTGCGGAAACCATTCGTCAGTATACTGCATGCATCATGGAGATTAAAACGCGCGGTGAATTATTTGTCATATCTTTTTTTCCAAAAACACTCCCTTTAAAGAATACAGCACCGGTTAAGTACTTGATTAAAATGCTAAAGTCGCGTATTCCTTGATCCATTCAGTATGAAAACTAACATCTGGTCGAATATACAGAAAAGCTATGCTTGCAATTCCATAAACACGAAAAAATGTATCAGTTTTAACGTATTATTAAGGAAACTGGGTCAACCTTCAGTTAATTTATCCGTCCACACACGCGGGAAGTCGAGCGAAAAATCAGAAGCAATAACGCTAAGTAACCGCAATTGTTTCACGGCTAAAATAGTCTTTGAGACAAAGTGTTTTCTTATGTTAATTGCCATGAACACATGTCAGTATACGTCTTCATCGTCATGTTGCACAATAAAAGTGGTTTGAGAATGGTTTTGGGCCGGCACTCGTCAGTAACCGGGGATATGCTGACATCTTGAAGATGGCAAAACTTGTACGAACGATGAAAATGTACAAAAGCGTTGAACTAGCGACCGTGAACTCGTTTGAGAGACTTCCAGACGATGTTTTGGCTCAAATTTTATCGTATTTACCAAAGGTTTCCCTTGTTCGCCTCTCAATCGTCAACTCTCGTTGGCATCGAGTTTCGTTTGATGCCAGCCTTTGGCGAGATGTGTGTATTCCTTTTGATTTCAGACATAACGTGCAAGACTCCACGTTGATGAAATTAACGGCGTGTAGCAGGAATGTGTATAAACTGTATTTAGTCGAATGCCGGAACCTTACAGACGAGTTACTGCGATTCATTTCAGTCCATTGTCCAAATTTGAAGAAACTACAACTCTGTGGTTGTGTTGATATTACTGACAAAGGAATGACAGACGTCGCTCGTAGGTGCACAAGACTCCGAAAGCTTGGAATTGCAAAAACAAAGGTTACAGATCGAAGTCTAAACATTCTCATTCAAAATAACCCCGATTTGACAACTCTCGAGACCAGCACCCAGGCGTGTACTGTAGATACTTTGGCAAGTTTGAGAAATTGTAAGACATTGAGAAAACTTAAAGTTTACGAAACTCCCGAGGAAGTTTTGGTCAAAGATACAAGGATTTTGTTGGATGACAGCATGTTCGAAGCTCTGGGAAAATCTTGCCCGAATTTGACTGATTTAGTTTTAATTTATGATAATGTCGAAGCATCAGATTCCTCGGTTCGTGAACTCGCCCGTGGCTGTCCGCTGCTCGAGAATATCGAGATTGATAGTTGTCCTGAAGTGGGAGATCAAGGGATCAAAGCTTTGGTGAAGAACGGGTGCCTGGAACACCTTCATTTGGGAGAGAGTCGAGTCAGCGATGAAACATTACGTGCCGTTGCAACATACCTGCCGAAAATACGAAGTCTCAAGCTTGAATATGCTGACGTCACTGATAACGGGGTGTTCCATCTGATGGGCAATTGTAAATTTCTTGAGGAACTGAGCCTCGGTGTGAAAATACCAGAGAATTTGACCGACATCACTGCTAGTATTATATCATGTCTATCCGGGCCATTTTTATGTTCCCTTGAGTTCAACTCTTGTGCCATCACTGACCGTGGTCTCGCCATTCTTGTTACTGATAATTCTGTCCTGTTGACGTCTCTAAGTATCAAGGCATGTACGCAGATTACTTTTGATGGCTTGATGAAATGTTTAAAGCGTTGTCAAGGATTGAGGCTGTTGGACGTCTTCTTTTCGGGACTCGTTCAAAATGTCATTCAGTTGATGGACATAGCCGAAATTTTACCCAACCTTTGTTCTCTTGGTGCTGTGGATGTTGAAGGCGTAAGCGAAAAAGATCTGGAGACATTTCAATCGCTTTATCCACTATGTGATGTGAGGTTGTGAGCTCTGTTTAGCCACAACAGCATGTCAACGATTCTAAAATATCTGGACTATTAAGTGAAACTAGATCTGACAAATATAATCACAATAAATTATGCCTGTTTATAAAGTTATAATATATGTATTATTAGGGCAATAAATGAAGATATCTACTCTTTGTTGTTTTACTTTCTGGTGAAGCATGAATTCGGGTACAAAGCATAGGAAATACCACACAAAACATCTCAACGACTGACCTAGTCACTCCTAGCTAGTTTGAAGAATGATGTTACGATTATTCTGCAACGTTAATTCGGCTTCTTCAAAGTTGAAATTACAGCTATATTTCAAAACTCGTAAGGACCCTGAGTAAACAGGTTAATCCGAGTAGGTTTTCGAACAGTTTACCATATAAATCCTGTATTAATCCTTTAATCCACGCTGTATGTGGAGTTTCCGACACGGCAATTAACACAAATGTATCTCTAATCTTTGTGGTCTACATGATGCAGATTTTCGATTTCCATAATTCGTCCACTCGCCCCTTCTTCGCTTCTCCTGTACCTTAACATATCTAATCAGCATAATTTGCAATACATACGAGGCAGAACGATACCATTGAAGGAATCTGGCACTAGCACGTGCGTTGAAATGCTTCACCATGACAACTGTTTACATTTAATTAGAATTGTTTACAAATTCTAAAGCCGACGTGACTGTTGTTCTGATTGTTCGGTTCAATGCGACGAATTAAAACGTTGTTTTACAACACATTTTAACAATGGCAAGCTATCAACTCGAGCTCAGAGCGCGACGTAGGAACGTTTTTGTGACACAGTTGAGGTACGGATCATTTTTGGTTTCAATGGTGTCGGTGAGCAATGTTTTGTTTCACCTTGGTTTGGATCTTTCAGAGATCAAGAAGATATCGACGATGGTAAAACTGATTTCATCAAGAAACATGCAGTTGTTAATGAAGTAAAGATATATGTTGATTTTGAGAATAAGTATTTTTGAGTCAGTTATACTGACACTGTTATATCCTTTTCTATCAGCCGCTTCTACAATGAATAAGCAATATTCAGCACGAATTAGTGAATTTTGAAAATTCCAATTGTTGCCGGCGTTTACATATTGTTGTCAAAATTTATTTATAAAAAAAACTCGTTTTAAAGTACAAATGTTGCAAGTTTTAATGATACATTCGAATGTCTTAATTGTATTTCATTGAATTACGTACGTTAATTGTTACCTAATTAGTTGACTTGGAATTCTGAATTGCAACAACATGAACTGCATTTGAAACCAATTCACAATCGTGGTTCTCCTTTGTTCTAAATGTGGAGAGCACGCGTTGTCACGCGAACGACAACGTTAACTATCTCATGAAGTTATCTAGCAAAGCTTTATCATTAAAGTCTAGGTTTTGCCCAAACCTCTTTGCATGTATAAAGCTTCACTACTAACACAATCTTATGTAACGTACACATATAACTTTCTAGTCTTCCGACAAGCTCTTGTCCAGCGGCATCAAGACTCTGCAGTCAACTCTTCTCGTCAAACAAGCGAACGAAGCTGACAAAATCGACGAGCTTTTACAAACAAAAAGAAAAGAGTATCATGAAAAGATGAAGATGTGCAAGAATAGGGAGGAACTGCTTCGGAAAAGACAGCAACAGGTTTGTTTCTGAAGTTATACCGAAGTTGAGTTTGTTAAAGTATCCCAAAATTTATACAAAACACATATATCTGTATACGTTTCATTGTTAAATTGCGTTACCATCATCATTTAATACTGTGACTCTTAGATTGAAGAAAGAGTGAATAAATTTGATAAGTTTATCAAAGAAACAGAGGCAAAACGAAGACGTGCCTTAGAGAAATACCAGAATGAGAAAAGACTGAAAGAACAAAAGACCAAAGAATTAGAAATTTACACAAAAGAACTCAGGAAACTTAGACAACGGTAGTGGAAACTTATCTTCGTCTTTATATCACGATGTTGTGCTAACTGTTGTATTTTCCTGTTTTACCTGCTCCTGAGAAAGGAAATGAGGTGGATAATCTTTAAAAGCAGGCTGCAGCCAGCGTTCGTCCAGAAGTAAAAATGTTCGACATCATTAATTTTATGGTGATTTTTCTGTTTTACAGGCATAAAAGTTTGCAGAAGAAAGTTGAAACGTATTCGGTGTATCAGAAATACTTGATGAGGGTAATTGACATCACTCCTGGAGGTAAGATTAAGAAGATTTGTTCAGTAGTTCCTGTGCGTCTGGATATGAAAAATAAACCTGGATTCATGAAGGCACATTTCGCATTTACGATGATTATTTCGTTTTAGATTATTTTGACAATACCAACGATTCAGTCCTGCTGGGTATCATGGCACGACATAAAACACTCTATTCCATGTTCGAGATACTCGCCGCTGCACTTAGCAGCAAAACTGACGAGGTTAGCGACTGAAATATTATTTTTTGTGATTCATTTCATCGCAAACACAAGTGTATAACAGCTTGGTGTTTTTATTATCCAAAGATAAAGGCGAACCAACAAATTATCCTTAACACTCGTCAAGAATACAATCAACAAATACTGGTAGGTGTGCATGACTGATGACATAGGAAAGGAACATTGATAAATTTCGAGCGAGGTTCAAATCTCGTAAGATGATTCTCTTTCTGTGCGTGATCTTTTTTGTGCATGGCTCCTATAGATCGACAATCACGAAATTGCAAAGCTGCAGAACAAGTTGGAAGATTTAACGCACGGCAACGCTCAACTTGAACACGTTCTCCAGACAAATGACGATATTTACAGACATCAGGTGAATTTCTATGAAAATTTAGTTTTGAGGGCTAGTGTATCATGAAAACACTTCAGCTATCTTTCGAGATTTGACCAGCATCTTTCGTGTGTCAATTTTCATATTATAAGACAAGCTATGTAGTTGAGTTTACTGAGACATGAAAAAAAGTATATCCTTCTTCGCTACAGCGAACCACTCTTGGTCAGGTGAAAATGGCTGTACTGAATCTGGCTGAGAAATGCGTACGAAAACATTGTGCACCTTTGGTTGACTGTGACGATATTTTTGAAATGCTTTCTGTCATTCAGGTTTGTTAAAAATATTCAATGAAATATTGTTAATTCAGTGGCCGAGTCACTCAAACTAGTCTTATATATACGTACTTTCCATTAACTCCTTTATATCAGGTGTTCATACGAGACCATCAGGACATATGTTCAATGGCTAGAACTATGAAAACACCAGACGACGCTGAGCAGTCAAACAGCGATAAAAAGACTAAAATAAACGTCTATCAATATTTGGCCAGACCCTCGCAAAATGTTCTTGTCCCAACGCACTCCGAGGAGTTTCCCTGAGCGGGCGAATTGAAAATAAATACAAATACTTCCCGCTGGTATTTCTATATAGTTTTTCCTGAATGAAAAAGTGAACTTTTTCCGGCATTTTTTTATGTTTCTATACTACATATTTCTACAAGATATAAATAAATTATAGATTAAGTATGTGAATTGTTCTCTTTTATAAAACCCAAACTATAAAGAAGTATTTACAATACCCAAATATCTAAAAATATCTAAAGATTAAAAAATTCTTTGTCATCGCCTGAATGGACACGCTCTGGACCAGTGACCTCGCATTCCTAAAAAAAGATATAAACTGTTAAACCTAAACGAAAACGTTTCCTAGCCTTGTTTTTCAAAAAAGGAAACAGTCCCTTAGGCTTAGCGATGTTTTCCAAATAGAAAAGGGAACTTGAAGCCAGTCAGTTTCCTGACAAAGATGGTCAAGGATACATTATCTCAAGATGCAGGAACCATATTGTTGCTTACCGCAGTTGAAACAATGATCATTATTCTGTCCTCGATAAGGGCTTCCGCCATGAGGCCGTCGCCTGCGAACAGGATTAGGTACGGCAGCTTGTTGCGCATGACCGTCGGGCAGAGCACCCGCAGGGCGTATCAGCATGCGCGGGAAAAATACCGGTGGTATACGGCGTTCCATTAACTCGTCATCATTCCTAATGACGATCGGGTTGCCTTGGTTACCACCAGTGATAGGTATGGTACCAGGTGGACTATCATTAATGATAGTAACTTCTGAAGGATAATAAAAAGCTTGTGTCATAAAAATAGCCAAAGTCGTTACAAATACCGAACTGTATCAAATTATATAATTACATACTATAGGTTACGAACGTTTCACCCAGTTTCAAGCTGAAAAACCTACCAACTTCTTTCTTTTTCCTTTCTTCAAATACCGCTTGTCGTCTGTTTTTTGTTTCTTCATCCATCGTTTCAACAATTTTCTCAACTGCGCTGTCCAACACTCGAGATCGAACAAATGTCCCGTTGATATCAGTCCTACAAATCGGACAAGTCTTTTTCTTTTTTAGCCACAATTTCAAACAATAATCGCAGAATGAATGTGAACAGGCTAAAGTCATTGCTTCGAAAAACAATTCCTGACAAATGATGCAGGTGAACTCATCCTCCATTTTCTCGACCAAAACTTTCTTTGCCATTTCCTCGGCATTTCTCGTGATTTCCTCTTGTTTAGTTAGTTGTTTTTGTTTCTCTACGAGTTCCTCCCGAAGTAGTTCTAAATTTTCCTCCATCTTTTTCTCATTCATTTGCATGCCTTCCAGTTTCTCTTGCTCCACTTTGTTCTGTGTCAGTTCCTCCTAAAAATCAAAGGTCTGTGAAGATTTGTTAGCACAAGAGAAAGGCAATCGTATCATTTTACCTGTAAACGCATCTGCTCATCAATTTTGATCTGTAAGATATTCTCCAGGCGGTCTCGTTGGGTCTTCAATTGGTCTGTCAACTCCTTGTCCTTTTCTTCAATTTTTCTGCCCATTTCCTCAATAAGATTTTTTTCCACTTCCTCCTTCTCTGCCAGAAGTATTGCTTTCTGTTGTTCTAACTGATCATTGAGGTCCCTCTCTTTATCCCTAAGTTTATCCTGCATTAATCCCATCAGGTACTTCTCCTGCTCCTCCTTTTCCCTTTCTAATCCCTCTTTCTGCTGTAGCAATTGCTCGGCAAGGTCCTTCTTTTGTTCCAGTTGACTCAAGTATGCCTTCTCTTTTTCAGCAAGAAGCAAGTTTAGTCCTTCAATTTTTTTTTCCGATTCCTGAATTTTGCAAGCTGTACTTTTAGCCATTTCCTGAATAACAATAGAAAATTATGTCTTTATCTCTTTGATTTCTGTAAATGCAGTTTAATCATCATAGCATGCTCACAAACCTTCAAGTTTTCTCCACTAGGTCCAGGTACATTTTCGCTGTTTCTTTCAATGCTATCCTTGAGAATTTTTCGAACTTTTGGTTCTTTTTCCTGCGCATCTCCAAACTCCAGTTTTCGTTTTTTAATGCAGGGGGCCATTTCAAAGAAGTAATCAAATTCATGAACATTATTTTCTATAGCTACACCAAAACATATGCTGTCTCCAGGCTTTATTTCCTGAGGTGTATCAGCTGGTAATCGTTGTCCATTTACAAACACCCCATTTAAACTCTTAAGAAACATGAAAAAGAACTTTTAAAAGGAACTAATCAAAATGGATTTTGCTGGAGATATTGACATAGCATTACACTGTAGCATGTTCTATAGATTTACCCTTTCAGAACTTCACAAAATCATTAAAATTTGGAAGGAATTTGGATTGCAATGAACTTAAAACTGAATCTTTCAGGTGGGGCTTTTAGAGGCTTCACCTCCATAGATCCCACCTATGACACCAATATTGGTAATGCCTAGTAGCATAATAGCAAGCAACCAATCACATCACAATATGAAAGGTGCTATCATCCAATCAGGAAACAGCTCCTTACAACAGCCAATCAAAACACATCATTGCTGGTGTTTATCTAGCGGGGGGGGGGGCTCAACTATACGCTTGTATTGTACACTGTACACATAATTCATGCATGAATTATGACGAATATACGAATAAAACAATAAAAATATTGCAAAAATGTGAGCCCTTCCCTTTGTAGTTTAACACCAGCAACGAAAATTTGCTAAATTTGCAGCAAAACTCCGCGCGATAAACTCACATTGTGATCGATTATCGTCCATTTCTCGTCTTGAAATATTATTGATGCGTGTTTACGGGATATCATAAGCGGGACCTTGCACGATAACAACCGTACGTTTGAGGCTGTCGTTCGCCCAAAAGTGGTCGGTTTCAGGGCATTTAAGAGGACGCTATTAGGGCATATTGGTTGCTGTTCACCAGAAAATCGTCCAACTCTTCGGAGAATAGCCTGATCGCTGAAACTAGAGGCCATTTCAGATACTCATTGGAAAAATTATAACCGTTCCCGAATTCTCTATACTCTTTGTTGACGTCCAAACTGCGCGTGCGCTCGTTCCCCCCGTTGGAATTTGGAATTTAATGTTTAATTGCATACTTCATGTAATTTTGAAATAAAATCGATAGTGTTGCCAGCATTTGCATTTGTGATTTGTTTTCATTCGCTATAAAAAAGATACTTAATGCAATAGTGAATAATGTTTCCCATCTGTCGTTCAGTAAAGGCTGTACACGTACGAGAGTTTTATTTTTAAATTATGCCGAATTCACACTCATGGATTACCAGAGTCGGACATTTATATTCTCGGTCATAGACTCATAGTAGACTGGGGCTGGTTATGCTGGCACGTGACTATCATAATGGAAACGAGGCTACAATTTAAAAACCGGCGCCATTATTATGAAAATAGAATATTGATATAATTTAAATATTGTATAAAAAGTCATTTATTGTGTCTAAATTACGACTGTTTTCAGCGATATTTCGATGCATTTTAAAGACTATAAACCGAAATTCCTATTGGTTTGTCTGGTATGAGTCTATACCAGTTTTTTCCGATGAAGAAGCGAAAGGTTTGCAAGACACCGAATGGACGGACCAGGCGACTTGCTTCGACCCTCGGTATGTTCTCTCCCATATAATTGCGTTATTTGCTGTTAAAACTCGCCCACTAGGTTTAATGTAGTTCATTTGCCTCTTCATTAAATCATCTGGTGAAATCAAATTCAGTGTTTATTCTGAATGAAAGCCTTGATTAACAATTAACATTAATATGATGTTGCAATTGCATGTTTATGACCGTGATTGATGAACCTATTTTTGATAGGGAAATTTAAAAGATCTTCGGATGGTACAGCGCCTGGTGCTGGAGGCAATGGCATTGAAATACTCTGGGACAATAATTCACCAAGCCCCACAACAACAATTGCTTTAGGTATGTGCGATTCATTAAGATCGGTTGTAGCCCCACATACATAATACCTACCATAGACAGTCCACCTTAAGGAGAATTAGCATGTGCAAGCTCAACATTAATTGTTGGATCATTTACTGCATGACAATCCTCTTCACAAAACAACTAAATTTTTAGCCAGTGGTAAAGTATTATTTATTTTACTACAAAAGTAAACATGTTTATGTCCAACAGCATTTTCAATGTACATCCATTATGTTGACTATTCAAAACATTATCCCTGATATTTTATTTGAAATAAATCTAGCTGGAAAACGCAGAAGACAGAACCCAATACGCCATGAAGAAGCTGTCATGACCGATGTGTCGTTTGTTGTTCAAAAACTCAGTGAGAATGTTAGTACAATTATGACAAATCTGCTTTGAGATTCATTGGATTAATACCAAAAACTGATACAAACACAGAATCTTTCTGCCTCATTTGCTAGCTAGTATGATGAGGAGGATGATTATTATCATTGAGGTAAATATTTCTTCTAAATCTTGCTCAGACCTCACCAGTTTCAAACCATGCTGGTCACTCAGGCTTGCTGGAAATGTGGACAGATAAAGCTGAACATAAGATTGTTGGTCATATCTGTGAAGACGACTTTTCATCACCGCCATTTCGACAAACAAAATACGAAGACAACACCGCAAGCCCACAGTCAACACCTTTGATTCAGAGGTCAGTGTTAAAAACTTTGTCAGACAAATTCCATAAGATCTTTGAAAAATATTGCATGTGTTGTTAGAATTGAGCCATTCTTTGCATCTCTTTATTTCGCTTTTCCTCGTAGGAGAACAACCAGGCGTCAAAGTCGTAAAGCGACGCGACAGTTCATGTTGGAGATACGAAAACTAGTTGAAGAGATTCAGAAAAGCGGTGAGTCAGAAGATCCGATGATCAAATATGAACCAAGATTCCTATCATGATGATCATTGCTCCCTCTCATTTGACGCCTAATGTGTTTCTGTTTTTTCAATGGCAGATCTTAGCTGCAGCAGCCAAAGTCAGAAAGAAATTCAGGGAAAGATTTCTGAAGATCGTAGCCGGATGAAAAGGTGAGTAGAAAAACAAGGGCCAACTGTTTTCAGCTGAGGGCTAACTTACGTTAACAGACCATGCCACTGGTCCGTACATGGAGAGGTTCATATAGAGAAGTGAGATGGGCGTTGTTGGAAGACGCTGCAATTCCACTCCTAGGGAGCAGGGTACATTGAAACGTGACTCAAAACGTGTGTGTTTTAATTCCATTTTCAGAATGAAGAGAAACGAAGAATCTTCGTCTAGTGTGACACAAGTTAAACAACATGCATCAACGAATGGAGGAGAGCAAGATTGCAAGACCAACGTCACATGTGCTGCCGAAGCAAGCGCGGCTATTTCCGATTGTCTTTTGGAGGACAGTTTTGAATGGACGGAGGATGACATGGACGAGCTTATCCTCACATGTCAACTTAGTAGTTCTGGTAAGGGATCCCTAACTATCCCCGAGGCCAGTAAACCGCGTTTTGGGGCCAGTCCCTCGCAAGTTTCCTTCGTGCCCGAGACGCAATTTACGCAAATTCGTTCTCGCACAGCTCACACAGAGACGCAAAAGCGGACGGATGCGTCGAGTCATGAGCCTCAATGCACGCAGATACTGTTCCCGGAGGGGGAGGACGGTAATATTGACGAGGGTGGTGACGGAGCATTGAATACTAGTGAGGTTAGGCAGTTTGAGCATGCGCAGCAAATACCAGAACAAGAAGACACTGACCAATGGGATTTTGACGACGACGATTCGTTACTCGCAACAGCTATGCATGAATTTGAATTGTCGCAAAAAGCGGTATCCAAGCAAAAATATGATCAAAATGATACAAACAACAAGCATGGCGGCTCTAGGATCGGGGGATCTGCGCAGAAGAGCGACGATGACTTTGTTACAAGTAATTTGACTAACCATTTCAACCTTACTGAAAGAAGGTTAGACAAGTCCCTAGAGGAGAGAACGAATAGTTCCACTTCCAAAGAACCAGTGAAGAATAGTTTATCAACAACTAGAACTTCAAGTCGCTCGACTATAAACTCCAAGGTTGATACAAAGCAACAAAAGATTTCAACGCCTACGACAAGCCACTCGATTACGGGGAGGACGAATGATTTCAACGTGAAGCAGTTGAACAAGATCGCTGTGAAACGATCCGGGTCGAATAATTTGCTTGGGAAAAGAAATTGTGCACAGATCGCTAAGGACGCTAGCAATAGTGGGACGAGCGTCCTCGAGAAACCATTCAACAAAATGATGCCTCAAACGAACTCAACAAACATGCTTGGGAAAGGTTTTTGTGCTAAGCAAATCAATGAAAGGAATAAGACTAAGGATGTTTCATCTGGTAGCATGACTACACCCCGGGGTCGAGGCGGATCATTGCCCAACCTTACACAGAGAAACGGAAATCGTCATCCACGTGACAACTTGACGGGCGACTTGGAATGTCCGAAAGGCAAGCTAACCAGACAAACAACAACAAATAACAACAGCACGAGGGGCTTCGTGACGAAACCGGAAAGCAAGTCGAGTTTGGTGCCGCAAAGTAAACTCCAAAACTCGAGTGAAACGCAGCCAAACGAAAACCAGGAGAACGAGTTTGACTTCTTAATGAGTGAGGATGATTTTACTGCACTGCTGGATGATTTCAACTTTGACGGTAAGTTTTGAGAATAATAAAACTGGCCTTAAAATAGGAAGAGATACGAGCAATTGCAAAAGGAACGTTTGTGAAATATTCCAACTTTCCAATTTCATCAATCACTTGCTTTCTTTACAGACGTTTTAGCAAAGACGGCGGCAAATCAGGGGTCAGCAAAAGCGACGAACAATTCCATCAGATCATTCACTAACAGCTCAGCACGTGCACCATCATTGCCTGCCACCAGCGAGGGGAAGGTGAAATATTCACAAGCTGAAATCGAACGCAAACGAAAAGAAGCTCAACGAAGACGTATGGCTAAGGCCAAACAGAAAAGTTCAACACATACAATTAAGTAATATCAAAGTCTCCAAGAGAATCTGTAAATACAAACTAAACGATCATGTTCTTGTTTGTTTGTAAATAGAAAAAATATATGTTTGTACATAAATGTACGAAGCAACTCTAATCCTGATTTATCATAGGCCTTAATTTGAACTAGTACCAAATTAATCACTTGAACAACTTTAAAACAGCTGGTTTGCTACCGTGAGGTTCCAACTAAACATATTAAAAGACTCGAACAGCGCTACGTGAGATAAAAGACGGATACACAATCAAGGAAACCAATCTCGCTTCTTTTATTATTCTTTTAATCAGCTCTGTGATACATATTTTAATTTATCCTTGAAATTATTTTGCTTTTGGTTTATGAAACGATCCTAGAAGGCTCGTGAAGGCTGATACAACAGGAATGAAATCCGTGAGTGCTTCAAATGGACTCGTTCTCTTCTTTTTTGTTTGTTCTGCGAGGTCTATATGAAATATAATAAAAATTGTTGCTGCTTTTAATTCTAAATACAAAAGCAATTTAACTTCATGGTTCCAAAATGAGTTTACTTAAATCTCTCCTACCTTTGGCAATTTGAGCATTCTTTTCTTGTACAGTTTTAACAATTTCAACCATTTGTTTTCGCTGCTCGGCGGCTTCCTCCCGCGCCATTTTAACGCTCTCTTCAATAAACTTCATGTTCTTGCTCGCCATCTCCTGTAAAGCGCTCACGTTCTTTGTCATCGTGCTTTCCATCATCTCCATCTGTTCACGCATGCGCTGCAAGTACACCTCTCTGGAATGAAATATTTAAGACAGTTGAGCAATACAAAGAGAAACATTTTCAAAAAGTTGTTTCCGTGATTTAGTGAGGATCCAGTCCTCTCAAGAAGCTATATTCGGCTCTCTGCATAATAAACAGCGCGCGCTTACAAGGCATGGGACCAGCATGATATTCGGTGTTAGTGAACGTTGTGATCGGGTTAAAGAAATCGCAGCACAAGACCAGGAGATTCATGTGATGAATTCTACCCTGACCTTTCTTCCTGTTTCATCTTATCAATTTTCTCGTTATACTCTTCGCTCAGTTTTGTAGCTTGTCGTTTATGCTCCTCCATCTCTTCCAACATGGTGTCCTCAACACGTCGCTGTTCCTCCTGAATTTCCTCGAGTCTCGCGTTCATCTCGAGCGTCTTCTGCTTCTCCTGGAATTCTTCTTCCTTAAAATCCTGCAGCTTCGAAAACGTCTTCTCCTCTGACTTCACGAACTCAAGGAAATCACCATAAACCTTTTCCTTTGCCGGACCTAACAACACAAAATTATTGATTTAGACATTTCCAGGTTTATTTCCTACATTTTTTAGCAACTACCGATTCCCATCATTATGGACTGGCTGATGAAAGAATCATTTGATGTTATTTCATTTCTTTGTTAACCTTTAGCATTTTGCCTGTAGTCTATTTCAAATCTTTTGAGATCTTCTTTGAGTTGCTCATACGTGTATCCACTGTTTTCCTTCGAGAGCTTTTCTGAAATTGTTTTCCACAACTGATCCCGGATTTTCTCGCAATACTCGACGGACATCTCGTTGTTTTGTCGCCAGTATTCGTGAAATAAGCCTGTTTTATGTTCGCCTTCAGTACTTTTGCCTTAAACGAGATGAAGAATCTCTTCCTAAATCACAGCTTGGCAATTAAGAACAAGCAAATTATGATAAAAAAACCTTCCAGCCTTTTTTGACTAATATTTGTGGCTCTATAGCATAAATAGAGTTAGAGTAATTCTCAGCGTACCTTTCGTACCAAACACAGCTTGCTGAAGATTGCTCAAAAATTTGGACAGTTCAGCCTCGTTAGACATTGGACCCAAACCTTTTCTCAAATGCTGTTGTGCTGAGGTGTAATATTTCCTGTGTACACTAACAATCGTCGTCCCTTCACCTACACCAGAAGATCAATGAATGATAAACGAATAGATAACGACAGAACAGCCTCTTTTACCTCACCTATTTGAACCTACCTGTGGTTTCCAGGGGTATATTATCACGTTCCTCCAGAGCAGCGTCCATTCCTTTCTTATACAACTCCAGACACTCGCTGTGAAAACGTTCTGCGATGACTCTCAGCGATGTCTGCCAACTTGTTTCCATCACTGGAATGGCGCTCGGGTCATTCACCGCTTTAACATAAGTCTCCAACATGCACGCAAGCTGTGCTCCAGTTACACGAGAATCTAGAGAGTTCAGAAACGCATACAATGCGCTAAAAAGAATTGTTTTGGATGGCAGCGGAGCTCAAAAGGTCAAAAATACCCTGACTCATCAATGAAGTAGCTAAAAAGTATTACTGGTGTTAAAATTTGAATTTGACTTAGAAAAACTAGATGGATTACAGTGAATAAAGTATTATTATATGCCGTACACAAACTAACTTTACTGGAATACTGTCAATATATTCTTCATTTTACCCGTGCTGTATCCAGTCTTTGGTTTGATTTTGCTGAAGATATGATTTGTAACTCCTGGTACAGCTGCTTTAAACTTTGGCGATAATTTATCCTCATTCTGTTCGATATTCCTCATGATCTCGGCGTTCTCTGATGGTGGAGGAAGAGCGATACAATCGATGGATGGAAAAAACATCTTCAGCGCCTTGGCAACCTTGTCACTCGGCTTTTCTTCGAAACCACCGCTTGGTTTAAGAACGCGATCCTGGGGAGGTTTTAGTGAAAATATCAGTGGATTATTAGCATTTTAATTGCAAACATGAAGAGGGAAAATGCGTTTACCATGAGAAACGTTTTCGGATCAATTTCGTTTCCTTTTTCGTCAGTTGGTGTTAGGGTGACGTCGCGAAGAAGCCAGAGAAAATCTGGAAAAACCGTGGAAAATTTTCTATAATCATCTTCTCCTTCGCGACTTACCCGAAGACCAGTCACAAGCTGCACAAAACATCTACACAATAACATCAAAGAAATGATATATTATCCCTGCCTTTCAATGATAGGAATGTGCTTTTGGTAGACTTCATGATTGCTGACGGCTGGGTGGAGTGTGGTCTTGTAGTAGCTTGTCCTGGGTATGTAGATATTTGGTTGTATCATGCATGTGAGTGTTTGTTTTCATGAAGCAGTATCGTGGTACTTACTGTAGTTCCTCGAGTTGGGATTGTCTTGGTACGGATAATGTGTTGAAGATGAAATAAGAGCTGAGTAATATCGTCAAAACCAACAAAGATATGTCATTCTTTTTCTCTGCTGATGCAGAATCAATGCCTTCGGTATCAACCAGCAGGACTGTGAAGTGATCTGTCTTTAAGACCTGTGCGAAGAGAATTTTAGTTCATGAGCAATGTGAAAATACGTGTGGTTCTCGTACTACAATTGCAACTAAACTCTCTAAGACTCTTGCTTATATCAAAACTCTATGTTCATAACAAAAACGCCGGAAAGACTGAGGGTACGAGGCAAGCCCGACCCGGCCTAGTTCTCAGGCCTCTTCTTCCACCTGATCTTGTGACGTCGTGCATAGAGGACTAGCATAAGATCAATTAAACTCACTTGAGTCCCAATCCATATTCCGAAAGTCTCCGGGTCCATACTGTGGCCTAGCTTGAACGCATCGCACGAGCCCAATAATCTCGATAAAATATACGATTTTCCACTTCTAGCCATGCCTCCAATCGACACCACTGCCACAGGATCCCGTATGTTTGCTAGTAGAGCCAGAGTTGATGGAACTATCTCCAAATGAGTGCGTTTCACCCCCGTGATGTGTGTAAGACTGCCAGATTTTGAGTCGTATTTCATGTTGTTCGGTAACACGAGAGGTAATGAGCTTGTCTTAGCATCTACACCATCCGCACCGATTAGTGAAACCTTCTTGAACTTATCCATCGTGATCGATTCGAAAAAAAGGTCAAATTCGAGACTGGCTGCTGTGTTCGACTATATTCAAATGTTTAATCAAAATTTACTTGCTGTCTTGAAAAACTAAACCAATTTTTGTCTTAGACAAGAAATCTAGTTCGCTCTCACAAACCAGATTCAAGCTAAATGACTTGATGTTTTCCTGTCGCAAGCTAAATTGAAAGTGCATCATATCATAATATGACATCAGCGTTTTCAGAAAACAAGTAACCGGAAATCAGGTTAAAACCGCCGTCAAACCATAAACGTTCACTTTCTGAATCATCATACTCTATACACTCTATTCCTACAAACTCTAATCTATATATTTGCAACAAAGCGAATCTTTCATGGACATGAAATTAATTACTTTATTATTTTCGTAGCAAAGACAGCTTGGATATTGCACTGCAAAGCGCTGCGATTTTTTTCCGGGAATCCCCTTTTATCAGACGGAGTTATAAATGATTCAGGGTAGTCAAGCAGATCAAATTTCGTATATTGTTGCATGTTTCTTCCTGCGCCTTTAATAAGAAACTAGGTTTCAGGCAATTACGATAATTGCTTTGCATTAAAAGCGGAAAAATAACAAATAAAGTTTTCAAACTGAAATTAAAAACGAATTTAAAGTAATATTTTCCTGTGAATAATTCACTATAAATACCGGGAAACCCCTTGAGGAAACCAAGATGCGATTTCATAATTTCAAAATATAATCGCTGATAAAAGGTCATATGATTCATTTCCGAGGAAGCGAAATCACAGGAACTCACTTTCGACTTCTGCTTCACTGAAGCGTTGCTTTATAGACACGAAAGCCTGTAATCTTATACTGTGTTTCCAAACGGTAATGATGTCGGCCGATGGTGATGCTATGCAGGAGCATTTGCGTTCCTCGGGATATCAAATTCGTTCTATAGACCCAAACAACTCCAGGAAATATGATTCGTCCATACCTCTTATACTACCAAACGATCACGAGTATGATTTAAAGACGAAAAGCCTGGTGAAAAAAGCCAATGTGCAGCGCACTAATTTGTATCTTGTGCCAGAAGCCTTGGAGTTGCTGAAACTGATCAAATCGCCACTCGCTATTCTGGCAATATGTGGACCGATGCGAACGGGCAAGTCGTACATCTTGTCAAGGTAAGTTGATTTAGAGCGTATTTGAGAAGCTATCGCGCTTCCAATGTTTTCGAGCGTTTCGATTTAAATGTTTGAAACAGGCCCTGTTTCAGATTATAATTCTATCCGATCAATTTTGCACAGCGAGCAATATTATGCCAAGTGCCTTGAATTTTTTTTGTTTTTCCTGTCTAGGTTGTTAGGTGAAGTAGACGCGTTTGATCTTGGTCATACATTTGACCCGAAGACGTTTGGAATTTGGATGGGAACAAAGATTCTTCTGGGCAAAGATAAAAACGGGAAAGAGCAAGCTGTTCTCTTGTTGGACACAGAAGGAATTGGTAAGAAACAATCAATGAATAACCCAAGCATCTTTCCATTAGTTCACGTCAAAGTAATCCTTATTTCAGTTGGCTCTGACCTGTTCATAAGGACATATCCTGTATTGATAGCGTATATAAACAATATCCTTGATTATTTATAGACGCTCCCGGTGCTAATGTTACTCAAGACGCTGGCATTCTCGTGTTAACCATTTTGATCTCGTCTATTCTCATTTACAATTCTCAGAATGTCCCGTACAAGAAAGATTTGGAGAAATTGGAGTATGTGAATCATGCACTGATCCACGTTAAAGCTCATAAAATTTTATTTTCATGATTTTCGTCACAATATGACGCGGCCTGGTTTATCAAAGGTTGTTTCATTTACAATTTTTAGTTGTTTCGTCCGTTTGGCGGAAGGTTTTGAGGTGAAGAGGAATCAGGAGATTGAAGTGGGGGAAATCTCGCAGTATTTTCCACATTTTATTTGGCTTCTTCGCGACGTTAGTCTGATAACATCTGACGACGGACACGGGGGGGAGATGGATCCCACGGATTATATCAAAGAAAGGGTAAACAACTTTGGATTTATTCACATTTCATTTACGAAATCAATTAATACTGGTTTAAAAAGAGATTATCTGTACGGTAATAATTCCATGTCGAGAATCCACGAATTTAATCCTGAATTTAATCCTATAGCATTAGGTAAGGATTAGGGTCAGATTTTGGATTAAAACTGAGATTATATTCGTGGATTCGTAGAACTACTATCACCTATACGAAGAGCTCTGAGCTCTCCTTCCGTATGGTAACAATGAATCAATACGATATTAACCTTTTGTACAAAGACACTTATGAATGATTCATCCATTTTGAAGCGGTTAATACGTTCTCTTTTTTTTAAACCAGGTGCTCTCGAGAGGGAAATCGTTTAAAGCAGGCAAGGCAGATGAAGTTGGTCGTGCGATCATATCATTTTTTCCTGATATTGAGTGCAAGACTCTGCCTACGCCGCATAGCGACGAGAAAGTGATGCAAAACATCGCACAGCACACGAATGATCTTAACCCAAAGTTTCAAAAAGGTGTACAAGATTTCATGTCGCATTTAATAAAAAAGATTCAAATCAACGGTGCTAAACATGGCTACCAAAAGGGGTCCGCAATCACCGGTACTTTCACCTCATGACGTTGTCTTTCTACTTAACAGCAGTGTGCATTGTTGTTGTTTTTAATTTGATATTGCACATTTTCTACTAAGGTTCTTTGTTGTGTGGATTGCTTCACGAATACGTGAAAGCAGTGAATGATCCTAACGCGATTCCTTGTCTTGACAATGCTTGGCAAAATACAGTTGATTTACTTCGCAAAGAAACCATCGAGGAACTTACTGAGAAATACAAAACTTCTATGACGGTATGCCTAAAGATACCCCAACATTCCCCGTAATTTTCTCCAGTTTTGCTCAAAAATTCTCGTGGCAAAATGACATGTTTACTCTGGCGTGTCACTCAGAACATGATGGCGTTTACCTGCTGTCAAACAATAGCAATACGAGATGGCCATTTTAGATTTTTAGGCTTGTTTTTCTTTCTTATGAGGCAAGAATCAAGGCTGCCAGTGTTCGAGACAGGATGACGTTTCCTCTGGAGGAAGATGGGGCCAGTGTCAGGTTGTTTTCTTCATTTTTAAATTCTTGCTTTGTGTTAAATCTTGACAAGCAGAATTTGCCAAATTTATGAATGTGTTCAGCAGAGGTAGACAGCATGCAATAGTATAATTTTGATATCTCTATAATGTTTGCTAATTCTTCCTCAGAGGGACCACCTTGATGGCGCTCCATGATGAAATACTAAAAGCTCTTACAAAAGAGTTGCTGGAGAAAGTTGCACATTTTGGGGCCGGAGATGTCAAGGATCTCAAGAAGAACAGTGCAGAATTGGTGAAGGTCTTTCAGAAAAAAATCGGTAAGCCAGTGATGGTAAGGTGTGATTGGTACCAGCGATGAATTCCTTGAACGAAATTCTGTTTCATTTTCCCTTTCAGTTGAATTGCGCAGAAAGAAAGCTTTCACAATGGACGCCCGTGGAAATCGAAAAGAATACGAAGGAATGGAAGTCTGCGGAGGGGTGTTGCTCGAGTATATTCGTATAAACAGAACTCTATCTACAGAATTTTGCACAAAACTCTACCAAGAATTATTCGCACCGATTCGAGGGAAAATCGAGCACGAGATTGAAACGTACACGTTCAAACAACTGGAGGCAGACTTCATAAGATTAAATGAAGAGTATTTGAAACGTGCCATCGGCCCGGAGAAATGGAACGTTCTCAGCGAGATGGATAAGAAAACGGTGGAAGCACAGAAAATGAATTTCAAGAAATTGAAAGGATATCAGGAGAAGGTGATGGAAGAGCGAAGACGAGCAAAGGAGGCAGAAATTGAAGCTAGGAAAAGGGAAGAAGAACTGACAAAGTTACATCAGGAAAATGTCAGGGAAAAGGAAAAAAACGCGGAAAATTTGAGAAATATGCAAGAGAATTTTCAGACCCAAATAGAGAAGGTTAGTAAACTATGTTCTGAATGCTCCGCTTTGTGGCTTGTTCGATAAGATAGTACACATACTTCCGTCTGCTGTATATATGTTTATATTTTACTACTGGACGAAGAAATGCTGATTCTTTGCTTTCTAGATGCGAGAGGAAGAGAATCGACGCATAGAGGATGAAAGAAAAAAACTCGAAGATCTTCAAAAATCAAACTTCGCAGAATTTCAAGACATGGTCAAGGTGAGAAATATAAACCGGCAAAACAAATCAATCGCCATTACCTGCTTTTTGATAATAATTTCACGGTTTAAATTTCCACACAGGAGTTCAACGAGAGCCAGAGTAGAGGAATGGAAGCAATGATGGAAAACCTGAGACTTGAAAGAGAACAAAGTAAAGAACAAATGGGAGAATTAGTTAAAGCCATTGCTAATATCCCACCACCTGTCGGTAAGAATATTAAGACGCAGTAATTTACTACACAATTTACTATGGAAAACCCTTAAACAAAATCCTGAAATTTCATTTCTTTTATCTCTAGTCAAAGTTGAGAGAGGTCGATCTTGCTCCATCATGTAACACTTCAAGACAATTGTAACTCGGATATCGATGCATGTATTACCTTTATGAACTCAAATCTTCCGATGTCATTAACCTAAATTCAACCAATAATATAACTGAGTAACAAAGTAAAAATTTTGTTGTATAGACAGTATTTTGGTTTGAATCTCATCTCATAACGTATATTTGAAAACAATCAAGATACGTCTAATGTACATCTATTGTTTGTATAAGAATCTAATTCCTATCGGGTTTTTTCTCTACACTCGCCCCTAATTAATCATTCTCCCCTTGATCATTATTATATCTTCCGATATCATCATTTCCAAAATCTTCATGTTCACCGTCATTATCTACAAGATCATCATATCTTCCGACATAATCATTTCCAAGATTATTATGTTCAACTTCATCATGTACGGAATCGTATCCTCTGTCATCATGATGTACAGAATCATCCCTCTCGGTACTATTACATCCCGTGTCATCTCTTCCAACTCTATGATAGAGAGTATAATTGCTTTCAGTAGGAGCTTCGTTTTCGCAATGGACTGGAGAAACAGTTCTGACACCACTGTCAACGTCGTATTCTTGATTTCTTTGAACATCGCCTTGGCTTGTATCCGTTTCTTCTTTCACCTGTTCACCGTCAGAAACGCGTTCGCTTTCGTTGTGGTTTAAATCTCCAGACCCACAACTTTTGTTTCCTTCCACGTTTTCGTAACTCACTTTCTGTCGCCTATCTCGTAATCTTCCTTTGACCCAACTGTAGAAGGTTTTCGCTAGTCCAGTGAATTTTCTCGCAAGCCAGTCAAGACAAGGTCTCAACATCCTCTGCCAGACTGGCTTTAGTCCCTTGTACATTAACATCAAGGGAAAGATGAAAAGGAAGAACCATTCAAAAGTAAAGTCTTTTATCCTTCTTGAAAATCCTTTTTCATGCTCTGGATCAGCTCCTCTGTAAATGAAAGATACAGAATCGTTTCAGTCTTTGGACTCACTATAGTGATAAGAAATCGTTTCATCCCAAGAGCAAAGGAAGTTCCTTATGCAGTTAAAGACACTCTGTTAAAAAGTAAACAAACTGTAGCAACGTTTTTCTAATCATAAGCATCCTCAAGTAGTAAGATACAATGATCAAACTCTTCCGGAGGGAAAGATAAACTTACAAAAATTCCTGCGTCTTCTTGGCCTCGTCCACTTCACCATCACTTTCTTGTTGTATAACCACAACATGTGGCGCCGCCTGAGCAGGCTCGTCGGGACTTCTCATCGCTTTAATTGTTTTCTTTGCTATCATCTTGAATACGCCCGTGGGTAGGAATCCCCACAACACTCGCAATATGATGAGCGCGATTATAATACCCACCAATATGAGGTAGGACCACACCTTACCCAAATGGGGTAGAAGTCCCCAGACGCCCTTCGCTATTGAGAAGACTGTCTTCGCCACCTCTGCCACAGCTTTAAAGATTTCGCCGAGCGGTCCGGAAATACTGTCCATGAAATCATTATATGTTGGTGGCTTATCCTGGTCGAATGGGACGTCAGATTCGTTGACACAAACAAAGTTTTCTTGATCTGTGCACTGAAGAAAAAGAAAAAAGGAAAATGCTGATATAACAACGACATTCATACGTACAGATCAGTTGCAATAAACTAAAGAAAGCTGGATCTGAACTAATGCTTTTGAAAGTGCTATCCACAAGGTTGTCAATTACTGAGGTCACCTAATCGAGACCATTTCGTGATAACCACGACGAAACTTACAGAACAGCCACATCTCAGAATGCATACACACGTGCTGGTTGTGTTGACACTGATAATACTTGATTCAATCGCGGCCCTTCTTGCGTCGTACAAGTTTGCTGTAGAAAAGGTTTTATAAGCAGAGTCTGAGTGTTAAAGATTCCTCTGTATTTGTCAACTTTGTTATTTATCATTGGGTACTTTCAAGCATCCAACTATTATTTCTGGAGAAATTACAAGTTCAAACTGAGAATAGTTCATTACCTGTGCATGAAAAAGATCCGCCCTTTCTTCTGTAAGATTCGAGCGTAAACTCAAAATGATGGTTTGTCTGTGGATTGATGGAGGCTCTCTTCTCATGACCTGGGTTTATACCACTGGAGCAATAATCTAAGCTTACCTGTGGAAGAAAAAACGACTGTAAATTCTCTTCCCCATTTGTGTAACGGAAAAGTAATCCCGTGCGATAACGTAACAGTTTAGTTTGTCGTTTTACTTACGTAGAAATCTGAGGTTACGAATCCGGTATTTTGAACGACAACTGTCGCCAAACCATTACGACTTTGGGCCTCGAAAGCATCGGCAAAAGCTTTGACTATCACTCCTCCCGCCCTTTGGTAGAATTCAATAGTTGTCAATACAGAATATATACATTTCATTGGTTGAATACATTATTAATTTGTGACATTATAGACCGTAATTTGTTACACTAGAATGAATTAATTATACATAATAATGATGCAATTAGAATAGATCACCTGTTATAAACAAGAATTAAATCATCTGCGCTTATTTCAAGATAAACCATAACTGAAGATGATTCTTCGGACTCGAATTCCACGACGCGGTCTTGTGTTCCGAGACGTTCCTTCAATCCCGTTATTTTACCAAAGGTTTCTGGGAAATATTTTGTTCTTTCTCCCTTTGATCGACGCGTCTGGAAATGGCCAACGATTTAAATTAAAAAAATTATAAGCTGCTGTGGTATTGCAAGTGAGATTTGGTGTTTTGATTCCAACTCACCACGTCCTCAATGAAGTAATCTTGAATTTGATTTCTCAAGCATCTGTAGAAAAATAATTCAATCAACAATCGCTGCCATTTTTCTGTCCCTCCCTCTCCCCCCTCCCTCTCTCCACCCTCCCCCCCCTTCCCCCCCCTTCCCTCCCTCCCTCCCTCCCTTTCAATGACTTACGTTCCCTGTGGCTGATAACAGCCATAACCGTCGTTATTGTGAAATGTACTTTGCTGTGCAAATGGAGTGAAGGACACGCCGATTTTGTCACATTTTGAAGAATTTCCATACTCAACCTCGCTCATAGGTATGATGAGATAGTCGAGAGCGCCAAACTAAAAAGAAAAATGAAGATCAGCGAATACACTCAAAAACCTGGCAGCTTTCAAACCAGTGCCCATGTTTCCTGAGACGAGCAAGCCAACAGGTGGGTAACGTTATTGAAAGTGAGTCATTTTCCGAACCTTTCACGAATTGTTTTCCATTATTTTTTAACGAAACTCGCATAGTAATTCAGAAGCCATTACTGTTACTCTACCTTCAATTGTGGGTGATATTCTCTCCCGGCTTTTACGTATCTTGGATTTGGAACCATCAGGTAATGATCTTGTAATCTTGGGTATTCTTTTCCTGCCTTCATTTTCCCAATATACTTGGCCACGATCTTAAACATACAACATTCATTAATATATTTATCACATTCAGACAGTTTCCCTTGTTCCAGTGTTACAGAGATTCTCATGATGTGGTTACACAATGTTTAAACGGCTTAACACTAGTTTTATTGTAATTACATTTGAAGAAACTGGGAAACACACTCTTTCAAATCTTACCCTGCCATGTTTCCCAACTCCTCCAGTCTTCGTTGGACTGAGTTCAATCTCTCCTCCATCCACCCAATCGATTATTGTCCGGTTGTTTTCAAATTTTTCAACTTGGTCATATGCCTTTATCCAAATCGTGAAGTCGAACGTAAATACGTCTATCTCGTGAGCATCGTACCTGAGAATATGAAAAGCAGAGTATTTGAGGCAAAGAAGTTACATTCTTATATACTATCTCGCATAACCAATAACGGATAAATCAACCAAACAAAGAAAAACCTACCAAAGCTTGTCGTAACGCATGCAATGCGCTGACGATAAGTAATTATCGCAGTCAATGTGCCCACGGAAGTAGTTATTCATGGCTAAACCAAACACGTACATCTCTGTCGTCGCATAAATTCCTTTCCTCTGACATTCACAGCAGAATCCCTACGCATTGAGATGTTTGAATTAGCACAACTGACGGGCGAATGCTGCGTGCATGCATGCATGCATACATGCATGCATAGACTAAACTAAACTTAACTAACTTTTGTTCAGGAGAAAGCGAAAAAGGAATATCAGCGAACGAAAGATGTAATAACTAAGGCCATGGATGGAGGGGAGTGACGAGTCAAGAAAGTTACTTTGATCAAGGGAAAGATGTGTTTACTTAGACTGGGAACTATACGAATGAATTAGTGGTGGTTCAGTAAAGAAAGCTGTTTTTATACCAGTTGAAGTTGGACAATGATCAGGCATTGGATATTTGCAAGAATCCGAGGTAATAATCTTGTGCACAGTATTTTATATAGATGAAATAAGATATACCCAGCTATTCCATATTATATTCCCCCAACCGTCGTAAAATGCCCCACATGGGTGCCACTTCTCTGTGACGCAGCTGTACTGCTTTATCAAGTGTGTTTCCTCATATGGTTTGTTGTTTATCGTCTAACAGAACAATCACAACATTAGATTGGAATTGTTTAAAATTCATTCTAGAGCCGTTTCAGTCGGTCGCAGTATAGGAGATAATGCATATTTGTCTAACTATGTTTCTGACTGAGTGAAGCAAATCACTTTGAGATGTATATCACCCAGTCACATTGGACGAAGTTTGGTAAATGAATAAAAACACAAATAAAGATACAACAGATCAAAGAGTGGTGCAACTGAATAGCTAGACTGCTAGAGTCATTAACAAGAGGTCAATGTAATGTAAATATATCAAATTAAATTGCTTTGGCTCTGAAAAGGTACGACAAATGAGTCTAAAAAGAATAATGCGTCCTTACTCACCGCTCTGTAAAATATGGGATAAACAAGACGTATTGGCGTCATACTTAAAGTGATAACGAAAGGATTGTACAGGCGAGCATCTTCACCTACGAGATTGTCCCGTACTTTCTTTACTGTCGCATGAAGCCTCTCAGTTTCACCCTGGAAAAGCAAAAACCAAACACCATTAAAGACTACTGCTGCTTCTTTCATCAGAGCCAAATACGAAATCAATAACTCCATTAAACTGGCATGCTGTCCACTTCAAAATGCAGAAAACAATAATAATAATACCTGTCCAC